GGGTGAACAAGAGTCTAGGTGGCTATAATGTGAGTTTTGTGAATTTTTACCTGCTAGTCAGATGGTGCGAAGTAATCTGGAGATGTTGTCCGACAGGAGTTCAGCTCCGGCTCGACTGGGGTGCCGGAGCTGAACTCCTGTCGGACTCACAACAGACACAATGTATATTTTTACAAGAGACACATTCCAGCGCAGAGGACTCAACCTTCTGGAGAAACCAATGGGGTGATACTATACTGTTTAGTCATGGAACTATAGATCTGCTGGCGTAGTCATATGCTTGAATAACTGTCCTGGTAAAGTAGTTAAAGTGAAAGAAGATAAGGATGGACACTGGATTGCTGCAGTTTTGATGATTGAAGGTACTCCACTGATTCTTCTAAATGTTTACGGATATAATGGTCAATATAAAAACAAAATATTGCTGAATGCATTTCAGAAACTATTAGAGAGTTGAAAACCTTTTTCCCAACTGAAAATATGTTGGTGACTTTATTTGTGTCCCTGATGAATGGATGGATAGATTTCCAACAAATATGGTCATTATGAAATGAATGTATTACAAATGTTTGTATTAATACTTCCCTAATAGACGTTTGGAATCATGTTAACCCTGAAGTAAGGCAATATTCATGGATTAGACCCAATGGAAATTGTAAATCAAGAATAGATTTTTGGTTGGTAACCCAAGAAATTTTTAAATATGTTTTGCAAGCTAAAATCTCTGCAGCTCCTACAACTGATCATTGTGTAATTACTGTCACACTGATCCCAGGCTCTGAAAGAACATGTAGGCAAAAATATTGGAACTTTAATGCAAACTTGTTAAAAGAAGAATATTTTTGTGACATGGTTAAAAAAATCTTATATTCAATCATGACAAATGATGAGATAAAGTGAGAATGTACTCAATTAATTATGGTAAAATATTGTGTAATAAGCAAAAAGAATTAGAAAAACAGCTGATAAAAGACATTAATGATTGTTGTAAAAAGAATTTATTATTAGAACCTAATAAAGAGGAAATGATTAGATTACAAACTAAATCAGACGATTTCTACTTAAATAGGGCACAAGGGGCATTTATACGATCTAGAGCAAAATGGATGGAAGTTGGTGTAAAAAACAGCTCTTATTTTAGTAGATTAGAAAAAAGTAGACAGAAATGCAATTACCACCTTAAATCCAAATAATAAAATTGTAACTGATCCAAAAGAAATAAGTAATGAGATTTTTAAATTTTATCAAAGCCTATATTCATCATCATTTTCCATGAAAGACTCTGAGAATTTCTTCAAAAATTCTATAATTTTATTCCTAAAATTGATGAAGATTTTAAAATGATATGTGACTCTGATTTAAAAATTGAAGAACTTGATGCTGCTATTAAAAAAATGGCTTTAGGTAAATCACCAGGTCAAGATGGACTTGCAACTAACTTTTATCTTTTTTCTGGAATGATATGAGAGAAATGCTCTTTAAAGCACTAAAAGAATGTTTAGAAAGTCATACACTACTAACTACAATGAAACAGGCTATAATTATTTTAATACCTAAACCAAAAAAGACAACACTCTTATTGATAATTTAAGACCAATTACTTTACTTAACATTGATTACAAAATATTCACTCATGCATTAGCTAGTAGACTTAAAGGTGGTATAGGTAAAATTATTAGTGATACACAATCTGGGTTTCTTCCAAATCGACTAATACATAATAACATTCGCATGGTGTTAGATTTATTAGACTATTCACATTTGATAGAGGATGATGGTATAATACTATTTCTGGATTTTCTAAAAGCTTTTGATAAACTTGAACACCCTTTTGTTTTTCAGTCTCAACAATATTTTGGGTTTGGGACAAAATGTATTAATATTCTTTCAATGTTGACAATATAACAAATAACAAGTGCTGTTTTACTTCAATCGGGTACTACAAAGAGATTTGATATCAGAAGGGGAATACGACAGAGAGATCCAGTCAGCCCACTTCCTTTCTTACTTGCTGCTGAATTATTAGCACTGTATATTAAAAATAATGACAATATTAAGCCATTAAATGTTCTGAGTAGATCCTTGGTAATTACACAACTAGCTGATGATACAACTTGATTTCTGAAGGACTCTAATCAAATACCGATTGCCTTAAAGTCTATATCATTGTTTTCTAATGCTTCAGGGTTACATTTAAATTTGAAAAAATGTGAGATTCTAATTCTTCACAATAATACATAAAATTCATTGTATAATATCCCAATTAAAAGCTAAATAACATACTTGGAAATAACTATTACAAAAAAATTTAGGGACAGGGAAAATATTAATATTCATACTGTTGTATAGAAAAATAAAAAAACATTAAGTAGCTGGTTACAAAGAAATATTTCAATTTTGGGGAGAATATTATTAACAAAAATGGAAGCAATATCAAGATTAATCTATCCAGCATATTGCTTAGGTGTAACAGAAAGATGTATTAAACAAATTAACAGAGTTCATTATGAGTTTATTTTGGAACAATAAGCAACATTTATTTTGAAAAATGATTTGGTAAAGTTATCAGAGGAAGGGGGGTTGAATGTTATTGATTTTGGCGTTATAAATGGAGTAATGAAGTTAAAATGGTTACAAAGCTTTGTTAAAGATGAACCGTCTTTATGGTTTAGCATCCCTTTTCATATTTTTCAAAGGATGGGAGGAATTTCTTTTTTTCTAAAATGTGATTTTGACTTACTAAAATTGCCATTTAAATTGTCTGGTTTTCATGCGCAAGTGTTACTATATTGGAAAATGTTGTACAAGCACAATTTTACTCCACATAATGTTATCATTTGGAATAACAGGTGTGTTTTTCTACATGACAGGAAATCTTTATTTTTTAAAGACTGGTTTGACAAAGGAATTTGGAATGTAATTCATTTAATGGATGATGATGGTAATATGTTGAGCTATGATCATTTTAAGTTAAAATTCAATTGTAATTGTGCACATAGAGAATTCTCTTTGGTTGTCAAAGCTATTCCTGTAGCTTTGAGGAACTTAGTTAAAGGTATAGTGCAATACTCCTCTGTAATACCTACACTAGTTGATTTGTTTATAAATAATTATTCATTTTGGGATATTAAATGTAACAACAAGGTCTTGAGATCACTACTGACAAAAGAATATTTTCCTCTTCCTGTTAATAGAAAAGTTTTATCTGAGAGATTTTCTAAAGCAGACACTATTGATATTAGAAAAAGATACCTGTCATTTCCCTTGTTGCCTAAAATGAAAGAAGTACATTTCAAAACAATTAATGACATCTATCCATGTAACGAATTTCTTAGAATAAGATTTCATTTAGACAGTAATGCTTGTATTTTTTTGCCTGAAAGATATAGAATCACAGGAACATCTTTTTTTATAGTTGTTCCAGTGTCAAATCCTTTTGGGACAGATTGTATTAGTGGTTGATAACTAAAAATGTAACACCTGCGTTTGACTATCACATTGTGAAATTTGGCATTTTTATGAAAAACAAGGAAGTTGAATTTCTATGTAATAATATGTCGATTGTAGCAAAATTTTATGTACACAAATGTAGATTTGTTAAAGTTTCTTCTTGTTTCAAAGCATTTACAAATGATTTCAATATGTTATATAAATCTATAAAACAAGTCAAAACAAAAGGTGCCTTAAAGCTCTCTAAGCTTTTGTCAACATATATGGACTGACCCCTCTGAATGTAATGTATTTTCTTTTGTATTATTTAAGGTTTATTTTTATGTTATTATTAATTTGTACTGTTTTGTTTATTATATGCTGCTTGGTTATAATGTTATATATGTTTAACAATGGAAGTTGAAAATGCCTGTTTGTTATTTAAAGTTTAAATAAAAAAATAAATTAAAAAAAAAGTTTGTCTAGACAATAGTAAAATACGAGATTGCTAGAATATAAATGTGTCAATGTGGGAATGGACATAAACAATTTAGCAATATACTGTATATAAACATGTAGCCTATCAAAAAATAGAAGTGAAAGTCACTGATGATATTTTAAGCATGAGGATTAAAATATCAGCCATACTTATTAGGGTCGAGTCAAACCATTCATTTACACATTCATTAAAGAATTTACCCATACAAAATGTCAACCTCAACACTACCAGTGAAACATATACACACGCACGCAGTACAATAAAGAATGAATGAATAAAAAGGGAGCAACATTATTATGTCAATAGAAAAAAAAAGCATGCATCCAAAATCAAAAGAATGCTGAGTTTATACGAAGGACGAAACCGGCAAAAATAAATAAATAAATGAATAAATGCGCAAATAAATAAAAGACAGAGTACATAAATGCATAAATTCATGCATAAATAAAAAATGAATAAATGCGCAAATATATAAAGAAATTGGAGAATACATTTACATTTCTGCAAAAATAAAACAAACAAAAAAAAAGAATAACTAAATACGCGCATATATACATAAATAAGCATTGAAATCTATAAATTCCTGTATAAATAAAATAATTAATAAATAAATACGCAAATAAATAAATGAGTAAATAAATCCATAAATGCAGGCATAAAATAAATAAATACGCAAATAAACAAATAAATAAATAAATGTCTGCATAAATAAAAATGGATAAAAACGAAAATATATAAATAAATAATAAAACAAAGCATAAATAAATAGGAAAATATAAATTAATGCATAAATAAAACTATAAATAAATAAAAAAGCTAATATAACAATAAATGAGTAAATAAATCCACAAATTCCTGCATAAATAAAGCAAATAAATATGCAATTTATTTATTTATTGTTTTATTTATGCAGGTATTTACGAATTTATTTATGAACTTATTTATTTATTTGTTTTTACCTATTTTTGTATAGTTTTTGAAGGTGTCGTCTTCTATAGGTTTTTAGTAAAATAGTAAAAAAGTAAAATAGTGAAAAACAAATGTTTTTCAATGATTTTTATTGTTACAACTGTTTATTTTAATTAATTTCGATTTTTAGTTCGTTGTAAAACTGACGCAGAATTCATTTCATTAAGGCGTAACGCTGGTGTTTTACAAGTTTAGCCTGTTTACCGCGCAGCCGCTTGCATACAGGCTATGAGTATGTGTGATCAGTTATTGATTGATTATAAGGCATATACTTTATGCAAAAACAATATGGCACTTTCAAATGGCCACAGAAACGCTCCACAGAAACGGCCCAGCATGCGTCACATTTAGAATTGAATGTGAATGTTCGAAACGGTGACATCATAGCTAAGAGAATGCGAATGCAACTCTGACTTTGGCATTCTGCGGTTAAACTAGTTGAGCGATGGGTCAACGTAATTGTCGTTGCAAAAAGGCAAACAATGATTTTGAGCGTGTGCACGTTTACCATCACGATGCACCGCCACAGCTCACCAATTTGTTGGAAGCTCATAAACATCCTGTTGGCGTAGGTGAAGATAGTGCGAGTGAGGGGAAAAATAAAAAGAGAAAGGAGGCCAACCGTAAAAAGAAAAGAAGGTTCAAGTTGTGGCGGTGGTTCTCCTGTCTGAGAGCTGCTGAAAAAAATAGTACACTTCAGGTTGTTGGAGAGGCTCAGGACATTGGGGCAACTGCAGCACCACCTGAAGTACAACCTTCCTCCTCTTCAGGTGACGGATCTCTACAGCAGGTCATTCATACTGTAGAGCTCAATCTTCAGGAACCTTCAGCCAGTGACCCTGAAGTCTATCCAACAGTAAAGACACATCTTACTGTTCAACCTGATGTCCTCCGTTCTCCAGTTCTGAGCAGCAATACTGCTCAGACTTCATTCGACTGGAACTTTGACATCAGCCAGACTCCATTGCTTAGTCCTGACTATTGTGATGGCCTGGCTCTAGCACGCACCACATCAAGGTGGAGCAATGATTTTACTAAGCCTTCAGCACACACCATGTCAGATTGGAGCATTGATGTGATCAAAACTCCAACACGCATCACATCAGATTTTAGTACTGACGCTACCCGGACTCCGGTACACAACGTGTCAGTCTGGAGTATTGATGTCACCCAGCCTCCATTTCACTCATCCACTTCTGATTGTTGTAACAATGCCACTGAGATTCCAGTCCCCGATGCTTCCGAGGGGAGTGCCAATTTCCCTCAGATTTCACAGCACACAACGTCAGACTGGAGCATCAATGGTGGTCAAGCTCCAGTCTGCACACAGGCCTCTGTTTCAAAACAAATAGAGAATAATGGAAAGATGACAAGTCAGGGTAAGTTGACTGTCCCTTAAACACACCACACACACACACACACACACACACACACACACACACACACACACACACACACACACACACACCTGCAATACTATATCAGGCCATTTTAATGTTTCCATTTGTGACCCTGGACCACAAAACCAGTCTTAAGTTATACATTTTTGGCAATAGGTAAAACTAAAGCTTATTTATTTAACATTCAGACCTCATTTTCAAAAAATGTACACTGATTAAGTAAAACATTTTGTCCTGTTTTACACTGGTTGATATTTCATATTACTTAACCTTGGTTTTGTTTTAATAGTCATCAATTCTTGCCACTATCTGATCGATGACATGCTGGGTGAAGGATCCTTTGGAACTGTGTACAAGGGGCGACGTCTACACGATGACTTAAAGGTGCCTTTCATTTTTCTGGATAGGATAAATAGTAACAAATACAATATGTTAGCTGTACAATCATTCTTACATACACTTTGCTTATTTCTTGTTTATTAGGTGGCAGTGAAATTTGTCACAAAGACGGAAGATGTGGAATACATACGTATCGTAAGTGATTTCTCATAAGACAAGCTACTGTTGTCGAAATTTTGTGAAATTATGATTCAATTCATAATCTATAGAAGATATATCTATCTAAACATCATAAAAAATGTATTTCCTGTAGTCGGGTCATTCAGAGCCCTTTCCTCTTGAAGTTGCACTTCTCATCCTCGCCCATGGAGTATCCAGCGTTCCAGAAATAATCCAGCTTCTGGACTGGCAGGACCAGGAGGACCATTATATAATGGTGTTGGAATACCCTTCACCCTGTGAGGACCTATATGCTTTCACAGAAAGCTATGGAGGATCCATAAGTGAAGGTTTAGCGCGTGTTGTTATGCAGCAGGCAACTCAAGCTGCATACATGTGCTGCCGCAATGGTGTTCTACATCGCGATATCAAACTTGAAAATCTACTAATCAACAAGGAGACTCATAAAGTCAAATTAATAGACTTTGGGTGTGGAGACCTTCTCAAGAAATTACCCTACGATACATTTGCCGGTATGTATTAACCCTTAAGCTGTGAAAAACGATATTCTGAATGTATAGCAACAAATGCTAATTGATGCAAAAATCTTTTACCTTTAGGCACCCTTGAGTACTGCCCCCCAGAGTTTGAGGAAACGGGTGAATACAATGGGAAGCCGGCAACAGTCTGGTCCCTTGGCATCCTCTTGTTTGTATTGGTGTGTGAGGACTTTCCCAACCCTCAAGAACTGCACATGATCAATGAGAACAACTTCTCCAAAGCTGGCTTGTCCGATGGTAAGCTCTTTATTTCAAAGACTCTTACATGCAACATCAAAGGAGGTGTGAAGTTCAAGGTAAACAGATGTTTCAACTGTTTTTCACAGAATGCTGTCAGTTGATTAGTTGCTGTCTCCAGCAAAAGCCAGAGCAGCGGATTCAATTAAAAGAGATTCTTCTCCACGAATGGTTCAAGGTATGAAGCCTAAGCAGAGTATTTTGGGAGGGTTAATTCAAACACAAGACTATGGATGTTAGCTTAGAGAATATTAGATTTGGATTGATAAACTAATTGCTGTTTTTATTTTAGGACACCAACCTGGAGAACTGAAGAACAGCCACCCTACATGTTATTGTCTTGAGAGGAACGTTTCAGGCTGTTTGAGGCAGGAAATCTTGAGCAGGAGGTGGCTCCTCTCAAAACAAACAATAAAACATACGCATTAATTGAACTCTTGTGAAGAGTATTATTTGACAAAAACAATTCTAGGAGAGCACATATTTACATAGTACTGTGAATCTTGTTTCTGTCATGTATGATAAGTATGCAATGCATTTCTTGTGTCATGCTATTCTTACAGTTAAAAAGATGACTAGAGGCTGCATATTGACACAATAAACGTGTCAAAAAAGTCACCAACACAAAACAGCTGATGATAAACATCATTTTAAGCTGTAAAATGACATCACATTTCCACTCTGAAAATGAATATTTAAAATAACAGACACTTCCCTGCCACATGTATTTGTTCTTCAGACATCTCACCAAGCAATGAGACGTTCAAATGCTGTCTAATAGACTCTAAACGTCTGGCCAAAAGAAGGCTAAATTTGGGTAGGCAGTGCAAATCTATATGGCTACTTGATGACTTGATTTATAGATAATTATTCATTCATTCATTTTCCTTCGGCTTAGTCCCTTTATTAATCAGGGGTTGCCACAGCGGAAAGATCTGCTAACTTATCCAGTATATGTTTTACACAGCAGATGTCCTTCCAGTCACAACCAAGTAAACTCCTATACACTCACATTCACACACATACACTATGGCTAATTTAGACTGTGGCTTCTTCAATTCAGTTTCCCCTACCTGTACTGTGGGGGAAACTGGAGCACCCGGAGGAAACCCACATGAACATAGAGAGAACATGCAAACTCCACAAAGAAACGCCAAGTGACCCAGCTTGGTCCCGCTAGGAAGCCAGCGACCACCTTGCTGTGCAGCAACAGTGCTAACCACTGAGCCTCCATGCCACCTTATAAGCAGTTAGATGTTTTTCAAACACACACAAAAACGTTTGTTTTTTTCCCTTCGCAAGTTGAATTACTGTGCATAGGTCAATTCAAACATAATACATCTAGATATGTTTATATCATGTTTACAGTTTTTGGCCATAAATACTTAAACAATGACAATATGTGGGCTTGAAATTGCTAATTTTAAAATTTTGTTCTAAATTTTTTATTTTCTGTGCAAATACAAAAAACATAAATAAATAAATTTTAAAAAAAATTGTGAAAATGGCAATGCCATGTGAAAGCAAATCCGAGCAGCAAATCCGGATTTTACAATCTCCAGGGCCCGGTTTTTCAAAAGTAATCCACTAGGATTTTGGATAAGGGATTGGATCAAATCTTGAAAATGGGTTTTTCAAAAGAAAAATTGGATTACATAATCAGATTAGATCACGTAATCTAATCTTGGTTTTGATTTGGATAGTTTGGGTTTTTCAGACCTTTTTTGTAGGATCTGGATCATTTTGATCCAAAAAACCTGGATTAAACTGATCCCATCAGAAGGGTGGATTTAGCGTGGATTTCATGCCCAAAATGTAATTAAAACGTAAAAAAATGTATTAAATAAAACTATATTGGATCATGCAGAATCTTAGGAGATATACTATTTATTCATAACGTTTTAATTTTATTTGTTCATCTGTCAGGCTATAGTGATTATAGGCTTTAACGTACACTGTTAACCCTTACTGTAGATTATGCAGTAAATAACTGTAAAATAGCCAGTGTTTTGCTGTAATAAAAGGAAACAGTATTTTACAGTAAAAGGAGCAGGATTTGTATGAAATTTTGTAGTGCAAAGAATAAATTACAGTAATTTATTTTATGTACCCATTACAGATAGTTACTGTGATAATAAATGGTAAATTACTGCTCAACCATTATTACCCCATGTACTCTGATGCTTTATGTTGCTATATATATATATATATATATATATATATATATATATATATATATATATAGTTCAGTTTTGGTATGTGTATGGTCAGTATTGAGGAGAAAGTGAGGCAATGCATTGATGATAAGATAAATTTCTCTGCAGCCATCTCTGTGTTTTCTTTGGTTCCTTTTATGTTTTTAACATTGAGTATCAGGAGTCAACCAATGTCAATGTCACAGAGCTAATTAAAAGGTAAAGATATCAACCTATATATTACCTATAGTAATATATATTACTATAGGTTTGGAACAACATGAGGATCAGATTATTATTATTTTTTTTTATTTGTTTGCTTTGGATGAAGTTTTTATATTTTTATTGTTTTTATTCAATGATATGTGCATGATTGTGATAAATGTAGGCAATTCCTTTGAAAATATGCTATGTACCAGGGATGTCAAACTCCTGAAAGGCCACAGCCCAGCAGAATTTAGTTCCAGCCCTGCTTCAACACACTACCTTTAGATTTAGTTTGATCAGGTGTGTTTAATTAGTATAACTGCACTGTTACTCTGGCTATTTTACAGTTATTTACTGCACAATCTACAGTGTTTTGCTGTAATAAAAGGAAACATTTATTATTTATTAACACATTATTTTACTGTAAAAGGAGTAGACTTTGTGTGAAATTGTGTAGCGCAAAAAATAAATTACAGTAATTTACTTTATGTACTCATTACAGATAGTAACTGACAATAAATAGCAAATTACTGTTCAACCATTACTGTCCCATCTTCTCTGATGGTTTATGTTGCTATTTATAGAGATGTGCATTTTAAAGGCAGAAATTAATGATTTAGGCATCACCACACACTCCCACGGGCTGTCTGTCTTCTTCTAAACACAAAGGTGTTAGAAAGAGTTTTCAGAAAATGCTGGCCCTTTAAGGGAGCCAGGTGTTTGATTTGTTTACTGCTGAGTGTGCTCTATTCTCTGTCCATCAATTCAGATGTAGAGTCTGATATGTATTAGGCTTTAAATAAGAATCTACAACGAGTAAATAAAATGTGTTCAAATGTTTTTGAGGGTTTCTTTAATAAGGCTGTGTTTTAAGTTATATTGTTGTTATCTTGAACTGTGTACTTGAAAGCTACATTGTTAGCTAGTTAGCCTCTCCTCATATAACTTCTTACATTACTTTTGTCTAAGTATATGTATTTATTGGATATTGCATACTGCCATAATGTACAGATGCTAACAGTTGTATGTATCTTTCTGGCAACTAAGCCAAAATTAAATTCCATCATCTCTGTAAGGTAACATGTGCACATCATCACAGGGAATCACAAAAACATGATACACATAGCCATCCACACACAAAAGCTCCACTGTCAGGTCACAGGTTGTGAGTTTGTTGCCAAGTATTTTTCAGAGCAGTGTTTCCACCTATGAATTTATATTAGAAACAATAAAAGTTTGTTGTCATGAGATAATTATAACAATAAAAGATTGGATCCTTTGGTTTTTCGATGTTGCCAACTTTATTTTTATTTTTTATAATTATTTTAAACTTTTTATTGAGATTTGACACAGTTTTTAATTATTTAAAACTTTAAAATTTAAAATAATTATGTCGTGTTTTTTGCTGTTCATTTGCTGATCTACCTTCCTGCAGATTCCAGTTGCTATCCATATCAAACACACCTAAACCAATTAATTAGGACCTAAACACCACTTGATAATTACAGGCAGGTGTGTTTGATATGGGTAGCAACTGAAATCTGCAGGAAGGTAGATATCCAGGAACCGGATTGAGCACCCCTGCTATATACCATGGGGGTCAAACTCCAAGTTCCTGGAGAACTGCAGCAGCAGAATTTAGTACCCACCCTGCTTCAACATTACCTGTAGATTTCTAACAAGCCTTAATTAGTTTGATCAGGTGTGTTTAACTAGAGTAACAGCTTAAAGTCCCGGTCACACTGCACTTTTCTCCCAATAGACTTCGATTCATACGCATGTGAGTACTGCAGACCTGGAATAATAGCTCATGCGACAAATTTCATAATTCGCAGCATTGGAAAGTTCAAGCTTGGAGAACGCTGACATGCAAAATCACATCATGTGATTGCTTGATACCAATCAAAGATCAAAACGTGACCTCTCTGGCTTGCTTTTTCAATCTCTAATTATTTTGTTTAATTCCACTTCGCAGTGCAGTATGACAGAATTTCGCATGCTCAAACGTTAATGTGACCGCAGCCTTACTGTGCAGACCTGTAATCTGCAAGACAATAATTATATCTGCTGATTTCTTAATTTTGTTATACTTTTTCTGTTATTTATTTGTTTGGTGCCAAAACAATAAAATAAATTTGTCTGAAAAATGTTATGCCTTTTTTTTAATAACAGCTAAGAATACTGATTAATTTTAGTAACACTACAATAACTATATATTACATACTATTAATGTGTATGCAGTATAATGCTGTGATTTGTAACACTACAATACAGTAATTAACTGTACACAGTTTCCAGTTAGTTACCACTGCTGCTCTATTACAGTAATTAACTGGCAACAAAGTTGCCAGCTACTCACTGTATTGGTTCAGTTACAGTAAATAACTGGCAACACTGTTGCCAGCCACTCACTGTAATGGTTCAGTTACAGTAATTAACTGGCAACACTGTTGCCAGTTACTTACTGTAACTGAACTTTTACAGTGAGTGGCTGGCAACAGTGTTGCCAGTATTCTACTGTAAAATCAACCCGGTAAGGTCTAACAGTGTAGGTTAATTAAGGTAACTAGGCAGGTTAGGGTAATTAGGTAAGTTATTGTAAACGATGGGTTGTTCTGTAGACTATCGAGAAAAAATATAGCTTAAATGGGCTAATAATTTTGTCCCTAAAATGGTGTTTTAAAAAAATTAAAACTGCTTTTATTCTAGCTGAAATAAAACAAATACGACTTTTTCCAGAAGAAAAAATATTATTAAAAAATATTATATATATATATATATATATATATATATATATATATATATATATATATATATATATCAAATATTATTTTATGTATATATAAAATGAATAAATCATATATATATATAACAGTAAACTTTGCTAATAAATCATATATAATCTATTTATTAGTGAACTAATACACTATAATAAGAGGCTTTATTTTTAAACTGTGGTATAGTTTAATATACCCTATAGAAAATGTAGTACAATATTGGGTCATTTGATTAAATTAGGCTATTACCACATAAAGAGTTATCACAAGAGATTAATTTGAATATTTGCCATAGTGTTCATTGGTTTAAAAACATGCGCTATAACCAGAAGTGGATTTAGTGATTTTGGGGCCCTAAGCAATTCCAGCCAAGGGGCCCAATATTCTAAAATGCACCTTTTGTATTTTATTTATTTTTTATTATTTTCAGTTTTTTCTTATATCTATCGGTCATCTTTTCTACATTTTTTCTTAATGTAAAATAATACGTGAATCACCAGAAAACTTTTGAAACTAGTTGTTTTTTAGATGCATTTTCAACTAAAAATATTAGGTGAACTTTTTGTTTTAAAATCTAAATCTTTACTGATTTTACTGCTTGACTGGTCCATGATTGAAGGGGGAGGACACATTTCCTCAGATGTGATAATTATGTTCAAATTAAAACTTTTAGACCCTCGCTGTACAAAATATGATTAAATAATATCATTTTAAGGTATTACTTATACTTCTAGGTATTTATCTGGGGGCCCTCAGATTTCCTGGGGCACTTAGCAGCCGCTTACCTTGCTTATTGGTTAAATCCCCTGGCTATAACTAATAACTAAAGGATTTTTCATGGGGCTGTCTATCATTCGAATTGTCTGATAACCTGGGATTCTGACTTTTCTATATCCCTGTGGAATATGGTGTATTTAGCTATATAATCATGTCTTTTTATCTATTCGTCCATCTAACTTCGTCGTTCTGTTTCACAGGTGTTGATACTTATCCAGCTCTAGGGGGCGCAAGAATATAGTTTTTCATACCTTTCAAAAAAATTTTGTTTTGAATTGAATTGGTTCTCCCATTAAAACAAAAAATAAAAATAAATAAAAGCATAATGATCATGACATTTCTGTAGCCAGGAATAAAGGGTATGTAACTTCTCAGCTATTAATAGATCATGTGGTTCTTGAACAGCCTATGGGTGAAGCTCACTAGAGAACTGAGGTACGCAGATGGAAAATCTTGCTTGTGAACAAGGCCTAGAGGTTGAAGACACTCAAGTAGGTCATGCCAAAACCATCACTAGTGCTCATACCATTTTATGTCCAAAAAACATACTTATAAAAAGTAAATATTTAGAAACTGTAAAGCATCTCACTTCTGTTGAACACAAAATATTTAGAAAATCCTCAAAAACCTATTGACTTCTATTGTATTATTATTTGTGACAATGGAAGTCAATGGGTCACAGCACTCAATTTTTCAAAATATCAGCTTTTGTTTTTGACAGATTAGATTTAAAATCATATGAGAATACTGTACTATTCCCTCACTTTCTCAAAAAATGCAAGCACCAGTGTCTTTAAAGTGATTTTATTGAAAGCCTCTTTAAAGAAACACACAAAGCAACAACAGAAAGACATTGAAATGACCTGTACAATTAGTGTTCTCAAATCATGCATCCGTTACATTACAATAACACAAGATCAAGATCATAATCAGCTTCATCAATGGCATTAACCTTACGCATCAACAAAAAGATGACTCCTATAAAAATCACATTTAATTCAGTATTTGGGTTCTACATTCTCTCAAACCCAAATTAGACTAAAATTGAACAACAATGGCTATACAATAAAGGCAGCACGTATCATTCACGTCTACGGCACGGGAAAATCATTAATATTAATTATAAAATATTTTCATAAACAAACAAAAACACATCAGACACTGATATATCTGTAGATGTAACCTCCAGTAGGCCTTCATCCTTAGCTTTTTAAACATATTTCTTCTTGCCTGTGCCGTCCTGGTTCCTAGTGGCAACATCTTATAAAATACAAGCCCTATTGCATGAAATGTAGGCCACATAGTATCATAGTGCTAAGCTACCTCTTTAAGAGCAACCACCTTGCATTGTTTCACACCATGGCGAAATCTATTTTCTACTATTACGGATATTAGGGTAAACAAAGACTTGGCTGTTTGCAACAATTTTAGGCAAAGGTAACAACAACATCATGGGGACTAACTGAGCAGCTGAAGGCAACACATGCTTCGGTATTAGATATTTTTGTACAGATGCACCACATGTGGCGCCCTCCACGGGGCAGCACCAGGGATATGTTCAGATCACAAATTATTTCAGACCTGGGACAAACGTTTGAAGACTTTTTTTATATATAAAAAATAAAATGTAGATATAATGAAAATAAGGTTGTTTGTTTACCAAAGCGTTTTTAAGATTAGCATATTTTTTAAATTGTTTTTGATAGTCAGATCTTATGAGAAAACGTAACTATTTTACGTTTTCAGTTTAGTCGCTAATTCGTATGAATTCGTAGTACAGTTGCAGGAAAATCTGCAATTTAAAAAAAGAAAGTGTGGCACCCAACCTGGCCCTTAAACCCAACCGTAATTGGGGGATGAGCAAATCATACTAAATTGTACGAATTCATATGAATTAGCCACTATCAAAAAGTTACGAATTGCCGTGAGATTGTGTTGATATACTACATTCTTTTTAAACACCAGCAATGTGATGAGATGAAAGATGGCTATTTGTTTTTTCTGGTCTAAAACTGGGTGAATATACTGCTAATAAATGTAACTTTTTAGCCAGCCACCCAATCAGAGTGAAGAAGGGGCGGGGCAATTACTGCACCAATCAAAATGCTCCAACATTATTGTTATAAGGTGTTCAACAAACATACCATTTGACAAAATAAAAAGAAATCAATTATTATCTAAATTGTGCTACCATTTAATCAAAAACAATTTACGTTAAAAGGAAAAAAAAAACCTACACAGAGAAGTGTTATTAATGATTAAATGGGCTAAAAACGCTTTCGAAAGTCCGAAAAGTAAGTCTGAATGCATTGACATTAACGTTTAGAGGTTAGTTATTTAAAAAGGTTACAATACTTCTTTAAAGTAAAACAAATATTTAAATTTCATTTTCGAAAATATGTTGATGGAAAAACAATGCCATATTGTCAAATCACTCTGAGGTTCATTCCTCCCTAAAGGCACAGCTATAGTGTAAAAGTGCTCCATTAAAAGACGGCTGTATAACTACAAGTGGAACTAAATTGTGTTCTATAATTAAATCTTATAATGAGGTTTGCCTTTGTCCTCTGGTGGAGTCTGACATTTTATCATCACTCAATACAACAAAGTTAGCTGCCATAAACTGAAGGTTATCCTGTTTCTTCAGGCCTAATGTGGCAGGTTATAATATTGCTCGCAAAAATCATTCGAACAAAGTTATATATGTCGCAATTTCATGACTTTGCGAATTTGTCATGTATGACAGTTCATACCGTGCCCATTGTTTATTAAGTTTGTCCAGGTGATTAGTCAGTTTCAGATAGATCGACAAACTGGCTGGTTTAACTGCATAAGCCCCACGAAATTAAGCTGACAGTTCCCAAACTATTTAGATATGTTTTTAGAAATTTGAGAAAAAGTTCCTTTCACATGGTACAAACCATGACCATACGAGCACCAACAATCAACACATGACTTCTCCCAATGGGGAAAAATTTGTTTACCTGCTCAACGCATAAACTCGCTGAAACTACTTCGCTTTCAGTCAAGTTGAAAATGTTGCATGAAGTTCACCCAAAGTTAGGTATAATTTTTATGTACTGATCCTCATGTATTTCCAAACCTTTTTGTTTTTAAACATATAAAAGATACAGGTTTATTGAACAGAAATGCCAAAGCTGCTCTTTTTCATATTGATGAATTGTGAACAAGACTAGTGTGCAAATTTTACCTATAGAGATCCCAGTAAAGAATGGAATTGCTTACACTTTTGTCTATTTATAACACAAAGCTATTAGATAAACAGCATGCAAGCCAATTATCCTTTCTGCAGTTTTACTGCTCCTATTCACTTCCACTATATGTAAATGTGCATCATAGAAGTATTTCAAAATGAGTAAATATTGACATTTTTGGAATAACAATTTCTTATCCTTTGAATCAAAACTAGTTCAATACAGTTGAGTAGTAACTGCTAGGGATCCACTTTTATTTTCTTTCTTTATTATTTTCTTTATTAGATACACTTTTATTTATTTTATTTTCTTAAGGAAACCATTTTTGAAACTTGATAGACTAATATTATCAGTTCAATATCAATACTGACACCTCCCAATACTCTACAAAACAAGTTTTATCCCAGGTCTGTGTTTTTTGTCAATTCTAGCACCCAGTTGGAACTGTAGACAACAGGACAAGAACAAGAGCCAACGACATGCAGTCACTGGCAAAATATGCACAATGAACATGGTCCCAGGCTGCATTGTTTTAAAGTGTGGTTGAGGGTTTCATCAACCAAGGCAATCTGTTATATTTGGTAGGTTTGAGACGCACTTAAAATAGAAGTCTCTTTGAAGTCTACCAATCAAGTTCGGAGAGAAATTATCTCAGCCCCAAAAATACAGTAACTATTACATGAAACACAAACTATTGTAGTCAGAAGGCAATAATGAGAAGGTTCTTCTCAATCAAGAAAAATGGGAAGTTGAGTATGTGGAAGGTTTAACGTACAGTACCACAATTTAGATGCAGTCCTCAGCATTCAAACTTCAGTTTAGAGTCTCAGCAGACATCTAAATTAAAGCGGAGTTCAAGCAGAAGGAAACAACGGTCTTCAGAATTTTTCAGCTTGGTGCATATAAATACAGTCTCGCCTATGCCGGGATAATATAGTAAGTGCAATGACGACTGGTGTTCTTCATTAGCATGGGAGAAAATTGTTGAGATCAATGCAAGGTTCGGATGCCTAAAATGGGCGTATTGCCACATCAAGTGTTATCTAACAAGTGCGTGAGTGGAAACACAATGTTCACCCACACTGGCTGAACTTCCAAAGCAGGAGTGAAGCATCTTGTGCTGCATAATTCCAATGCAACTCAAAAAAAAATGTCTTGGTGCAATGTCACAAGGTCAAGAAAGCTGTCGAGATCAACATTTCTTGGGTGGATTCTGAACTTTAAGTCTGACGACATGGGAATGATGGTCTCTACAGGACTGGAGGTGACAAGACAAGGTGCAATTACTGGGGAAAAAAAGAGGGGGAAGAAAACCATGAAGTACCACAAACCATCATAACATGCTGTTTAACAAGTACAGGTCAAGGGAAGCACCCTTGCCTCTAAATAATATCTTAATAGATTTCAATTCAACCAAAAATTCATTTTAATTTCATTAATGGCAACTATTTTAGAGTGCATTAATATCATTATGGCAAGTTTTCAAAGAATTATGTGGGCAGATATTTTTGGAGGAGACTTTTGGGGGAACCGTCAATATGCAGTTGTGGTGGGAGAGTTTGGGTTGTCAGCTTGGCAAGGGGAGGAGGGATCAGAACCTGCTCCCGAATTGCAGAATTCCTTGATGGTGACTGTGAGAAGGTTTGTGGTGACATCAGTCACAACCACATTGGCAGAGCTGGGTGCCATTTCAGGGTGCCAATCGGGGTCTCCCTCTTTTGGAACTCTATTTTTCTCAGGAAATGAGGCAGTAGTTTGGTTACTAACCTGGCAGACCGAAGCTCGACCCACCTGGGTTTGATGACGAAGTTCCTGTTTTCTGCCCCGAGAAGTGGCGGACTTCAGAGATCCCAGGTCTTCATCTTCCTGAGATGATGATGGAGAGGATGAATAGGAGGGTGAAGAAGGAAGGAATGGTGTTGAACTGGATTTTGGGTGAGGCTGGGAGGTATCATGGGAGCGTGATGACTCTGTGGGTGTCAATTTAGCTGAAGATGTAGGGCCTTCTTTTTGAGTTGGTTGTTTCTGAGTTGATGGGGAGCTGCCATTAGACCCACTGGAGTTGGATGGAGAAGGAGTAGGCTGGTACTGAAACCTCTGCGCAGAAGATTGACTACCACACCTGCTTCCACCTCCATGACTGGCTCTAGTGTTGGACCCTTCATTGGCCATAGAGGATGCCCCTCCAGAGGGGTTAAGCCCAAAAGGTTGGCCATACATCGGAATACCTAACATCTTCATAGGATGCTGGAACGGCCTGTAAGGCATGTCCCCATGCTTTTTCCCAATGATTCGATTTCGGGATGGGATTTTCGCCCTCCCTGCAAATGACTGTGGTGTCCTTCTACTGGTCATTCCACCATTTTCAGATTTGTCAATGACCTTTAGGTTCAAGATTATGCGCCCTCGTTTAACCTCCCGTGGTTTGACCCTGCGGTTAAGAATGCGGACAGTTTCAGAAAATGGAGAAATGGGGTGACGAGACGAGGATCCTGTGGAGTTGGCCAGAGGGTCAGATCGTGGCAAAGGTCGTCGAGACATCATGTGACAACGATGTATGTCTTTCTTCAATTTATGAGCAGCTGCGAGAGAATGCACTCTAGGGGTTGGAGCGGTAGAGTGGGAAGAGGATGATGAAGGCTGAGGAGTAGCTGAACTTGCAGAGGAGGAAGCGGTGGGAGGCTTTGCAGTGGTGCAAGATGGAGTGCGTCGAGTATATGAGCTCCGAGGTCGATCACCCGACTGAGCCCGTGCCTAGACAGGCAGAAAACAAAGGTAAGTGAAAGAGATTAACTTTGAAATAGAAAGTTTTGAGAAGATCAATCAAAACAAACAAAAAAAAAAAATTGTATTAAAAAAAGAAATTCAAAGAAGTTCTCAAACCTTTAGTACAAAGTTTTTTGGTTTGGGTCCACGTTTCTTTGGGCCGTAAAGTTCCTGCTCCCTCTCCCTATGAATTGTATAACAGCACCATTTAAGCCAGGGAAAATATGACATCACTTTGGTGTCAAGTCTAAACCATAACAATGCAAATGATAGTCGTAGAAAGCAGCAAAACACAAGACGCATTGTTTAAAGAACCATCAGTCTAACTGGCAGCATAAAGCAGCAAAATAAAAAAGAGAAGAAAAATATGTAAACAGTTCTTTCCTAGATGTTACGTTGAAAATATGAACTGCTGGAATATATATATATATAAATGTAGTTTACTGAAAAATAGTTTGGTTCTTTACATTTGTATAACATTATAAAGATATAGAAGGTAAAAGTAAAGTCGAAACTGACACTCACTTTTGCTCAAAGGCTTTTATGAGTCGATCATCCAGGATGTTCTCCTCTGGTTCCCATGTGCTGTGTCTATATTGCGAAACATTGAATCTTTAGAATGCTAATGGCTGTTAAGGAATATCATGATGATAAAGAATATAAGTAGCCTACATGATAACTTCATGCTATAGTTTTAAGGTAGTTTATCATGCAAGAACACACTTGGTTTTTCATCAACCCAAACACTCAAAACACTTTTGTCCTCAATGATAAGGCCTGTTTCACAATGAATGCAAATATGTCAAAATGTCAAAAGTCAAATTTACACAGATACTTTTTAATCAGTAAATCTGATTTCACATGACATATGTGACCCTGGACAGAAAACCACTCTTATTTATTTTTATTTGTTTATTTTATTACTCCCAAATGCGAAGGCATCAACATTACAGTTTTTTCATTTATGCCAAAAAAAAAAGTAATTATTATGTTCCATGAAGACACTTTGTAAATTTCCTACCATAAATATCAATACTAATAAAAAATTAATTTACATTATATAGACAATATTTGGAAAGTGTAACTTTTTAAGTATTTAGAATTTTTTTTAACCGTTCAATGTTTTTAATAGTTTTATCCCAGCCAAATATTGTCCTATTCTAATAAAGTATACATCAGTGGAAAGCTAATTTATTCAGTTTTCAGAAAAGTCATAGGTCTCAATTTCAAAAACAATTCACACCTACGACTGGTTTTGGTCACATATAAAGTTTAAAGCTAAACTTTGGTGTTTAAATTCATTTGTTGCAGTTTATTCTCTATCTGGATGTAAATGTGTGGGACACTTTATTCTCATGACTAGCTTACCAATGGTATTTTTCATATATGTAACATAAAAAAAAATAAAAAAATTTATTTCTTTGCAGAGTTAAAGTCGTTACACACTAATCATGGGCCGGTATAAGTTTCGGACAGTATGACAACCTTCAATAAAAATATCAGTTTCATGTCATCACGGTATTTTGATTAATGCTCTAAAATATATTATTTTTAAATGTCTAGATTTTAAAAAAAATTTAAAAATTCCCCTTTGAACACAATATATTTTATTTTAAAAAACATTTAAAATATTTTGGAACAGTAAACATGTCCGGCTAAATAATTCAAATGAATCGCAGATTTGTTTACAATTTAAAATGGCATCTTTGGACATCTTTTCTGCTAGAAATACTGTTGTACTAAAAATAATTAAATAAAAAAAAAAAGTAAAACAAAAATCTTACATATACTTTAGGAATGGTACAGCAGAAAATCTAAGCGGTTTTAAGACCTTGACTTTTCCAAATCGTGGGATAATGGTTATCGTTCTATGCCTATTACATACTACTGGTAAAAAATGTCCTAAATTAAAACCCTAAACACTGTCTATAACTTACATTTCAAAAAACAAACACAATATACTACAACAACTATATTTCTATTGCAGTTTATATTTTACACTTACTTGAGCGCCCAACCCTTCCATTTTACCAGGTACTCGATATGACCCTGCAGACAGAAACATGATAAAAACATTCTTTATTTAAACAACAATTAAATTAATGTGTGCACAGGAATAATCAACCACCACGTCCATGTAATTTAGCCATTTTTTCCTGATCAGTAAAAGTTGGGTCATTTAAATATAAACTAACACACTGTCACAGCACAACTAGCCCATTAAACCACGTGCCATGACACTTTGCAGTATGTAAACCACACAAATCCTCCTGCATTGTTGAGATCTTTGGTCAGCCAGCATGCATTGATTTTGTCATGGACTCCTGCCAGACACTTTGTCCCTTTTTAGCCTCCTCCTCCTCCTGCCGCTGCTCTTTTAGCGGGGCTGTTGTCAGTTCCCAACACAGCTCAACCCGATTTTACTTCGCAAATCTTAAGCAACACATAAACGTCTCACATTTGAGGCGTTATTTCCAATCTGACAATATAAACAAATGCGTTGGCTTGCTAAATCGGGAAACATCTGCAAGTAGGCCTCCCCCCTCTTGTCATTGCTCCGCTTCGCTAGACAAACGAAAGACGACACTCTTTCTGTACTTCACGTCGTAGAAAACAACCCCAGCCTCTTTAGATATTAATCCTCTTTACTCACTTTCCTAACGCGGCTTTTTAGAATGGCTTCCGCGGCGAAAACCCGGTCTCCTGCCGCCGACAGCTCCATCTTTTCGGTGCAGACGGTTCTGTCTCGCGGCTCTACACTTTACAAATCTGTGACAGAAACAAACCCCCGCGCAGTCACGTGTTCCGGGGTCAACCAGCCCCGGTAGTCCTGGAAACGAAGAGAAGGGGGTAATAAAATTGTAAAACACTTTCTTCATATTCCATGTATTAATAAAGTATACATTGGAATACCTTGTTTGAAGGTTTTTCTAGCTGATTATCATGTATGAATTAATAGTAAGAGATTTAAAGAGTTAAAGTTCATTCAAAAGTGAACTTGCTATTTGTGATATGTATAACCAATGTGCTAATTAGGCTATACATTGACGATGGAGGGGTCAACTTTTTTCGGTAGTGGTTTGGTAATACATGCTTCTGTGAATCAAAATATGTATTTAAGTTACATCTAATTCATGTATATGTTTTTAGTGTTTTGAGGGATATTTAGTGACTATACAATACAAATTATGTGTCTTATTTTTCTTTTTTTAGGCTACATGCAGATATGAACACCTATTTTGCAAGAAAAATGTTTAGTGTATTCTTAAGATGTCTATGTGTGCTCTAGAACTGCCAGTTTCAGATTGTTGAATACTATTTTTCCTAGCATTGATTGGCACATTATGCATTCACAAAGGTATAAACCGTTAAAGGGGTTCAAATTTATATTTCTATGATACATGATGGGGGGGGGGGGGGGGGGGGGGGGGGGTTGAAGGGGGGGTCAATCCCCCAAAAGCACCCTATAATTCGCACCCTGTTTCTAACATATATTGACATTCTGAATAACTATTGTTGGTAGTTTGGTGTCTTGTTTCCAAAATGTACACTGCAAACTTGACAATGTATTTTACTTTTATTTTATTGATTTTGTATTTGGATGCCATGTTAGAATTGAAAAACGCTTATGGAAATTAACCATGGGCTACTACAAAAAAAAAAAAAAAAAAAGTTAGTGGAGTCGGATAGTTCACCCAGAATTACAATTTACCCTCAAGTTTACCCAGAATTAATATTTACCCTCAAGTGGTTTAATCACACTTTTCAATATTTTTATTAAATGTTAGGTAATATATTAATATTAATAATAAACTGATAATGAACAATATGTGTAGAGCATTTATTACTTATTATTATGTATTACATAGTAATTACTAGCACAAATGCATTATGTTTTAATTAGACAAACCATAGTTTAACAGCTGTATTTGTGGTAAAAAGAGGCATTTTTTTGAAAGACATCTGCTGTTTATCTCCCCAAAGCCCCCTCTAATTTGCACCCTGTTTCTAAGATATTGACATTCAGAATAAATATTGTTGGTAGTTTGGTGTCTTGTTTCCAAAATGTACACTGCAAACTTGACAATGTATTTTACTTTTATTTTATTGATTTTGTATTTGGATGCCATGTTAGAATTGAAAAACGCTTATGGAAATTAACCATGGGCTATTACAAAAAAAGGGTTAGTGGAGTCGGATAGTTTACCCAGAATTAATATTTACCCTAGTGGTTTAATCACACTTTTAAATATGTTCATTAAATGTTAGTTAATATATTAATATTAATAATAAACTGATAATGAACAATATGTGTAGAGCATTTATTACTTATTATTATGTATTACATAGTAATTACTAATGTTCAGGAGCACAACTAACATCCCCCTCACTTTTAAAGCCAAACCATTTAGAAACAGATGATTTATGATTATGTGAACGTAAACTTTTGGATCTTATTCAGCTGTTACAACACTTTTAAAATGTCCACTACGCCCCTGCTAATGTTCATTCATGCTAGTAACTAACAATGAAGCTAAAGAAACTCCTTTTTTAAAGGTTTGCTAGCTTCCTTTATTTTGTAAAAAATAATAAAAAAAAGCAGTAACTGTTGACTTCCATAGTTGGAAAACATATTTTGGAAGACGTTACTAGATTTCCAACAATTTTTAAATAATTAATCATTTGGTGTTCAACAAAAGGAGAAACTCAATCAGGTTTGTGACAAGTGAAGGGTGAGTAAATGCTTACAGAATTTTCAGCTTTGTGTGAACTATCCCTTTAAACCATGGTGAGCACAAATGCATTATGTTTTAATTAGACAAACCATAGTTTAACAGCTGTATTTGTGGTAAAAAGAGGCATTTGTTTGAAAGATATCTGCTGTTTATCTCCCCAAAGCCCCCTCTAATTCGCACCCTGTTTCTAACATATTGACATTCTGAATAAATATTGTTGGTAGTTTGGTGTCTTGTATCCAAAATGTACACTGCATACTTGACAATTTATTTTACTTTTATTTTATTTCTTTTGTATTTGGATGCCATGTTAGAATTGAAAAACGCTTATGGAAATTAACCATGGGCTACTACAAAAAAAAAAAAAAAAGGTTTGTGGAGTTGGATAGTTCACCCAGAATTACAATTTACCCTCAAGTGGTTTAATCACACTTTTAAATATTGTCATTAAATGTTAGTTAATATATTAATTTTAATAATAAACTGATAATGAACAATATGTGTAGAGCATTTATTACTTATTATTATGTATTACATAGTAATTACTAATGTTCAGGAGCACAACTAACATCCCCCTCACTTTTAAAGCCAGACCATTTAGAAACAGATGATTAATAATTATATGAATGTAAACTTTTGAATCTTAATCAGATGTTACTGCACTTTTAAAATGTCCACTACGCCCCTGCTAATGTTCATTCATGCTAGTACATATTAACAATAAAGCTAAAGAAACTCCTTTTTAAAGGTTTGCTAGCTTCCTTTTATTTTGTAAAAAAAAAACAGTAACTGTTGACTTCCACAGTAGGAAAACATATTTTGGAAGACGTTACTAGGTTTCCAACAATGTTTAAATAATTAATCATTTGGTGTTCAACAAAAGGAGAAACTCAATCAGGTTTGTGACAAGTGAAGGGTGAGTAAATGCTTACAGAATTTTCAGCTTTGTGTGAACTATCCCTTTAAACCATGGTGAGCACAAATGCATTATGTTTTAATTAAACAAACCATAGTTTAACAGCTGTATTTGTGGTAAAAAGAGGCATTTGTTTGAAAGACATCTGCTGTTTACAATGATCTAATAAACATTTGTAAAAGATTTGTTGTATGAACAATCGAAATTTCAACCATCTTAGCATATTTTAAACATCTATTTAATTTCCGAAAAGAGATGTCTTACAGACGTAATGTAGATGAGCAAATCCTCAAATAAATACATCTTCCAGATGTAAATACCAACAACAAATATAATTCTGTGTAGTATAAGGGATGGTAATCAATGCACCTAAAAACATGGTTATTATACCCTTGCTATAATAAAATTATGGTTAATCTTCATAAGGGAACTTTAAGAAGTTAAAAAATGCACAAATCCAATTCGTAAATTCAAAACACGATTCAAAAATACACAAATGCAATTCATAAATTTAAAACACAATTCAAAAATACACAAATGCAATTTGTAAATTCCAAAAACTATTAAAAAGTACACAACTGGAATTTATAAATTCAAAACACGATTCAAAAGTACACAAATCCACTATGTAAATTTAAAATATGATTTAAAAATATACAAGTTCCATTTATTTGATGATAAAAAAATATTTATTTTTACTTGTGAATTCACAAATTGTGTTTACAAAATGACATATTGGATTTTGTAAATGTGTATTGTGCTGACTTTCATTTTCTAAATGTATTACTTTTCAGTCTTTTAAATACAATAAATATAAATTTGTAACATTTAAAGCTATGCAAATAGGCCTACATAATATGCATGATGTTTTACAAAGTTTAGATGGAGACGATAACTGTACATTCATTTACTAAACTTTTTTATAAGTTGTTCAAAACCCCCATAACATATGGACATATACACATTTAAATCTTTATATATTTCTTCATTTTATTTTGTAGTTAAAACCAGTTGTATAAATATATACCTCAAATCTAAAAACAGAAATGAAAAATAAGGCTCTTAACATCTACATTAGTTATCAGAATATCTGAAACCTCTTAAACTACTTCAGTGTCAATGTTTACACGTCAAAGCTAATCCATAACGTTAATGTCAAACATAACGTTATAATGTTTTTTTTTTTAGACTTTCTCTTATAGATATAATGTATTTTACATCCAAAAACTGCAAACCATCCCCTTTAAATTAAGAGCTATTTGAATTTTACTAAAGTCTAGAAGCTACTCGGTCGCCCAGACCTTATAAATCATTAAACACGGATGAATCCTAAATAAGAGCATTTTCTCGGCTTCAAACGCCTCTTGATCTTCATTGGCCGAGCTTGCAGTTGCGCACTGGATAAACGCATGCTGATTGGCTGTTGTCTCTGCCAGTCAAGCTTACACAAGGTTGGTTGTCATGCAGTGATTGTTGACGTCCTATCAAAAGTCAGCGATTTACTGACTCTGCGAAGCGCTAACAGTATAGGATAATGAAATAGCGATAAAGGTAAGGCATTTAGCAAAGCATACACGACTAAGAAGTTTAATATTTTATAGAGAATTGCTATATAATTGGGGTATCTGCTTTAAAATAGATGTCGACTGTTAGTGTGGCTCTAAATGACAGTCATTTCAAGATGTGTTATTTTCTTATTTGACTATTCGCGAATCTAGTTTTGATTATTGTCATCTGCGTAAGTTAGTGGTTGTGAAAACTTAAAACAGCGAGCTGTCACATAAGTTAATTGTAAGGGACGCTTTCGGTTGCGAGATGATTGTGCACGAGGCTAAAAACAATATCAGACCAGTCATAGATCATTTGCAGTTAACGGAAATGTTGTTGTTTTTGGCAGAAAACTGGGTTTGAGGTTTTTGTCCGTTTTGATCTGGTTTTGTTTTGAATTGGTCTCATTCGAGCAGAAAGTTGTTTTATTTTTATATGTGAAACTCACAGTAATGTCTCACCTAGATCCCTCAACCTGACTGACTTCAATACTGATGAACAGACTGGTGAATGTTACTGCATCACTTCATGCATCTTATTTTGGGATATTCTACCAGAACCGTACATTACCTGTCCCTGAAACAAAAACATATATACAGTGAATAAAACATATTTTATCCCAAAAAGGTCTAAATTGGGCTGATGGTTCATTTCTGAGTTGTTCTGTAAAGGTATAGGTTAGTCATTTGGTTTTCAGATTTTTGTTCTTTATTAAAAACACTTTACACTGTACAGACTTGTCCTCAGCCCAATTGAACCTACACCTTTAATAGTTTTATTATGCTAAAAACTGTTAGAGAAAAAAATACTTCAGATATGGCAAGTTTAAGTTGTCATCATTCACATCAATTGATTAAAACATGAAATTATTCATTCATTTTCTTGTCGGCTTAGTCCCTTTATTAATCCGGGGTCGCCACAGCAGAATGAACCGCCAACTTATCCAGCACATTTTTTACGCAGCGGATGCCCTTCTTTGGGAAACATCCACACACGCATTCACACACACACTCATACACTACGGACAATTTAGCCTACCCAATTCACCTGTACAGCATGTCTTTGGACTGTGGGGGAAACCGGAGCACCCGGAGGAAACCCACGCGAACGCAGGGAGAACATGCAAACTCCACACAGAAACGCCAACTGAGCCGAGGATCGAACCAGCGACCCTGGACCTTCTTGCTTTAAGGCGACAGCACTACCTACTGCGCCACTGCTTCGCCCCTAAAACATGAAATTATAAGTTCTAAAAATAAATACTACAAGTAGATAATTCAAATAATTCACAATTGTTCCCATATTAGTCCTGTCACATTTACATTAAATTTAACATAAAATGCATGCAATACCTGTTTTAGGCAAGCGAAAACGTCCCGCTGTCCCTCGTGAAGCAAATACAGTAGTAACTGACACTGTAATTCATTGAAAATCGGCCAGGCCTTGCTCCATAATAGAGAAGATTTCTATTGAGCCCAATGTTAAAATGGCCGACTTTGCAGCAGGAAAAAAAAGCTGTTTACAGCAAGGTACAAAGAAGGCTTTTGGTTCATATAGCTAATATCACCCTTCATGATAACTGCGAGGGGGGTGAATTCATTCGTTTCGTTTATTCACTCATTCATTCTTTATTTTTAGCTTAGTCCCTTTATTAATCTGGGGTCACCACAGTGGAATGAACTGCCAACTTATCCTGCATATGTTTTACGCCGTGGATGCCCTTTCAACTGTAACCCATGTCTGGGAAACATCCATTCTCCCTCATTCACACACATGATCAATTTAGTTTATTCAATTTACTTATTGACCTTATTCTTCAAAGCGAAAGTGCGCTTGTTTTTGCGATTGTTTTAGAACTTCCGATTCAGCTGCCTATGGGAGAAATGACTAGGAATAATAAATGGCAGAAAACGGTTGAACTACTTGCTCTACAAACAAGTTTTTGCATGACTATACAGACAGAATAGAATAATATAATAAGAAAATATCAGTTTGCAACATCAAGCAGCATAACAAGCTGTTTTTAATGTCTAAAAATATATGGAAGTGAATGACACTTTAAGTCTTGAGCCAAAATGATTAAAATGGCTACGCCTGCTCGTATGCAGAGAATAAGGTGAATACTGCCTGCCTTTGGACAGTGAGAGAAACCGAGAAAGTGCTGATAGTGCTAACTGACCCAGTCAGGGCTCGAACCAGCAACCTTCTTGCTTTGTGGCGACAGTGCTGTCAACTGAGCCACATTGTCACCCTGTTTCTTCTTTTGAACAAAAAAATAAGATATTTTGGAAATAAAAATGTTGGAAACTGGTATCCATTGACATCCATTATAGGAAAATGTGTACTTTAGGTGTGATCCGGTACAGGTTTCTATTTTTCAAAATATATTATTTTGTGTTCAACAGAAAAAGAAAAAAAAACTTTAAATGGTTTGAAACAAGTAGAGAGATTATAAATGATAACAGAATTATTTTTTGTGTGAATTGTCCCTTTAAATTACAGAAATAATGTTTTTAAAACATATTTAATGTTTTAAAATATTAAAAGTGAAATATATTTTATATTAAATATATTGGTTTGCACTGAAAAGTAAAATATAGATTCCTAAGATAAATAGTTGAAGTCAGAGTAATTACCCCTCCTGAATTATTAGCCCTGCTGTTTATTTATTTATTTTTTCCCAATGTCTGTTTAACAAAGAGAAGATTTTTTTAACACATTTCTAAACATAATAGTTTTAATAACTCTTTTCTAATAACTGAATTATTTTATCTCTGCCTTGATGACAGTAAATACTACATGACTAGATATTTTTCAAGCCACTTCTATACAGCTTAAAGTGACATTTAAAGGCTTAACTAGGTTAATTAGGTTAACTAGGCAGGTTAGGATAATTAGGCAAGTTATTGTATAACGATGGTTTGTTCTGTAGATTATCAAAAATATATAGCTTAAAGAGGCTACTAGTTTTGACCTTAAAATGTTTTGTAAAAAATTAAAAACTGCTTTTATTCTAGAAATAAAATTTATATCAGACACACTGTGAAAATTTTCTGGCTCTGTTAAACATCATTAATTCATTTGTTCATTTTCTTTTTCGTAAATATACTGGGTTGCGGCTAGAAGGGCATCCACTGCATAAAACATGTGCTATATAGGTTGGCAGTTTGTTCCGCTGTGGCGACCCCTGATGAATAAAGACACTGAAAAATTACCGAAAAATAAGTACAAGAAATGCATCGTGATGTATCTTTTTCTTGATCCAACTTCTGTTCATCTGCTTTTCATAAGACATCCCACACTCCATTCATATATATATATATATATATATATATATATATATATATATATATATATATATATATATATATATATATATATATGATCTGATTACTGCTAATGTCACAGTGCAGTCACCCAAATTTTTATTCCTACAAATCAAATGCCGTCTTCCCAGATTTTCTTGGTTGCATCAATTAAAGTGTAAATTTAAAGTGTACAATTTTATATAGTTAAAATTGTTAAAATAAAGTTTCAAGCTGGAAATGCAACTCACAAGTGTAGCTTTTTTTTTTTTGTCAAGTTTTTTTGATGAGGTAGATCTTACCTTTCCGTAAGGCTAAGGTAAGGAATCTTAGACGATTAAAGGTTGTTGTTTTTTTCAGTCGGGCTACCAAAATCTTATCTACACCGTGCTCATTGTTGGCACAGTGCAGGTAGATTTTGGTAGCCCAACTGGAAAAAAACAATAGCCCTGGGACTTCAGGCTACCAAATTTTGTGAGCCCTAAATTTAATGGCTACCAGAAACGTTGAAAATTCAAAAACCTACTATCAAAACTAAATAATTCATGGCTCCTGAAAATACATGACAAATGACCAATCTGTAGATAACTAAAGTAAATAAAGTAACTATCCCTTCAACCAAGTTAAAAGAGGAAAATGTACCAATTTGAAAAGATTCTCAACCGTAACTGTAAACCTATGCAAATTCATTGGTTAAATGAAAAAACAAAACCATTATCGTTCCACTTTGCATTCTCCTTGCAGGTCACCATGCAGTTCCTGGGCCGTATTTTGGACACTGTGAGCTCTGTGTCGAGCCTGTTCTCCAACCCATACCGCGTGAGGGACGTCCAGCTCTCTGACTATAATGGCAAAATATTACACCAGCAGGAGGGTAGACTCGCCCTGTACAGAAACCAGCAGAGCCAGTCATGGGACTGCCTGCTACTGTGTCCTGAATCTCCATCTGTGGCCCTGAGGTGAGTTCCGTAAAATAAGACTGCACAATATTGGGAAAAGCTGACATTGCAATATTTTATTTTTCTACGATACACTTTGTGATATTGAGTCTAATTTCACCAGATGACTCGAATGGCTTTATTTGAAAAAAAAAAAAAAAAACAACAACAACATTATTTTAGAGTAATTGGGATCATTTTGTACAACATTTACAGGACATATTATAAACCAATGCATTTGCTATACTCAAAAGCAATATATACATTACTATATCTATATATTTTTCAAGTATCATGCAGCCCTACTTCACAGCCTGTCAAACAGATTTGTTTTAGATCAGCTTTAAAGGAGCATTTGGGAAGCCTTGGCCACAAAGAACCATTGTTTAGCATTAAGTCTTCATCATCTAATCCAGCATGTGGGGTTGAGGAAGGAGTTGAATTTGGTTTTGTTTGTGCTCAGGATGTTCCAGGTGGCCTCCGAGGAGGACGCAATGAACTGGTTTCCTCAATATGCCCTGAAGCTCCGCCCATTTTACGAGATGCTCCGCCCGCCGCTGAAACCCGAGATGCTGCAGCCAATAGTGGACTGCGTGCGGAATCACCCTGATTGGAGCTCGGCTCACATTGCCGTGGACACCGGACTGAGAGACTGCCTCAAACACAACTACATCCTCAGGTCAGACCACACACAGGTCACAGTTCAGAGGTCACATGAGACCTTTTCACACAGTAATAGCAGTAAACAGCTGTAAAAGTCATGAACCTTTTTATTTTTTTATTTTTTTTATTTTTTTTTTATACTGGTAAAGCATAACTCACTGAAAAGCTTCTGTAATTACCTCAGCTGTAGTCATTTTGTAAACACGGAAGGGTATAATTTTGTATTTATATATATTTTATATTTTAGGGGAATTTTTCTATTAAAATATATATATATATTTTAACTATAAATCAATGAAAATAAACTGTAATACTAAATACTAATAGGTAGATATTAACATAATATAATTAAATTAATTTAAAGAATTGAAATGAAATAAAATTGTGTATATAGATCTTCAATAGTTTTTTTTAAAAATAAAAACTTGAAAAGATCAGTTTAAATAAAAGCAGGTCAATATGACACACATACAGGTTTATATCTGTTTGTACTATATGTGTTTTTAATTAATGTTATTTTTATTTTATATAAAATAAAATAAAAATGCCTGAATCCTAAATAGTGCTTTAATTGTAGAGGCAAAATGTATATAAATATTATAGTTAAATATAAGTTTATAATTATTAAAACTTAATTATGTGATTTGTATCTATATATATATATATATTCCATACATTTCTATAGCACTTTCCTCCATCCGCATCCCATCTGAAAGGACTGTAATGGGTCCTTGTTTCTTCCATGCATAGATAAATATCATGTCATTTTGCTTTCCTCCATGTGTATTATATCCATTTTGCGGCAGTCCCGCGGGCCGAGGATAACGGCATGAACCCGAAGTCACAATCAAATCCTGTCCCGCGCCACACTGTAGCAGAGTTTTGTTTGAAATCATTTTTGTCTCAGCGCCTATTTAGCTGTAAGAGCGCGGTGATTTGCATTGGTTTGAATTATTATCCAATATCAAAGGTAATGCAAATACTTTAGGTTATTAAATGCAACGCATGCATCTTCATCACAGTACACACAAGTGAGAATAAACCCTGACAAATAAAACAAAAACTAACTTCATGTAACAAATGGAGGAAGATCAAACAGATCTTATAGAAAGCAGTCTCTTCACTTCTTCTGAATAATAATCATTGGACTTTAGTCTGTTTGATTTTGTGTGTCCCACTGCAGTCAGATGAACTCTCGTGACGCTCAGGGTCAAACCCCGCTGCATCTGGCCTGTGAGAGAGGAGACGTGGGCTGTGTGCGAGAGCTCCTGGAAGAATGTCAGGCCCGCACAGACGTCAAGGATAAGAACGGAGAGACGCCAATGCACTGCGCTGCCAAACAAGACTCCGCCCTCATCATAGAGGTGAGAGGTCATCTTTGGGGGCTCACAGAAAGCCTGCTGAATATATTCAAAGGAAAAATAACATTGCAGCCTGGCTTGATGTGAAATTTTTGGTCGAATTTTAAAGGGATAGTTCACACAGAACTTAATAAGCGCTTACTATTTACTCACTATTTACTCACCCTCAGGTGGTTTCAAATGTTTATGAGTTTCTTCCTTATGTTGAACACAAAAGCAGATATTTTGCTAAATTACACGTTTGCTAACTAAAACTGAAAACTGTATCCATTAGATATAAAAATGCTGAGAACGTCAATGGCTAGCAGTTTCCACCAAAATATAAAAAAGAACTACAGCATGTTTGTGACTAATGAGGTGTGAGTCAATGGCGACAGAATTTTATATTATTGGTAAAATTGATTTAATATGATTTCTTTAATATTATTAGCTTGTGCTAAGCATTATGGCAACATGCTAATTTGTTAGCAAACGTGTTAAAGCAAAAAGCACACCACCAACAGCTAAAACGTGTAAACGGTGACTTTAAAAGTTAGAAACATTCTAATTCGTTTAAAAAATTGAGGCTTGCTAGCAATATGATAAACATGTTAGCGATATGCTAAACAGTTAGAAGCATTTAAATTAATTTGTGCTTGCAACTTGTTAAACATGTTAAGAATGTGCCATGCTTGCAAATGTGTTGACTATAATAGAAACATATTAGCATGTTTAAACATGTTAGTCATGGGTTAATGCTTAGAAACTTGCTTGTTACATGTTGCTGTCATGAATAAACATAAAACCTTAACCATGTTAACAACATATTTTAATACATTGGCTGTTATTTTTAACATGTTATAAACTTGCTAACAGCATGGTAAATATGTTAGAAACATGCTTGGTCGTGTTTTATATTAGCAGTGTTGTTATGCTGTGTTCAAAGCAGACACGACTCTCACGCCATTTGCACGTAAATATACACGTGAACATTTTAAGTTTACTCGCTTCATTTTCAATGGCTTTAGATTTTCCAACTCGAGAAATTTGAAAGAAACGCTCAAAACACTCTATATTTACGTCATTCGTGCGAATCGCACCGCAGGATGTCTAATTGCGTCTTTGTATTGACTTTACATGTAAATAACTTGCACTTGACGCTTCATCCACGACTGGTGTGAACGGAGCATAAGAAATCTGCAAGCAACATGTTAATTAATGTTAGCAATGTCTTCTACATCACTATGCTAGTATTATGTTATAAAATAGAGAGTAGGGCTCAACAATAAGCTTTGATATTGCAATGTGAATATTTGCAATATTCACATTCAAGGATTAGGTTATTTATTTAAGATTAAAAGTTTTTTTTTAATTATTTGTACAATGACGACTATGCTATTTTATGTTTGATTCTTCAATTTCTGTGCTTGAATACTGTTACACTTTGCAGAAAACCATATATTGTTCTATCATATTAATATATGCTTGTAATTTTATTATATTTATTATATACCTGTGCACTGCAATAAAAAAAGACTTAATCTTTCCAGTTGATCTAAATTAACAGAATCTTTCCAAAGAGAGCTATTCAAATCATCTGGTAAAATTCATCATATTCACATGGCAATATATATCGCAGGAAAACAAAACATTGCAGTGTCAGATCTTTATGATATCGTGCAGCCCTATTAGATAATAAGTATTTTAAGTAGTTTAATTTTACAGCATATTAGTGTTGTTCTAAAAAGTATTTAAAGGTGATAAATCAATCATTAAGGCTCTTAAAAGGTATTAAAAAGTCTTAATCCCGTTTTTACAAAGTCTTAAATTTTGTTCAAGCTTTGTTCAAATTGTTTAACTCCAAAAAAGCAGAAATATATTTATTTTCCTTGATTCGGGCCGGTGGCATCCGGCCAAGCTCCTCTGTCCGGGTGATGTCAAGTAATTTGCGACAAACGCAGAAAGGTGATGTGATGCTCTCCACATGTGGCGAAACCATAGAGCAAAACACACGGTAAAGATGGATAATGCAAGTTTGCATACTTCTGGTTGAAGAAAGTTTAAACAGTGGTTGAAACCTGTCGCTGAAAACAACCACGTAATTTATTCTTTAAAGCTTTGTTACTTCCAAGCTTATCCAAGTTCTGTTGCAGGGTTGTGCTCCATTAATTTATTTAACTACAACTGTTTATTAACTAATGTTTATGAAGTTAAAGGTTTGATACTGATTACAACTTGAAGTGGCTATGAGGTATTAAAATATTCTGAGAAGGTCTTTAAAAAGTATTTAAAGGTATTGAAATTTCCTTTAGGATTTCTGCATATACCCTGTTATCACAGTGTATTTCTTATTCGTGAGAAGTATTTATTGTGAATAATAGTCACAATAAATAACTATAAATATTCTGCTGTCGTCCAAAAACTTACTGTATTTAAAAAAAATGTGTATAAATATATAACACAAATTTCAGTAAAACAGAAATAATTCAGTTTTTTTTCTTTTTCCTACAGCTTTACTTCTGAACGCTGTACTCTGATAACTGTGTGTTTATAATTGTGTATTTTTCGGTTTGTTGTAGGTGTTGTGTGCACAGTTGTGCGCGGGTGTGAACGAGCTGAACGCCGCCGGTGAAACACCGATGCACATCGCGTGTCGTCTTGGGAGGGTGGAGGTGGTCAAGGGTCTGCTGGGAGGCGGAGCCCGATGTGACATCATGGGAAATAATGGCTTTCCAATCCACACCGCCATGAAGTTTAGTGAGAAGAGGTGCGGAATGAGACTCTTTATTGTTTCAATGGTTAAAACACAGCATTTTATTTGCAGATTGAAATGCAAATCCAAAATAATGGGGGGCTTTTATGGTGCTGATTTTAAAATAGATTGACAAAATTTTCCGAATTCGATTTGGGTGCGAGTTACTGCGGGCAATGCGTGGCTTGTGGGTTGCGATGCTGGCTCTAATGCCAATACGTTGTACTGTCCATAGTAAACATGCATCCTTACCTGATGGGGGAGGGACACATTGGCAAACTGGTAGTTTTTGCATTTTGTGGGTGCACAAAAGGGTTCTTGGAGCTTAGTATGGTTACAGTTGAACTGCTGAAGCCACATGGAATGTTTTGACAATATTTATAGTTCCTTTTCTGGACATCTCTGGACCCTGGAGGGTCAGATAGCTCTTGGATTTCATCTGTCATGAAATTGAAACGAGAGTAAATAATAACAGGTTGTTCATTTTTGAGTATTATTCTGTATATTTTCTCTCCTTTAGTTGTGCTGAAGCCATTTTATCTTCAAGCCCAAATCAGCTTCTGGCAGAGGATCCGGTTTATGGCGGGACACCTCTTCACTGGGCCAAAACTGCAGAGGTCAGGAAAAAAAACCTTTACATTTTCTAGTTCAGTGCTAAGTAATTATTGTGTGTTTATTATAATCCTGTGCTTACTCTGTTCAGATGAGCCGTCTTCTGCTGGACAGAGGATGCAACGTCAACTACTTGAGCAAGACTGGAGAAAGTCCTTTACACATCCTGACCAAGAGAGGGCGCTTTGAGGCCGCAATGACCCTGCTGACACACGGAGCTGATGCTAATATTAGGGGTCAGGATGGTAACACTGCCCTGCATCTTGCTATGAAGGTATGGAGGAGGAGCTCATAAAGACTGTCAAGATCATTTATATGGATATACAGTTGAAGTCAGAATTATTAGCCCCCTGTTTATTTCCCCCAAATATTATTTCCCCTGTTTATTTCCCGCTTGGAAATATTAAAAAAAAAAGGGGGGGGGGGGGGGAGAGCTAATAATTCTGACTTCAACTATATGTGCACATTTATTTATATATATATATATATATATATATATATATATATATATATATATATTGTTAGGGCCGTCAATTAATAAAAAAAATTTGCTAATTAATCACACTTTTTTTGTGATTTATCACAAAAAGTCATATTTAAAACAGAAATAAAAACACAGGCATGGAAGTGCCAATTTGAAATTCAAAACAATCAATGCCAAAAACAAACAAAAATTATTTCCATGTTGGGTTCTAAGTCGATTACAAAAACAATCCAAAATACAGGCATTGCAAATATGGGAAACGGAAAATTATAATAATAATATAATAAAGTATTGAATACAAACAATTGTAACATTGTTAAGTTGTACAATGTATTTGTACATTGTAATATTGTAAATTTGTATTGCAAGTTGAGAACATTAATTATAAAGTAGAAAAAAAAATTCTACTAGCTTAGTCCTCCTTAGCATTTAGCCAGTTGCTAAGACTAGTCTAGTCTTATGAAGTCTAGTCGGTTAACATTATCATGGAACAATGTAGCCAAGGGGTACATCAAAAGCACGAACCAAAGACTGTAGACTTCTTACAGGGACTTTGGTCACCCCATCTCTAAACATTTAATTCTAAACAGCTTTGAGGGATACAGACACCGCAAAGACTATAGAATACATATAGAATGCCTTAAAGAGACTTTAAACATGTCAGCGATGTCAGGCGTTTGCTCTTGTTGCTGGGAAATGCACAAATGTAATGAAAATTTCACACAGTCAAGTTTTGATCATTATTTATTGATAATTTAATTATTTATTTAAATTGTAGTATTTTTAAATTATATTCTCTGATTTGATTTTGATTCAATGTTTTTTCTTAGTTTCGGCTTGTAGCTTCCAGTTAGCTTCAACTAACTGTTTAACTGTTTAAGCTTCCAGTTAACTTTATAATGCAACTGAATGCAGTTTTTGAGAATTTCAGTTCTTAAAAGTTGATTTTATTTCAGTGAGACTTTTAGTCAACAAGACTTACTTTAGTTTAAGTTTTTATCTTCTGATTTATATTTTATGTATAATAGTTTTATTGAACAAAAATCAGCTCTTACCACAACAATATGTCAAAAGTTGTTAAGATTTAAAAACAATAATAGACATTTTTGATGATAATTTCTGTATGTTTTTACACTTTTTTAAAGTATAGTTTCTCATTTGTATTTTAAATTTCTAGTTTCTGTTTTATTTAAAGGTGCATTTTTATTAATATATCTTGTTTTTACGTTATTTAGGTGTAAAATGTCAATTTTTACCAATTTACCCATGTAAATTGTTAATTAGTTTTTAAGATCAAATGTCATTGTACCTGTACTGCTTTTGTGCTTGGCGTATTATTTGTTTGTTTTAAATTATAAGTTGAGTTTTTACATGTAATATTTTTATTGCATTTTTAAAGGGGTGGTCTAGAGTGTATTTGTAGAACTTGGTTGTTTGTGAGATGCAAAGCAATGTGTGCTCATGCTTCATTTGTAAAAAAAATCACGTTATTTTTTTATATATCTTAATTTGATTATATACAGCTACTCGGCTAACATGAAAACGAAATGTTTCCTAGTTATTTCGAAAGGCCCGCCCTCAAATGGCTCTGATTGGTCAGCTAAAATAATGTGCTGTGATTTGCAGATCAGCTTCACTTCACCAGGAAAACCGTCACACCTCTATTAGCACATGCTTTGGGGCTGTGTAAATGCTGTCAGTCAGAGTAGCTGTTAGCTGAATCAGTTTGAGCCTGAATCAGAGTTCATTATTTGAGATGAAGAATGCACAGAAAGCGGCTGCATTGAGAGACACTGCAGTGCTGCTAAAGATTGTGTGTGTTTACAGTGATTTGACTGACAAATATGAATTTGTAGCTAAATTGGTATTAGTGCCAAATAGCATTTCTCATTGTTTACATCCTTGTTTACGTCCTTACTACAAAATACCATTACCGCTAGACACTGTGCATGTAATTGATCTATTTTAACAAAAAAAAAAAAAAAAAAATTACTTGCAGGTTGTGGCTCCACAGCTATATCGGTTTTAGGAGTTTTTAGTCGAATCCAGCACTGAATTGGAAGAGATTCTGAAAGTTGTCCTTTGTCAAATGCTAGCTATATCTTTTTTATAATTCTCTGAAACACAATTTAAATTAAATAGTAAGCACTTCTGTCTTTGTGTCGTGTCCTTTGGAAGCTCAAATAAAGAAAGAAGCTCTGTGGAAATAGCAGCATTTGGACAGCATTTTAGCTTTCTCTGCTATAACATTACAGTGCCTCTAGCCACACCTCTTTGGTGCGCAGGGTGTGTGCATGAGGTGAATGCACGCAACTGGAAGCCCCTGTGATTTCACTAACCCGGATGGATTTTTTTGTAGTCCCCAAACTTTGTTTGCTGTTGGCTTTGCTAAGCTAACTCTGTAAAAGCCAATGTCTCCCTTTAAATTGAAATTGATGTTGTTTATGTTCACACAGCTACATTACATATCAACTATAGTTTAAAACATGATATCATAGTGGACCACCCCTTAAGGGCTCTATTTTGACGATCCATTCTTAAAGTGTAAAGCGCAGGGAACAAACGTATTAGGGGCATGTCAGAATCCACTTTTGCTAATTTAAGGATGGAAAAATCCACTTTGCGCTGTGGCACATGGTCTAAAAGGGTTGAGCTTATTTTCTTAATGAGTTAGGTGTGTTTTGAGAATAAACCAATCAGAGTCTTATCTCTCATTCCTTTTAAGAGTCAGTTGCGTCGCGCCATAGCGCATTTGCTATTTACATGACGACTTTGTAAGTGGAAAAACTGAATGCTTCACTAGAGAGAAAACAGTTAAACAAAGCATCTGAAGCACGAGAATGAGAGAAAAGCCTTCTCATTGTACTTTCACTTTCGCTTTCGTGGATAGGGAAACCTTATACGCACAGCATCTATTAGCCTATAAATACTTCATTTCCTTTGTTAGTTGTTTCAAAACTATTTCTAAATTCAGTTCTAATTTCCAGCAAACGAATAAATGAACAATAATAATTGTGTGGTTAAAAAACCTAAAAAAGAGCGTCAAAGTGAGCGTCAAAAAAATGAGCGTCAAAAGTGGCGGATCTATTCGGCGAAATATCTGACTGCGTGTCACCACATCCATAAGGACTGTTTGGCAAAATATTTGACTGCATGTCACTGCATAACAAACGACTGAAATGATATAACAAGAGAAATCTCCTCTGTGCCCAAGGCCCAAATGTATGTGAGTGCAGGCCGTCGGGGGAGACGGGAGGGGGGACAAGCGTGCTTTGGCCCGGTTCGAGGCAACTGTACCTAGTGTGAGTACGGCCTAAGAGTGCTTTCACATCTACACTTTTGTTTTGGAACCTGTCTTGTTTGCCCAGTTAGCGCGATTCATTTGGCCTATGTGAATTCACCAATCGCGATAGGATCCGTGCCAAAACAATTGCTCCGAGATCGCTTGAATGAGGTGATCTTGGCTCGATTGAAACAAACTCTGGAGCGGATCGATTGTAGTGAGAAAGCGATACGATCCGAGCCTGGTTATATCACAGTGTTTTATGGATATGTAATATGCATACAGCTATACGAAGAGAGAATTATGAGTAGGGCGGGAGGTCATTACAAACATCCCAAGTCTCCTGGAAGTTTCAGGAGTCTCCTGCAAAGCACAGAGACTCCTGAATCCCCGCAAACGAGTGATAATCTCCCAGAAATCGTGCGTCTCCCTCCCGGTCCTTTATACGATGCGCACCTTTCTCACCCCTCCCCACTGCATCCCTCCTCGCTCTTCAGACACGTCGCACGCACCTTGTCAAACACCACCAAACCATCACCTTCCCTGACAGCTGAGCTCTGCAAAACAAACCATGAAACTCTGACCAATGTGAGGAGAGTTTTCTCATTCGTAACATGTTTTAGCTCTTTTGGTCTGATTAGAAATTTTGCCGTGTGAAAGTGAACTGCACCAAGAGCAAAAAGCAACAATGTAACAATAGTAATCTCTGTTTCGGAACAACTGAATCGATTTACAGGTGTGAAAGCACCCTAAAACCTGCCAGGTGGGCAAATCTAAGCTTGTTTTTAATAAAACAAATATAAATATGGATATAATAAATAATACTGCTAATAATGATAACATTACACATAAGCAAATTGTTATGAATTAACTAAAAAAGCCCCCCGAGATGAAGAAGGCATGAAGGCAGTGATTTTTATGTTTATGTATGCTATAACATAATAATGTTTTGTAATATTTTAATGCTTTATATTTATATCCTACATACATTCTTATTATATCCTATATATATCCTTAATATTTAAATTTTTTTTCATAGGTAAAGATATTTGCGTAATGCTCTACATCTTGTGTGTATTAAGCAGTGTGCAAGGGAGGCACAACTAACACCCTCTGCGCTGGACAATAGAGCGGCTTTGTTCTGGTCTATTGAAAAATCTGTTATAGTTTCTCAAAATAGCAACGCGCCAGCAATGCGCCTCAACATGCCTCCCTTTTTAGACCAGAACGCCTATGGGCACACATATGAGGGCAAATGCATTTGCTATTTAAACAGCGTGGCGAAAAATGTTAAAGCGACTCTTGCGTCAAGCTGAAAGTAGCAAACAACAATTGCGTCGCACCTTGCGCCACATTGCACCGGCTGTATGATAGGGCTTTAAAGGGCTCCACTATGATCTCATATTTTAAACTTAAGTTGATGTGTAATGTAGCTGTGTGAACATAAACAGCATCTCTGAATGTAAGATGCTCAAAGTTCAATGCAAAGGGAGACCTTGATTTTTACAGAGTTAGCTTAGCAAAGCCTACAATGAACGAATTTTGGGGACTACAAAAAATACTTCCGCCCCCTGTGGGATCAAAAAAAGTTTGTTATTGCTCATCCCACACTGCGCAGATAAAGGCTGTGGCCAGAGGCGCTGTAACTATACTGCAGAGGGAGAATTGCCGTCCTGCTGTTTCCACAGAGCTTCTCTGTTTCTGTTGTTGGGCTTTCAAATGACACGACACAAGCACAGAAGTGCTTACAGTTCAATATTAATTATGTTCCAGAGAACTATAAAATGCACAGCAAGCATGATTTGACAAAACGCAGCTTCCAGAATCTCTCCCAGTTCAGTGCTGGATTCGGCTAAAATCTCCTCAAAGATGGAGCAAGGAGACGCTGTGAACTCTGAGCCACACAACCTGTAAGTGTTTTTATTTGTTAAAATTGAACATGTACATTGCCAGCCTTAACGGTGTGTTGTAACAAAGATGTAAACAACGGGAAATTATGTTCATCGCTAATGTCTTAGCTACAAATCCATACTTATCAGTCAAACGGCTGTAAACACACACAAATACACACACACATACATACACGCACTCTTGGCCAGCATGCTCTGTGTGAGATGGCAGTGTGTCTCTTATGTGTGTGCGCGACTGCACTGATTGTCTTCAGACAGCTTTTCCATGCGTTTTGCAACTCAGACAATAAAGTCGCAAAAGATATGTGAACGATTCATGTTACTTACACAGGCACATTCCGAAAATGCGTGAAAGACGTCCTGTAATGCGTTGATTTAAAAAAAAAAAAAAACAGCAATTGCCAATGCTCTCCCAACTTGAGTGTAACAGCAAAAACAAATCAATCCAGGCTCACACAGGTCTCATCTCACATCTTGTGATTTAATCTGTCACCACAGAAAATAACTTAATCCGAGCATCAGAGAAAAAGAACAATAAATATCTCTTCCGAATGTGTAAATCCGATCACATTCTAACTGACGTTAATTACCTCTCAAATATTTCTTAAATAATAAAAAAAGAAAGTAGTTTTGTCTTGTTTGTCCCCATAGCTGGACAACATGGACCTAATCAAAGCCCTGATGGTGTTTGGAGCTGATGTGGAGGTTCATAACGATGTTGGAGAAACACCAGGCCTCATCGCTGCCAGAACCAGCAAGGGTGAGAGAACGATGTGCTGTCAGTGATGTATATGACAGATTAGACGTGCAGAACAGGCTTTTTCACTTTTCTAGATGCACAGTGTATCAAGTGTGCTGCATGACCGCATTTATTGTGTTTGCACGTCAAAGTAATGTCATTTAACCAGGGTTTGAAATTTCCTGCTTGGTAGTTCATTTGAATGCTAATTTTTAAGGTATCAGTAGGCCCAGACAGAATCTACGGGCATTTTTTGCTATTTCTGTAAAGAATTTAGTAAAAATCTGCAGATTTATGCACACTTATTTTAGGAGTACCTTAACTAAGAACTTAATATATGAAATAAAAATAATACCCCTTTAACTTTTATTTAATGTTTACAATGCAAGTCCAATTAGATCTTCTTATTTGGTTAACCAAGCAAGTTTCTCATGTAACATATCTACTAAAAGACTTGTATTGTAAATAAATCAAATGAACACTTTCATATTAGTCAATAATATTACTAAAATTTATTTAAAAACTAAATTAATATAAATTTACACAAGTAAATAAATAGACTAAATGATGGGCAAAAAATCTGCGGAAATCTGTGGATTTCTGCACACGCAGATTCCACGTGGGCCTAGGAATCAGCCATTTAGAACTAGTGTTGTCAAAAATATCGATACTTACGATGAGTATCGATACTGGAATATTTAAAAGGAGACAATCGTGTTAATATTGATGCCGGATGTGCTCCCTTTTGCTTAAGAAGATTTTTAGTTTGTGAACAAATGAACAAATAGGAAGGACACAAACAGGCCAATATGCAAGCGTTGCTACTGTGTAGTGCCAAGTAAATGTGCTAATCCAGTAAATTTAGCAAAACGCTGATGCAGAGTGGTTTCCTCTTTGTATCAATAATGGTATCGAAAATTGATATTTTTGAAGGTATTGTATCGAAGTTAGAAATTCCAGTATCGTGACAACCATTCAGCTAAATTTATTTTCAGCAAAATTTGTATTTTATTTTCAATGTCCATTATTGTTTGCAGATTCAAAATTCTCTTCGATTTTTGTTCTCTCTTATACGTTTTCAGTATTTCCCCTCCTACTTAAATGTTCAATTATTCATTCATTCATTAATTTTCTTGTCGACTTAGTCCCTTTATTAATCTGGGGTCGCCACAGCAGAATGAACCGCCAACTTATCCAGCACGTTTTTACGCAGTGGATGCCCTTCCAGTGGCAACCTATCTCTGGGAAACATCCACACACACACACACACACTCATACACTACGGACAATTTAGCCTACCCAATTCACTTATGCCGCATGTCTTTGGACTGTGGGTGAAACCGGAGGTCGGTCGGTCGGTCGGTCGGTCGGTCGGTCGGTCGGTCGGTCGGTCGGTCGGTCGGTCGGTCGAACGATAGATAGATAGATAGATAGATAGATAGATAGATAGATAGATAGATAGATAGATAGATAGATAGATAGATAGATAGATAGATAGATAGATAGATAGATAGATAGATAGATAGATAGATAGATAGATAGATAGATAGAGTTGAAGTCAGAATTATTAACCCATCTTTGATTTTTTTTGTTATTTAAATATTCCCCAAATTATGTTTAACAGAGCAAAGACATTTTCACAGTTTGCCTGTTAATATATTGTCTTCTGAACAAAGTTTTTTTTCTTTTTCGGGTAGAATAAAAGCAGTTTTTAATTTTTAAAAAAGCATTTTAAGGTCAAAATTATTAGCCCCTTTAAGCTATATATTTTTTCTGATAGTCTACAGAACAAACCATCATTTGTAGTGTGTTCGTGTAGTTCAGTTTTTAGTGTTTATCAGGAGTATAATAGTATAATATCAGGAGATATATATTAATAAATGATACCCATTATGCCTTATTTTACTAATGTGAAAGGCTTATTTGAGTTGGAGGGTCATTATAGCAACCGCGTGTAAAATGATAGTAAATTTACAGATGTATTACTTATGAACAGATACATGTTACCAGCCACAGTCTGTACTGACACACATTTGGCAAGTTGGTGAATGTTAGTTTCAAACCCTGCATCCATCTAACCATTAACAACAGTACATTTTGTCGATACGCAACATCTAGAAATGTGAAATGGTTCACAGTGCAGGTGTGTTTAAAATTCATTTGTTGAATTATTTGTTTTATTTTTGTGCCTTAAATGTATACATTTTAATATTTCAGCAAATCATAAACATTTACATTTTCTAAGTTACATTAGTTTTTTGCTAGATTATGATGAAATTGTTAATGCATTATTAATCTAAAATAAATTGTTTATCTTTTCTGTCAAATGCTTTTTCTAACTTGACATTGAAATATAGAGCTGCATAATATAATGGAAAATGATTGTGATCGCGATGATAGTATATGTAATGTCCATATTGCAGAGATTTATTTTTTTCGCAAACATTTGTGTGCTGTGTTCATAGGTTGTTTATCCAAATGTGACTAATCAAATTATGGTGCCTTTGCTGTCTTCATCCTTGCTTCTCCAGTAGGTGCTGTTAGCTGAACCTAGAGCTGAAAATAAACATTAACGATGGGAGACAAAAGAGGGAAAAATATGGAGCCAGATCAGTCTCAAAAATAATACATTCAGAAAATAAAATTTAGCACATAAAATCCAAATGCATAAATCAGCAACAAAATCCAAATTGTCGTTTTCAATCACACAATTTGTAAATTCACAAGTAAAAATATTTTCACCAAATAAATTGAATTAGCATATTTTTAAATCACATTTTAAATTTATGAATTGGATTTGTGTATTTTTGAATCGTGTTTTGAATTTAAGAGCTGAATTAGTGTATTTTTTAATCGTGTTTTGAATTTACGAGTTGAATTAGTGTATTTTTAAATCGTGTTTTGAATTTAGGAATTTGATTTGGGTAATTTTGATTCGTGTTTTGAATTTACAAATTCGATTTGTGTATTTTTGAATTATGCTTTGAATTTACAAGTTGGATTTACTTATTTTGAATCGTGTTTTGAACTTTTGAATTAGATTTGCATACGTTTGAATCCTGTTTTGAATTTATTATTTGGATTTGCATACTTATGAATTGTGTTGTGAATTTAAGAATTAGACTTGCATACTTTTGAATAGTGTTTAAAATTTACAAATTAGATCTGCATACTTTTGAATCGTGTTTTGAATTCAAGATAGGATTTTGTATGGCTTTTGAATGAATTTCATTTTGTAAATGTATTATTTTTTGAGACTGATCTGACTCCATAAAAAGTTACAACAGTCAATACAAATCAGAATTTCCGCCAAAGTTTTCAGCTATTCGTAATGTTTCAAAGTCTAAATGTTTTGTTTGTATTAGATACAATTAGCTGAGAAAATATTTATTATCTGGTTATTTTAGTAGGATATTTACATAAAAAGTGCTGATAAAGTAATGTTTTTTTATAGTTAATTATATTGTAAGTGATATTGTTATTGCAACACTCAGTAACAACATCGCATATTTTTTCCAGTATTGTGCAGCCCTAATTATTATTATTTTTTTTTTTTGAGGTCTACAAAACTTACATTGACAGTTTAAATTGTTCATCATCATCATAAGGAGTGGCTCTTTTCTATGAAAAACAGCTGAAGCTGTCTGACAAGTCCTAATGTTTAGATTGGCCGACAAAAGATCATCGCAGCAAACCATTTAATGCCTGCATTTCGTGCATTTAACCATAAGAATGAAATGTCATGTTCTACCCATGCTGTTTTGTTTTCTCATTCATGCATTCAGTCAGCACGTACTCACCTTTTCTTTCTTGTCTTGCGTGTGCATGGTGTGGCATGCGTTTAATCCTGCACTCCGACTGAAGGCTCCAACCGTAAGGTGCTGTTGAACATGCTGTGTAGTGTAGGTGTCGAACGCTGCCATCCTCCATCCCTCAACAGCCCTACTCACAGTCTCAGAAAAGCTCCGCCCCCTGGCATAGGTAAAGCTCCACCCCCAAACAAATGCATATTTCCTGTTGACATTTTTCAGTGCTTTATTGTGTTTCTCAACGCGTTTATACTCAAATGTTTGTCAGCGAAACAAGTGTGACTAGCTAAAGTTTGGATAGCTGTTACCTAAAAAGGCAGTTAGCTACTGCTAACCTGGGGCTGGGTGTTGATACAAATGTCACTATGTTGTTTAATTCTGATTCACAAGCTCTCGGATTTGATTCATGATTCAATTTTGTGAATATAGATTTATTACAAATAAATATTTCTTAAAAAATGGTCAGTGAACAGTTTGGTTCGAGTGCATGTTTGCATTAATACTAGTGCTGGACAAAAATTAATCGTGATTAATTGCATCCAAAATAAATTTTGTTTCAACATGATATTTGCGTGTGTATTATGCATGTTTATTATCTATATGTAATACACATACATTAAAACAAAACTACACAAAACCAACTTGTAACAAAGATTTTATTCATTCATTCATTTTCTTTTCGTCTTGGTCCCTTTATTGATCTGGGGTCACCACGGCAGAATGAACTGCCAACTTATCCAGCACGTTTTACGCAGCGGATGCCCTTCCAACTGCATTTTGTGATTCATTTTGAAAACAGGAGATGAGCTCCTGGTGTAATGCGCCACCTACCAGAAACCGGTTCTTAAAAACTTGTTGAGTAATTTTTTTGGGTAACACACATATTCTTAATGCCTTTGGCAGGATTCAAATGAGCCATTTTAATCTAGATTAAGCTAGATTAATTCCAAGATTACAGTGAGATTAATCTAAATAAAAAATAAAGAATCTATGCCTACCTATATTATTTATACATAATAAATATACCTCATACACTAATCTGCCACTTTATTAGGTACACCTGTGAGACTGCTCGTTAAAACAAATTTCTAATCAGCCAATCGCATGACGGCAACTCAATGCATTTAGGCATGTAAACATGGTCTGGAGGTATGCTAAAGAGCTATTCTAAACGCGCAACATGTTAAACCTTGAAACGGATGGGCTACAGCAGCAGAAGACCTCATCGGATGCCACTCCTGTCAGCTAAGAACAGGAAACTGAGGCTACAATTTGCACAGGCTCACTAAAATTAAACAATAGAAAATTGGAAAAACGTTGCCTGATCTGATGAGTCTTAATATCTGTTGTGACATTTGGATGGTAGGGTCATAATTTTGCGTCAACAACATGAAAGCACTGATCCTGCCTTGTATAAACAGTTCAGGCTGGTGGTTAGTGGTGTTATGGTGTGGGGGATATTTTCCTGGCACTCTTTGGGCCCATTAGTACCAATTGAGCATCATGTCAACGCCACAGCCTACCTGAGTATTGTTGCTGACCATGTCCAAACCCTTTATGACCACAGTATACTCATCTTCTGATAGCTACTTCCAGCAGGATAACGCGCGAATCATCTCAGACTGGTTATTTGAACAGGGCAATAAGTTCGCTGTACTCAAATAGGCCTCCACAGTCACCAGGTGGCAATCCAATAGAGCACCTTTAGGATGTGGTGGAATGGAAGATTCGCATCATGTGCAGCTGACAAATCTGCAGCAACCGCGTGTTGCTATCATGTCAATATGGACCAAAATCTCTGAGAAATGTTTCCAGTACCTCGTTGAATCTACGTCATGAAGGATTGAGGCAGTTCTAAAAGCAAAAGGGGGTCCAATCAAGTACTAGTAAGGTGTACTTCATAAAGTGGCCAGTGAGTGTATTTTATGTCAAAACAAACTTTTAATTTGGATGCGATCAATCTTTGCCCACTATTAATTAAAGTAGAACCTACTTTGTTTTGGATGAATAATGTAAGTACAGTAGTTATATTATGTCATAAATACCGTAGACATACACATAGAATTATAACATAATTAACACATAACACATAAATTATTTTAAAAATCTTTTCATCTTTGCTTAATATTAAGCATTGTTTTATTAGGCTAATGCAGCTTTAAGACCTTAGGTATGGATAATGTCTCTGAAATGCTTTCACTTTAGATGTGACTGATTGGTTATATGAGTACTCAGCAAAATGGGGATTTCCACACACAAGCATTTAGTTTTCCTAAACTGTAATGATGCACAACATATGGATCTTTTACAGTAAACTAAATCCATCATTTATAAGTCATAATGCTTAAATATGATGGGAAACATTTGATTAGGTTACTAATTGTTGTTTAATCCATCAATAAACTGCTACTAGAGTTGACGATAATAACTGGGTTGACATTTTGCACCATTTTGTGCTTTAGCTTAAGATGCTAACCTCAAAGCAGAGACCACACAGTATTTCTTAAACATATTTATGTATTTTCATCATATTATTGTTTTTAAAATGTTCACTGAAATATCACAGCAACAGAGTTGACGAGCAATCTAAACATTTTTTTTTTTACAAATTAATGACAGAGGAATAATGGCATTCTGCAAATCATTGGAAACAGAATCTAGAAAATAATCCAGTGTTGCCAACTATTTCCAATGAAAAGTAGCTAAAGCCTGCCTAAAAAGTAGTAAAATGTTGCCAGATGACATCACTCACTAATTTGCATATCAGTGATGTCATCACGCAGTATCTGGCAAGCTTAAGCCCATCATGTCCTTTGTTTTTTACCATAGTTTTTTTGTGTTTCATATTTTTTATTGTGTTGTATGTTTGTTCCTGACGGTTGTGCAATAAAAAAATAAATAAACAATAAATACACCTCCTGAAAATAAAAGCCAGTCATGTCTCTACTCTCTGAGGCAGTGTGTGTTATATTATATTTAAACATTACATCCAGATGCACAATAAATAGGTTCTTGTTAACGTATTACTTTGGGTGATGACGTCATTGTGTAATCGCAACTCAAAACTACATCTTTATGTAGTATACAAAATAATTAATGTTTTCTCAAATTGACTGGCCATCTCAGCAAAAACATTTGAAATATGTCCATTTAGATTTGCATGAAAAATAGAGTCGACTATTTGTAAAAGTAATACAAACACTTTTTGATAAGAATTTTCTGTGTTTTTAATATAACACTGATAACTAACAAGTACATTCTTTTAAACAATCACAGCTTGTGTGCTTTTTTTAACTTGTTAAATTAACACATTTGTGAAAGTGACAACAATTATAGCACTGTTGGAATGTATTGCTACCTAAATTACCAACAATTATACATGCTAACAAATATCAGTAAATTAACAGTGATGAAAAACAATCTGAGCTAGCAATTTACTCTACTGAGTGAAGCCTACAGCCACTGCTCTTTTGAGTCACTTTTTAAAAATTGCTGAAAGTAGCCAAATGTATGTTAAAAATTGCTAAATTTGTTGCTAAGTGCTTTTTGAAATAAAAGTTGCTAGAGTAGTACGAAAAGTTGCTAAATCTAACATCAAAATTGCTAAGTTGGCAACACTGAAATAATCAATTTACAACTTTTTATAATTGATATTAAATTAGTATCTTTTTAATAAACTATTCCTTGGTTAGAATATTTAGGCTTATATGTTTAATATTTAGAATATTTGTTTCAATTAATCGTTTGTTTTCAATAGCATTTTTCAAAATTTGTAAATTATTTGGTTTTTATTTCTTTTCATTTCTTTGCCTTATCATAATACCAAAGAAATCTGACAATATGATCAAATGCTACATTGTATATGACTAATGTTCTACTCTACTGAGTCCACTTGATTTTGCTTGAGTTTGGTGTTAGCATGTTACTAAGCTAACAGTGTGATCCACTAATAAGCATGACAAAACAAATATTCAGTTTTGTTATTGTTTGTTATTTAGTTTTTTTAATTAATGAACAATTTTATAAGAACATATAGATAACATTTTTGTCATAAACATTTTATTTAATTGCATTCCGGGGTTGTATATGTATTCCTCTGTATTGCTTAAATATTCACTACATGAACATTATCTTCTGTAAGTGAATCGGTGATCTAAAAATGAAGTGCTGAGATTTTAATTTTAAGTAGCAAGTTTGTGTCAATCAATAATTATTTAAACTGTTTCATAAATGGGCTATTACTCACTTTATGTAGTATTTTCTGTAGTATTAGGCTGTAGTAAATCAGCCTACAAGCTTTCATAGACAACCTGAAATGTTAAGATTCATTACATGTTTACAAAATTGTTCCATGAACCTTAAAGATATAGTTCACCGAAAAATAAAAATTATCTGTCATTGTTTACTTATTCTTTACTTTACTTTCAAACCTTTGAGTTTCCTTCTTCTGTTGAAAACTGAAGATATTTTGAAACATGTTTGGAAATGTATAACTTTTAGCTATGTTTTCATCCACCTATTTTTATGTGCATTTTGGATATGTGCATAAAAACCATTTGATGGAAATGCCAAGATGTGCATACAATTTGAAAGTGCGCATAAAAAAATGTATGCGCATAACCGAGTAGGATAAACTTTTTATTCGATAAGAAAAGATGCGCTTAAACTGCAATGGAAACACTTTACCCAGCAAATTTTAGCATGCGCATTAAAAAGGTCATGTGATTTTGTTATAAGAGATCATGTGGTGATAAAAATGTGTGTGAATGGACAAACCAGCAGGCTGAGCACATTGTAAAATATCTGAAAGGTTGTTTTGGTCACTCTAAAACGCCTTAACCATTTTAAATTTAGTGTCATTACTGTATATTATTAATGAACTCCAGAATCAAGAGCATCTGTGCTCTGCGTCTCATGTCTTTTAAACACCACCGCACGTTCACTTCAAGTCAGGATTTCCTTCTGAGGCGCAAGTCAGTTATTAAATGAGGAAAAGATTCACGCAGCTGCTCCTACTACAGCAAACCTAGTTTTTACTGTTGATATTTAGCGCCAGATAATCAGGAAGTGACTGTTTTGTTGGCTTTATTCTCATGTTTTTTATGCAATAATCCAGTTTTGCTCATAAAGTTAATTTGCGTTTTTGGATGAAAACGTAGCTAGTGACTTCCATTGGAATGATTATAGGTTTTCAGCTTTCTTCATAATTTTTTTGTGTACAACAAAAGAAAGAAACCAATAAAGGTCAGGAACCATGTGAGGCAATAGTAAATAGAGGTAAATTTTTATTTTTGGGTCAATTATGCCTTTAAAGGCCATCAAAAATTTATATTTTGGTTTAGTGGCAAATTGCTTCCATTCATTATCTTTTTTTTTGTGCGTTAAATATTTAAGACTTTTTTTTTGTCCTTTCTCTGCTAGCTGTATTTCTAAACATAATTCTTGTATGTGAAAATGTCTGCATTTCTACAGACTACATTTGAATACCTACAGTAGATACCACAGTTGACCCGGGTTGCCAGTCCTCATATTGAAGGGCCAGTGTCCTGAATTGTTTAGCTCCAACCTTAATTAAACGCCAATAAATCTGAGTTTTCTTGTTAAAAACTTCCTGGCTAGTCCTCGCATTGATCCTGTGGGCAAGCCTGACCACCCGCCGGTGACCTACTCACACCTGCAGTTCTCCACAATGGACGTCTAGCTTCCCCAACCTTCGGCGCCTAGACTGCAGCTCCACACAGGAAGTTTGGCCAGTGGAATAATGTTGGTGCCCAACAGAACCTGGTTTCTCTCTAGGTTTTTTTTTTCTCCCTTCACTTCAAGTTGCCCATGGCTTGCTCAGATCGGGTCTTGTGGAGCTGCGCGCCAATGGATTTGCTCTTCAGTGTTTGAACTTTCAGCAGTGAAATTTAAACCACACTGAACTGAACTAAACTTAACCTCAACTCTGAAATCTGGACTTTAGCTGCTTTGACACAATCTACATTGTAAAAGCGCTATATAAATAAACATGAATTGAATTGAATTGTATGTTTGAGCTGGTTGAAGCTTAAACTCTTCAGGATATTGGTCCTGCAGGACTGGGATTGGACACCCCTGGGCTTATGGGATTTGTCAGCAACAGCCACCATCTTGGAAAGGTCAACATTTGGGTTGAACTCATTATGTAACTACTCTCCAGTTGACTATAATTAAACCAACATAAGTGCCGCAATGACACAGGACACACTTGAGACAATGGAGAATAGTGTTTCACAGCTGAAAGCTATTACAAAGCATTATGGTTGTTGTCGAATCATCACTTGCATGTGTTCACTGGAGTATCTTGACCTTTCCAATGTGACTGACACACTGGCATATTAAGTAACCCCTGCATCTAGGTATTGCTTATCTATAATAGAATCGACCTGCCTATAATTTGGTTCACTGCTTGCTGCTCACATCCTGCCTAAAATTGGTCCGCAGGGTTCGATGACATCATGCAAGTGGCAGTAGCTGTAACGGCCATGAGTCGTGGATTCGTAGAGGCTGATGGGCTCAAAACAGGAAACAAGTATGTCGATTAAAGGAACCTTTGATCAAAAGAAGCTTATGTAGAATTATTCGCTCACTTGCTTTTCCTTTTCTCAAGAATGGACAGACTGTTGTGTCTTGATGGTGGAGGAATAAAGGGCCTGGTTCTCATCCAGTTGTTGATAGCTCTGGAGAAAGAGGCAGGACGTCCTATAAGGGAACTCTTTGACTGGGTGTCTGGAACCAGTACTGGTGGCATACTAGCCCTTGCGATTGTCCATGGTATTGGATTTGTATATTTAGTTTTAGTTTGTCTGTAAAAATGGCACTGACCTATCGGCATCCAGGACCATCCATTTTATAATTTCAAAATACATTCTTGGTGACTGTATGTGTGATATGCATTAGAACAATCACTTCTGCTGTACTCTTCAACAGGAAAATCAATGGAGTATCTGCGCTGTCTGTACTTCAGGATGAAGGAACAGGTGTTCAAAGGTTCTCGGCCATATGAGTCTGGACCTTTGGAGGAATTTCTGAAGAATGAGTTTGGAGAAAATACCAAGATGACTGATGTCACACACCCAAGGTATGTAAGCTTAAAATTTGAGATTGTAACAAATCCAAACAACACCAGAACACCAAAGCAGTGCCTAAAATATAACTACCTTGCAACTACCAAATACCCCCTTGTAACGCCATCAACCAACTAGAACTCCTTTGCAATGTCTTAGCAATGACTCAAGCAACTGTGTAGCAGCTCAAGTATTTCTTTTTGTGATACATGATTCCATGCAAAGGTTACCTATGTTTAGCAACAACAAGTTGACTCTAGCAAAGTCCTACCAGTCCCCTACTGTTGCTCAAACAGTCACTTAAAAAAAAACTAGCCACCAACTTTGCATGATTTTCCAACCTACAGCTTTACTTTAGCAGTGGTCTAGTACATCCTAGCAATGTACCACTGTTGCAACCAAATTATGAATGTCCAAAGTACTCTATTAACAGCCCAACAGTTGACTAGCAGTGACTAAAAAACGTTTGTTGACAAATCAGCCCTAAAAAAGACACAGAATATCAAATCATAAGGCTGGGCAGCAATGGCCTGTTGAAATTCACAAGAATTTAGTCTTAACCATAAAAATACCCCTGAATTAGCTAATCAGTAGCCACTGACCTCAGATAATTTCCTAACAAAGACCAAGTACATCCTAGCAATGCTCTACTGTTGCAAACTTCCATTACTAGTCATTAAAAATGTTAAAGCTGTACCTAGGAACACTACTCAAGAACCATGTGTGGACTTTTCAGCCATAACAAAGACACAGAACATTAAACCATAAGGCTGGTCAACTATAGCCTGTTGAAAATACTTTTTTCTGTCTTTTCCCCAAACAAATACCCCGGAACAAGTTAATTGGTGAACTCTTTGTGGCAGAGTCTTCTTCAGGCCATGCAGAAATGATCAGGGTTTTAGCTAAACTCTGCAGGAAAATAGCTGCATTTCCACTGTCGGGCCAGTGCGAGCCAAGGTTTTCATTGGGCTGGGCCAGTCGCCTTGGAGGTTGAGCAGTGAGGCCGAAATCATGTCGCCTTTCCACTGTTGGGCTAGTAGCTCAAAGCGCGTCACGCAAACCCCATCCCCAGAACGTCCCCCGAATCAAACGTCACACAACCCGCCCACTTTAGCGGAAATTAAGTAGATAAAGCAAGCCATCGCATCATCACGAAACATGTAAAATGTAGACCACTTAAACAAACAAATGACACATTACTGTACAGCCTTACATTATATGTCTATTACAAATGTATGTGCGTCCTCATTCATCATATTCATTTACTTGCCTATTGACTGTTGGCATCAAACATCGAGTGGTCTCGCCACTAATGGAGGGACCCAGCGCAGTGAGCGCACCCATCCATAATATAAAACCACAGAAATTCTCCGTCAATAACTCTGTAGAAAATGTGTTTTATTATATCCTCATTTAGATAGACACTGTCAAACATTCAGCCCAAATGCTTATGCTTATAGGCTATATGACACTTAATAGGTGATTGATTCCCCTTTATTTAAGGATGTTGCATATTATTCTGTGACCTTACGGAAAATGTTAAGTATTTCAGCACATAAGAGCAAGTAATAAAATATAGCCTATATTTTGTTACGCTCAGCAGATTTTCACTAATAAAGCTCTGTGTATGAAAAATTTCATTTTTACATTTTACCAAGTCATATAAAAACATGAACACTTGTTTGAGGACACAGAACACGTTTTGTATTTGCAGTTTTCCCCGATGTGTCTGTAAAGAGGCGCTGCGCAGGACTGGGTGACTGAAAAGATAGCCTAGTTTCATTCACTCAAAAAATGCTCTGTTTGCACGATTGATTAATTTCATCATATCCAAATACTTTATAAATAATATTTCAAACCTCCTCCGGTGTTTGTTTTATAAATATCAAAAATCTTTTTTTTTTTTCAGAGAGGCCTTTGTAAAATGAAAGTTATATGGCTTAAAAACAGTTTGTGTATTGTATATACCTACATTAATATAGCTAGCTTTTGTTTGTTTCATTGTTTTATCATATGCAATATTTGTAATTCTTTAAATTATTTCAATATAGCTTAGGCTATTTTATCAAGATATGACACAATTGTTTTAAGCCTACAAAAGTGGACATGAAATTTGTTACATTTTATGTCTTTCTGTTGTATTCATATTGTGTATTATCTCCAAAATAAGTTTAAAAAAAGAAAAAAGCAGCTCGCGGCATCAACAAAGCTGTGAAGGGAGCGCTCGATTGCTCGGTCTCTCACACTGATGACTTTTGAACTTTTAAACTTGACAAAAACTCTTGACAACCTTTACTGTCTGCTGTCTTTACTATGGTGTAAAGATTATTATGCATTATTGAAACATCAAGGAGAACGCAGCAAAGAAAGTCACCTTTAAATTAAAACTTTATTTTTGTTTGCCACAGCCTTACATTTAAAAGCGAAACATAAAGGTGATCATACGCAAAATACTCCAGACTATAAGGCTAGATGTTTTCTTAACCTTATTTATTTATTTGTTTATTTGTTGTTTATTTGTTTGGCGCATGTACTTGTATGCAATCAGAAAGCTAGTGTCCGCCTCTCCTTTCACTCTGCCTCGAAGCCCCAGTTGTCTCTCTTTGGCCCAAGGTATTCGGCGGGCCGAAAAAGGCCGGTCGCTGGCCCTGAGAAAGCCCCGATTTGGCCCAATTAGGCCCCGGAAGTGACAGTGTAAACGCGACTGGCCTTGGCTTGCCCTGGCTCACTCGCTTTAGGCGCGATAGTGGAAATGCGGCCAATGAATCTCAAGGCCCAGAGTTGCCCAGTGCAGACCTAAAAATAAAAAATAATTTCCTTACAAAGACAAGAGTAAACCCAGTCAACACCCTTCAGTACCTCCAAATAAATTCCCCAAAACATCTAATTAACATCTCTAAAAAAAAACAGCAACTGTCTAGTAAACAAAGTTTATTGATTCATTTTCTTCAAACATGCCTCCTAAATGCAAGGTCTGCCAGTATTTAGCAGTCATAAGAAGGCCCAAGCAGAAGATTATCCTAGAATCCCCCCAGCAATGTTCTCAAACTACCTAAACCTATCAACTAACCTTAATAAAATAATATTTACAAGCTATGCCCTATCGATGGCCCAATACACCCTAGCAATACTCTACTGTTGGAGTCATCCAGATCTTAATTTATACCCCTATATACCTGCCTAGCAAAATCCATTTATAGAGCTTAATCGACTTTTCAAAACACATAAGCAATGGCTTAGTGGGTCTCCTAACAAAGACCTAATTCATCCAGTCCATGCCCTTCTGTACCTCCAAATAAATTCCCAGAAATGTCCAATTAACATCTCTAAAAACCCAAGCAACTGTCTAGCAAACCATGTTTAGCATTTCGTTTTCTTCAAACATGCCTCCTAAATGCAAAGTCTGCCAGAATTTAGCAGCCATAAGAAGACCCTAGCAAAGACTTAAAGTAGATTTCTAAAGCCAGCTAACCTTAATAAAATAATATTTACAAGCTATGCCCTATCAATGGCCCAGTACACCAAAGCAATACTCTTCTATTGCAGTCATCCAGAACTTACTGTAAACCTCCATATACCTGCGTAGCAAAAACCAATTATAGAGCTTAATCGACCGTTCAAAACACATAAGCAATGCCTTAGTGGGTCTCCTAACAAAGACTGGGTCTCCTAACAAAGACACAGTATACCCAGTCAATCCCCTTCTGTACCTTCAAATACATTCCCAGAAATGTCCTATGAACATCTGTAAACACACAAGCAATTGTCTAGCTAGCCAAGTTTAGTGTTAAATTTTCTTCAAACTTGCCTCCTAAGTGCAAAGTCTGCCAGTATTTACAAGCAATAAGAAGACCCTAGCAAAGACCTACAGTAGATTTCTAAAACCAGCTAACCTTAATACAATAATATTTACAAGCTATGGCCCATCAATGGCCCAGTACACCCTCGCAATATTCTAATGTTGCAGTCATCCAGAACTTACTGTGAACCCCCATATACCTGCCTAGCAAAAAACAATTCTAGAGCTTAATCGAAAATTCAGAAAGTGTAAGCAATGCTTTAGTGACAACTCCCAACAGCCAATAAATTCCCTAATTACACATCTGAACTCCTTAAGATGTAGCAGTGACTTTTGCATTGTCAATCACCACACATATTCTTCAGAAAGAGGCTTGTTTTTAACTCACCTCCCATCTGTTTTTCTGTTTAGAGTAATGGTGACTAGCGTTCTTGCAGACAGACACCCTGGAGAACTGCATCTGTTTCGCAATTACGACCCGCCGGCCCTTCAGAGAGACCCTCCATACAAGTCTACGGCCACATTCCAGCCTCTTACTGTGCCACAAGGTAAATCTCTTTTGATTCTTGGGATGAAGCTGTTGTAATTATCTTTGTGGCACTGAAAAGCAAACTCATGTTCTTCCTCCCGTACTTTATATGAGCATTTTGATACGCTCCTGGATTCTCAGTTATCAAATGCTGCGTGAAGCTTCATTGTCGCTGTTGCAGGGTGGGAGGATGAAGATCTTTTGCTAGTAGGATATACTCGACCTCCCAGAAAGCGTAGGAAGGTGACTGATGAAGGTGTGTGTGAAAGAGAAAATGTGTATGTGGAATGAAAAGGTCACAGTATGCAAGTGTCCTGGTGTTCACATTGAGCAATCATACCTCATGTTGGATCTAATCGGTCGTTTAGTTTGCTGGAGGCTAATCATCTTTTGCCCTTTTAGGTCTATATTGGGCTCCTGCTCATTCGCATTGTGTTTCTTTCAGAGCAATTAGTTTGGCGTGCTGCTCGCTCCAGTGGAGCTGCTCCCACGTATTTTCGACCAATGGGCCGTTTTCTGGATGGAGGGCTGTTGGCTAATAACCCAACGCTAGATGCCATGACAGAAATACACCAGTTCAACAAAGCCCTGAAGGCACAGGTCTGATTACACCAGTTCTGTCACAAGAATTACCTGTTCAAGGCTATGTTTACATGACAGCAATGCAGTCAAAGTTTTATATCTTGCATTTTTAAAAATGTTTTACTCCTATTTGAAAATGTTTTCAAAACAATTCATGTTTACACATATTCTTGAAAAACTGCCAAAAACTTTGTTACATATGCCAAGCCAGGGGATGGCGCTGTCACCTTTTTAGTAAACGGTTTCTGTAGAGAAGTGATGATTAGACACGTCTAATCTCAGTTGTAAGAACAACACAAAATAGCTTGACTTCTAGTTGATAATTTGGGAAAAGTGGCAGAAGGTAGATTTTCCAATGAATCATCTGTTGAACTGCATCCCAATCATCACCTGCATGAACCCAAGATTCTCACTGAAACAGTCAAGTTTGGTGAAGGAAAAATGATGGTTTGAGGTTCAGTATGGGGCATGCGAGAGATCTGCAGAGTGGATGGCAATATCAACAGCCTGAATCAAGACATATAAAGACATTTGTCCTGCTCATTATATTACAAGCCACAGGAGAAGGCAAATTCTTCAGCAGGATAGTTCTCCTTCTCATACTTCAGCCTCCACATCAAAGTTCCTGAAAGCAAAGAAGATCAAGGTGCTCCAGGATTGGCCAGCCCAGTCATCAGACATGAACATTATTGAGCATGTCTGGGGTAAGATGAAGGAAGAGGCATTGAAGATGAACCCAAATAATCTTGATGAACTCTGGAAGACCTGCAAGAAAGCTTTATTTGCCATTCCAGATGACTTTATTAATAAGTTATTTGAGTCATTGCAAAGATGTATGGATGCAGTCCTTCAAGCTCATGGGAGTCATGCACAATATTGATTCTTTTTTTACTGCACCATGACTTTATATGTTATATTCTATACTGTACATCATTTCTATTAAGTCACACGACTTGGGTCTAAACAAAGTCAGACCTTACTGTCCTAATTAAATATCAAAAAATCAAGGCATGATCAAATTTTATTTAGCTAAAATAAGTGTAATCTAGAGGCCTTTGCCTTTTATATAAGCCACTTCTGATAGCAAATGATCAACTAGAAGTCAAGTTATTATTTGTTGTTCATAAAACTTGGATAGGTGACAAGACTTTTGTCAGGTAATGTAGTGACGTAAATCTACACTTTGCTGAAAAAAATTCTACTTTGAAATCTTGTTTTCAAAGTTATGAATTTGCAGCCCCCAAAATGTAATTTTTGTGTAAACAAACGCACAAAATTGTTGAGTAAATGGGCCCCAAATCTTCCTTTAAGCTTTAAATATTTATTAAAGGGTAAATGGGGTATTTTGATTTGAATGGCTTAATATAACATAAATGTCTCCTAATGAAATATGATGGAGGATTTATCCCTAGGTCCCTCATATTCCTAGGTCACCACAACCTCTAATTAGTGTTGGCAGTGGAAACTCAAGCCTTACTAGGGTGACCCATACTGAACTGTACTGTACTGTACTAAACTGTCTTTACTTCTCAGTGGTAATGAGGCACTAGTGAATTTACACAACCAACTTGAACCCAAACAGAGTGTGCGGAGGGAACTTTTTGTCCTTGCGCTAAACAAAATTTCACAAAACGGCTTCAGTTTTTGTGTGTTCCTTTCAATACTAAAATATGTGCTAACATTTCAAAACAGAGTTTTGATAACTTTCCCATTTAAAGCGTGACTCTTCTGTAGTTACGTTGTTTACTAAGGCCAACAGAAAGTGATAAGTTTAATGATCAAGGAACTTTACTGCTGTACCATGGCTGCAGCAGGCACATTGATATATTGCAGCACCTGAAAACAGACTCCAGCTAGGTAGCTAGGTAATAGCGCCTACAGTGGCCATGGTACGGCAGCAAAGTCTCTTGATTATTATTAGAATACATGATGCAACTACAGAAAATTCAAGCTTTAGATAGGAAAATATTTTTAAAATTGTCTAATCTGATTCAATGATTTATGCTAAGCTAAGCTAAAAACGCTTCTGCCTGACTGGGAGATCGACTGAATGGATTAAAAAATGGTAAAACTCAACTGTTTAATCCTAGGTGACTAGTAGATGAAACTATTTCCAAAAAGAGTTTTCTTTTATGATGTAGCACAAATTTTTCTGAGTTGAGGAGTTGGGTTAGGTTAGGTTAGGTCAGGTTGAGTTGAGTTATATTTATGCTTTATGGTCCTTTTTAGGAAATCTGTCTTGGACTCAAACAGCACATTGTCTCAATACACAACAAAAAAAAAAGGAAAAAAATCTGTCTCAGCCCATAGATGTCAAGTGTATGTCATTAAGTAGTGCTTTAAATGTATTGCCATTAAAGGCCTGCCTCCTTTTCTGGCTCCATCAGGGTCGTGATGAAGATGTAACCCGGTTAGGGGTGGTGGTCTCACTGGGCACCGGTAAACCTCCTCAGGTGGCGGTGAACTCGGTGGACGTTTTTAGGCCTTCCAATCCAATAGAGCTGGCCAAGACCTTTGTTGGAGTCAAAGAACTGGGCAAGATGCTTGTGGATTGTGTGAGTTTACAAATACAAGCCTCATAAGACTTCACATTTAAAATAAGTGAAAAAGTATCGCCACTTTTTGGTGTTGTTTATGATGATGGGTTGTTTTTGTTTGTGACGTCAGTGTACAGACTCAGATGGTTGTGCAGTGGACCGGGCCCGAGCGTGGTGTGAGATGGCTGATATAAACTATCACAGGTCAGTTGTGAAGGACTGATTCACCCTCATTCACATAACCCTGCTTTAAGAATTACTGTACTGTTGAATGTTTCTCATTCATTTTCTTTCTTTAATTTTATTTTCTCTTTTCTTCCACTCATTATTCCTTTTAAATTTGTCCTCCTTCTCAAATTTTCTTTCTTTTTTTATTTTTCTTCCTTATTCTTTTTCTTTCTTTCTTTCTTTCTTTCTTTCTTTCTTTCTTTTCATTTTATCCTTCCTTTTAATCTACTTTCTCTTTTACAATTTATTTTTTTCTACCTAGATTTCATTACTTTTTTCTTCCTACCTGTCATTCCCATCCTTACTTTCTTTTTAATTGTATTCCCACTTTTATTCCTTTGTTTTCTCCTGATTTTTATTTGTATTTCTTACCTTTCAATTTCTTCATTCTTTTCTTTGTTTCTTCCTTCTTTATATAATTAATTTTGTCATTTTATTCTTCAATTGTTTTTTTTCTTTTTCTTTTTTCTTTATTCTTTATTCCTTCTTTATTTCTTTGTCTTTCTTTTTTCAATTCAATTCAATTCAGCTTTATTTGTATAGCGCTTTTACAATGTAGATTGTGTCAAAGCAGCTTCACATAAATGGTCATAGTAACTGGAACAGTGTGGTTCAGGTTTTAGTGTTTAAGTTCAGTTCAGTTCAGTTTAGCTCAGTTCAGTGTGATTTAATCATTACTGAGAGTTCAAACACTGAAGAGCAAATTCATAGATGCGTAGCTCTACCAATCCTGAACCATGCGAGGCAGTGGCGACAGCGGAGAGGGGAAAAAAACTTCATCTGATGGGAGTGAAGAAAAATATACCTTGAGAGAACCAGACTCAGCTAGGCACGACCATTTTAATTTCTCCGCTGGCCAAAAGTCTTGTGCAGAGCTTCATTCGCCGTGGTTGAGGCTGGAAGATGGCCTCAGCGAAGACTCGTCTGTCCCTGGAGCGTTGCTGGAATCAGACTCATGTTCTCCACTCCCCACGACCATCAGCGCAGCAGCAGCTCAGGATATGGCCTGGTCCCGGATATGGAATCCTTGGGATCATCTCGTCGCTGGTCTTGGATCCAATCAGTGACTCCGCATAATCTGAGGACCTCGGGATGAGTATCCCCAGGTGAAAATAGAGAATAAAGAAAATAATTAGCGTAGCTGCTGTTCATAGTGTATATAAACAAGATGCAGAAGCCTGTGTGGAACCCGCTAGGTGATGCATTGAGTGTATGCTTTACTAAACAGATAGGTCTTTAATCTAGTTTTGAACTGGGAGAGTGTGTCTGAGCCTCGGATGTTATCAGGAAGGCTATTCCAGAGTGTAGGAGCCATGAAAGAGAAGGCTCGACCTCCTTTACTTGATTTTGCTATTCTAGGTAGTACCAGAAGCCCTGAGTTTTGAGATCTTAAAGAGCGAGTTGGTTTGTAGCGAGACAGAAGGTTGGTTAGATAAACAGGAGCTAGATTATTTAGGGCTTTATAGGTGAGAAGTAATATTTTAAATTTAATACGAAACTTAACAGGCAGCCAGTGTAAGGAGGATAAAATTGGGGTGATATGATCATATTTTCTAGACCTGGTAAGAACTCTGGCAGCTGCATTTTGTACTAATTGAAGTTTGTTAATAGAGGATGCTGGGCAGCCAGCAAATAGATCCTAAATCCTTCACCTTTCATTTCTTTTTATATCTTATCCTTTTAAATGTATCTTCCCTTTTCCTTTTTTTCACATCTTTCATTTTTTTCTTTCTTCCTTATATTTTATTCACTCATTTATTCCTTTCTTTACTTTTCTCCGTCTTTTCATCTGCCTTTCATTTCCTTTATTCTGTCAGTCCATCCTTTTACTATTAATGTTCATCCATACGTTACTACTTCCATACATTTTCTTTCAAGAGTTCCCACTTAGATATGCTTGGCATTTAAAGCAGGTTTGGCATGCTGTCCCGGGAGAGAACCCTGAGCTCGGAGATATTTGAGCCCAGGGCTCCCGCCTGGTCAATAAGCATATCAGGGGATCCGAGATCAAGTAGGTCTCGATAGCTCCCCCTTTAGAAAAAAGGGGGGGAAAGGAGGAGATAGGGTGGAAGGGGGGGGGATTCTTCAAACGAAGATAGAGTGAGCTAAGATCGCTCTGATTGGATTGTTACTGATTACGGATGATTGGCCAGCAGTGCTCAATCATATCACGTGCTCCTCTCGAAATTAGTTTATAAAACTTCACTTATTCTTCTTCCCTATTTCCTTCCTTTTTCTGTATGACTTCCTTTATTTCTTCCCTCATTCTTTTTCTTTTCCATCCTTCCTGTCTTAATTATTTGTCCTTCCTTTCCCTTTATTCCATTTTTTTGTTTTTTCCTGTCCTTTCCTCATTTCCTTCCAACATTTCATTTCCATTGTTCTTCCTTCCATTTACTTTACTTTCCCTCCTGTAATTACCATATATTTCTTTTTTCTCTTGTTGTCCTTTTTAATTTATTGTCTTTTTCCAGTTTTCTTTTCCTTCACCTTTCATTTCTTTTTTCTTCCTTCCTTTCTTTCTTTAGTCCTTCCCTTTTACTTTTAATGTCCACCCATATGATATTTCTTCCTTCCACTCTTTAGCCTTCTTTCTTATTTCTTTTGTTACCCTCTTTCTTTCAGCCTCATTCTCTTTAATTTCCATCCATCCTTTTTTTAGTTTTTGTCCTTCTTAACTTTCCCTCCATTCCATAATTTTTTCCTGTCCTTTTTTCATTTCCTTCCAACATTTCATTTCCATTGCTCTTCCTTCCGTTGTTCTCCCTTCATTACCTTCCCTTCTTAAATGACCCACCCTTTCTTTCTTTCTTTCTTTCTTTCTTTCTTTCTTTCTTTCTTTCTTTCTTTCTTTCTTTCTTTTTTTCTTTCTTTTTTCGTTCTTTTATTTTGCCCTTTTAAATTTAGTTTCCATCCTTCCTTCACATCTTTCATTACTTTTTTTCTTCCTTGCAAACATTCTCTACCTTATTTTCTGTCTTTCTTTCTTTTTATTTCCTCATTCATTACTTTCTTTACTTCTCTTCATCTTTTCATTTGTCCTTTATTTCTTTATTTCACTCCTTTCTTTTATTTGTGTCCTTCCTTCCTTTTTCTCAGTTTCATTACTCCTTTTTCCTGCCCGTCACTCATTTCCTTCCAAAATTTAATTTCCATTCTTCTTCCTTCCATTGACTTCCTTTACCATTACCTTCCTTCTGTTTTTACTGTGTCTTTCTTTTTTTCTGTCCTTCATACTTTCCATTTCAATTAACTTCTTTCATTTGCACCTTTCAATCAATTGATTCTCTCCTTTTGATTACTTCTACCGTTGACTCGCTTTCATTCTCACGTCGTCTTCTTTTTTTCCTGTGTGTCAGGTTGAGTCCTCAGCTGTCGCAGGAAGTGATGCTGGATGAGGTCAGCGACGCTGTGTTAGTTGACATGCTGTGGGAGACTCAAATGTACCTCTACGAGCACAGAGATGTCATACAAACCCTCTGCCAGCAGCTCCTGCAGCTCTGACATCAGCCATGAAGGTCTAATAAGCAGGAATCTAACACAAACACCGATTCTGTTTACACTCAGTGCGTCTACGTTGTTTTTGTGGCGTTTCATTAATTTTAAAGCAGAATATTTATGAAAGAAGAGAATTATGACACTTTTTTCCTAATATGATTTGTATGTCCGATTCTGAATTGGACCAAGGTTAATGTTTGACACGTGAAGGATTCAGAGCGTCATCTTATATGAACTACCACAATACATACATTTAAATATTGCATTACATTTTATTACATAATTTAGCATATATTGGCATATATTTTATGCTAAATTTCTCTAATAATACGTTCAATGTCTGCCATTAGCTTTAATCAGGGTGACGTGTTCATAAAATATGTTTTTACTCATTATTTGTCAGCCTACACATCACTTTTGTTCATTTTATCTGACATTTATTGATAAACTGACCTGGAAATTGCGATTGTAACCACTGTGATTTGCATAATAATAAGAAATTGCTTGCGTTTATCATTAATTATGCAAATATTTGAACATTTTCTTGATGACATCTCTGTCTGCTATTTCTATGTCTTTTGATGTCAATTTGAAGCAAAAACCTTGCTTTTTTCTGTCATGAATGAAAGATAAACAAAAAAGGTAACTTTGTGTTATTTTTAATCTCACAAATTAGACGATTCTTCTCAAAATTACAACAAAATTAAATAAAAAAAAAGTAAATTATTAGTATTATTAAAATTAAGAATTAAGCGACTACCTATAAGCTTGGAACTGCAAAATAAATGTTGGATTTTATGAATAGAGTAAGATGTTTAGGACCCAGATTTTATAGATATAATATCAGAATTGTGAGATTAAAATATTAGGATTCAAATGTTTTGATTTATTCATTAATCTTTTTTTAATTTTTTCGTTGTAGCCTTGCATACTTGAATATTTTAATACTGCAGCTGTAGCATGTATATGAAAGTTACTCAGATATTATAGAATATACTGATGTTTTTAACAACATGTATCTGGTCTAACTTGAATACCTCTTTTATTGCTCATTAGCCTTGCTGTATTTTTGTTTGGTTTATTGACTAACATATTTATCATTTATTTGTCTACAAAAATATCTTCTCACGTGGTAATAACTTGACACTGGAAGTTTTTCTGAGACCAAAGTAAGCATTTATTCACTTTATTCCTATAATGACCTGCTGTTGTGGCACTGATTTGAAAGTGATGTAAATCCTGAAATATTATTAATTATAATAATAAAAAAAGATGATTATTGAAACTTTTTTTTGCATCTACATTTTATCGAACATGCCTGATTTGTTTTTAAATGATAATTTAGCACTTCCACTACAAATGAACTAAAACAATCATTTAAAACAATAAGGTTATGCTATGAATACATTATATTACATACTCTCAAAAATTCGTTTTTTTAGGGACAACTTAATTGTTTTATGTTTAATGCACTTACATTTGTAAAAACTAATGAGTTAACTTAATTATTTCATGATGTCCCAACACAAGTTAATTTTGTGCAACCCAGCATTTCTTTGCAGTGTAAAAGGTACATTTTGTTTTGGGTAATTTTACTCATCAAGATTCTAAATAATCAGCTACTTAACCATACTTTAATCATGTTATTTTTAGTAAAAGAGTGAATATACAAATAATAACCAGTCTACCAAAAAAAAAATAAAAATAAAAATAAAAAACATTGTTTCTACATTTTTACTATAATACATTTAAAAAAAAAAAAAACACAAATTTAATAAGGGGAAGGATTGTCTTAAGGTTTTGAGTTTATTCATGTTCTGTTGAAAGTAGGGCTCAAAAAGGCCAAATTAGCACAATTTCCTTAAAACAAACAAAATAAATTAACAAATTAATATTGATTATTTTATCATGTTTTTTTAAGAATTTTGTTTTTGACTCAGTTGTGAAAACAAAACAGTATTTATTTTTACATACCTTAATATTGACTAACTAGATATCTTGTTTAAATATTTGGATTAGAAACAAGACAATAACTCTACAGTTTGCAGTGTAGTCCTAAAGTTATTCTTGATACAGATCTGGAAAGTATTCATAGAGCTTCACTTTTTTCACAATTCTTTTGTGGCTTATTTTAAATCTCATTAAATACATTTATTTCCTCAACATTCTACACACAAAACCACATAATGACAACGTGAAAAAAAGAGTTTTTGAAATTGTTGCAAATGAATTAAAAATTAAAAACCTGAACAATCACATGTACATAAGTATTTACAGCCTTTGCTCAACACTTTGTTGATGCACCTTTGGCAGCAATTACAGCCTCAAGTCATGTTGAATATGATGCCACAATCTTGGCACACATGTCTTTGGGAATTTTTGCCCATTCCTCTTTGCAGTACCTCTCAAGCTCTTATCAGGTTGGATGGGAAGCGACAGTGTACAGCCATTTTCAGATCTTTCCAGAGATGTTCAATAGGATTTAGGTCTGGGCTCTGGCTGGGCCACTCAAGGACATTCCTCGAGGTGTTGTGAAGCCACTCCATTAATATTTTGGTGGTGTACTTTCGGTCTTTGTCCTGCTGGAGTATGAACCGTCGCCCCAGTCTGAGGTCAAGAGCACTCTGAAGCAGGTTTTCATTCAGGATGTCTCTGTATTCATTCATCTTTCCCTCTATCCTGACTAGTCTTTCAGTTCCTGCTGCTGAAAAACCTCCCCACAGCATGATGTTGCCACCACTATAGGGATGGTATTAGCCTGGTGATGAGCGGTGCCTGGTTTTCTCCAAATGTAACGCCTGGCATTCACTCCTAAGAGTTCAATTTTAGTCTCATCAGACCAGATAATTTAGTTTCTTATGATCTGAGAGTCCTCCAGATGCCTCCAGATTCCAGGTGGGGATTGGCTTCTGTCTGGCTACTCTACCATACAGGCCTGATTGGTGAATTGCTGCACAGATGGTTGTCCTCCTGTAAGGTTCTTCTCTCTCCACAGAAGAACGCTGGAGGTCAGACTAAGTGACCATCGGGTTATTGATCACCTCCCTAAGACCCTTCTCCCCGATCACTCAGCTTAGATGGCCGGACAGCTCTAGGAAAAGTCCTGGTGGTTCCAAACAGCTTATACTTATGAATGATGGTGGCCACTGTGCTCATTGGAACTGTCAGAGCAGCAGAATTTTTTTCTGTAACATTCCCCAGTCTTGTGTATTGAGACAATCCTGTCTCGGAGGTCTACAGACAATTCCTTTGTCTTCATGCTTGGTTTGTGCTTTGACATGCACTGTCAACCCATGGGCCTTGTATAGACACGTGTATGTCTTTTCAAATCATGTCTAATCGACTGAATTTACCACAGGTGAACTCCAATTATGCTGCTGAAACATCTCAGGAAGGATCAGTGGAAACAGAATGTACCTGACCTTATTTAGAGCTTCACGGCAAAGGCTGTGAATACTTATGTACATGTGATTTTTCAGGTTTTATATTTTTAATAAATTTGCAATAATTTCAATGTTCTATTTTTTTACATTATGGGGTATTGTGTGTAGAATTTGGAAAAAAAACTGAACAAAATTAGATACACTTTCAGATTCCTGGCAGTTGGTATTAATCAGTTGGTTTTGCTTCCACATTTTTGTTATGAGATCAGATATATTTCTCCACTTTTATGTTTTATGTTAGAAAATATCCACCATGTGAGATAAAAATTTAGCTTGAATAACAGTACAAGTAAACCTTATTTTGTAATAGCATTTTGAGATTTTCTAAAACATATTAAGTTCGTGAAACTCTTAAAGCAAACCCGTTTGCCATCAGGGGGTTAATTTATGTCTCCTGAAGTGGATCAGTCTGTTTTTGTAACCAATATATTTTCTATTTAATCTATTGGAAACGCAAATCGCTGACAATATCAGTCGCACAAAATGTGCATTCGGCCATCACTGCAGTTTATGATTTAAATATAAACAAAAACACATTAGCCGCATTTCCACTATCGGGCCAGTGCAAGCCAGGGCTTTTATCGAGCCAGGCCGGGCCAATCGCCCGGGAGGTTGAGCAGTGAGGCCGAAATCATGTCGCGATTCCACTGTCGGGCTAGTAGCTCGCAGTGCGTCACGCAAACCCCGCCCCTAGAACATCCCTTGAATCGAACGTCACTTAATCCACCCACTTCAGAGGGAATCAGGCAGATAAAGCACACCACATCATCACGAAACTATTAAAATTAGGACAACAAAAACAAACAAATTACATATTTCTGTACAGCAGTACAATGTATGTCTATACGCACATACCTGTGTTCTCATTCATCATATTCATTTAATCGCCGACCAACTGTTGGCATCGAAATCCAGTGGTCTTGCCACTAACGGAGGGACCCAGCGCAGGGAGCGCACCAATCCATAATATAAAACCACATATATAAAATTCTCCACTAATAACTCGATATAAAGTGTATTTTATGACATCCTCAGTTAGACAGACGCTGTCCAACATTCATCCCAAATGCTCCGGAGAGAACGGAAACATTAATTTTTCCCTAAAGGCTTTATGACAGTTAATAGGTGATTCCCTTTATTTAAAGATGTTGCTTATTATATCTTAAGTAAAGGAAAGTGTTAAGTGTTTCAGCACAAAGGAGCAGCACGTAATAAAATATAGCCTATATTTCGTTGCGCTCAGCAGCCATGCACTAATAAAGCTCTTTATGTATTTAAAATTTTCTTTTTTTAATTTTACCACGTCATATAAAAACATACACACTTGTTTGAGGACACAGAACACATTTTGAACTTGCAGTTTTCCCCGATGCGTCAAAAAAGTGCTGTGCAGCTGCAGACAGAAAAAGTTTCTGCTTTCACTCACCCCGAAAATGCTCTGTTTGCATGATTTGATTAATATCATCGTATCCAAATGCTTTATAAAAAATATTTAAAACATTCTCCGGTGTTTATTGTTTTTAGAAAATATTTGAAATCTTTTTTTTTTCAGAGAGGCTTTTGAAAAACGAAAGTTTAATATGGCTTTAAAACAGATTGATATAATACCTAATTGTTATAGGTAGCTTTTGTTAGTTTTATATTGGTTCATTTATTTAATGTGATTTTAGTATATCTGATATTTGTAATTCTTTAAATTATTTTATCTAGATATGACACTTGTTTTGAGCCTTCAAAAGTGGACACGAAATTTGTAAAGTTTAATGTCTTTCTGTTGTATTCATATAGTGTATTATCTCCACAATAAATAAAAACAATAAAAAATAAAAGAAAAAAGCCGCGCGGCATCAACAGATCTATGAAGGGAGCGCACTTTTCCTCGGTCTCACGCGCACACATACAGGCATCTAAACGCGTACAAACACACCTTTTAAACTTGACAAAAACTCTTGAAAACCTTTACTGTCTATTGTGCCTTTAATATGGTGTAAAGATTATTATGCGTTATTGAAACATCAAGGAGGACGCAGCAAAGAAAAGTCACTTATAAATTAAAACTACTTTAATATTTTATGCAACAGCTTTACATTTAAAAGAGAAACATAAGGTCGATCATACACAAAAAGACCTTAGCCTATAATTTGTTCCAGATGTTTTTTTTCCCTTATTTATTTATTTGCTTATGTGTTTGGCGTGTACTCGTGTGCGATCAGAAAACTGTGCCGCCTCTCCTTTCACTCCGCCCCAAAGCCCCGGCTGGCCCTCTTTGGCCCAAGGTATTTGGTGGGCCGAAAAAGGCCGGCCGCTGGCCCCAAGAAAGCCCCGATTTGGCCCTATTAGGCCCCGGAAGTGACAGTGAAAACGCGACTGGCCTTGGCTCGCCCTGGCTCGCTCGCTTTAGGCGCGATAGTGGAAACGCGGCTATTGATCCACTTCATAAGACTCGCATTAACCCCCTGGCGGCATATGTCTCAGTTTAATTATAGATTTATCCACTTTTGGAAGATTCAAAAAGTCACTATCCACACCATTTTACAGCATGGAAGTGCTAGGACAAAAATTTTAACTGATCTTGACTGTGTTCATCTGACATTGAAATTAATATACAGAGAAGATGGCTTGAGGGTAAGTAAATTATGGTTTCATTTTTCATTTGGGGTGAACTTTTCCTTTAAAGTTTCCAGCTATGTCACATAACCTGCTTTCTCAAATACTCTTCTGATAAAATAATTCCTTGAAGTTAAATACATTGAAATAATTAAATGGCCCGACCAGAGTACTGATATAAACCTAACTAAAAAAATTTGGAAAGTCCTTGGTGAAAAAGTTAAGACTAAGAAACACTACAGCTGGTGAACTGTGAAAGAGATTGAAGAAGAGTGAGCTATACAGTAGTCAACATTTGAAGCGGATCATCACCTTTTATTAAAGTTGTCCTAAAACTATTGAACAACAGCCATTTTTGTCTTAGGACCATTTTGAAAAACGACTTAGAGACACTTCAAATATTGACCACTATATATAAAATAGTAGAAATGTTATGTAAATGGATCACATGTTGTGTTCATCCAGTCAAAATCATTTGAAACTTCAATATGCAAGTATGACAATGAATCCAGGGTTTAAGAATGCACAATGGGAAGCATCAGAGTACAAATACTCAGGAGTAATTATGAGCACTGCGAAACTTGTAACATGTAAACCCTGGACTCTGTTACCTGGGGTTTAGAATGACTTAGTTAACTATTTCAAGTGTGAATGCTGGGATATATTGGGTTAACCGTGGAAACGCAGCAGCAACTCTAATTCAGTGGAAAATTACTGATAGTTTACTACTGCATACATGAAAGAATATAGCATATTATTGTAAATACTATAATGTTTTTAAACCATACTATAGTAAACTACAATTTAATCATAGTTTTGTTGCTGTAACTGTAGTTCATCCATGGTATCTGTTGTAAAATTGTGTTTATACAACGAATCCCAACCCCAAAAAACAAGATTATCACAATTTTCCACTAATAATTGTCTTAAGGCAGGGGTGTCAAACTCAATTCCTGGAGGGCCGAAGCCCTGCACAGTTTAGTTCCAACCCTGCTCCAACACACTTACCTGTAGGTTTCAAAAAAGCCTGAAGGACACAATTAGTTTGATCAGGTGTGTTTAATTAGGGTTGAAATTAAACTGTGCAGAGCTGCGGCACTTTTGGAACTGAGTTTGACACCTGTGTCTTAAAGGATCAAGAAATATGTGGTACTGCTATACCTGTCTTTAAATTAGAAATGCGAAACATTCTTTCACCTGGGTTTAACCCTTATTGTGTATACAGCTAACCGTATTTGTTAACTTCATTGAGATTGATTACAATTAATTTTATTTCATAAATGTAAAAAGTCTTGAATGTTTTGTAAACACTCCAGGGTTTTTCCAATGAGCATAATGCACACAATATACTGACACTAAGGAGAAGATACTGTTGAATATAGTCATTCATTTTTGATTTATGTGCGCTCAAACGTATTCTCGTAGCTTCATAATATTCTGAAGGCATATGATCTGCTTTCAGGACGTTTTTCTGTATTTCAATGGAGGATGAGGGAGCTCTCTGATTTCACCTAAAATATCCTAATTTATGTTCAAAAGATGAACAAAGGTCTTGGGATTAAAACGACCTGAAGGTAAGCAATTAATAATTTTGCACACATTTTTGTTTCATTTTTGGATGAACTAACCTTTTAAATTAACTTTTAAATTTTTGTCATCATTCGGCTGTGGTGGAAAGAGTACTGAAAAAGCAAACTTTAGTAAAAGTACCCTTACTTGCCTAAAAATGTAGTGTGAGTAGAGTAAAAGTACCTGTTGTAAATATTACTCAAAGTAGGAGTAAAAAGTAGCCCCTTTAAAAGTACTCATGAGTAGTGAGTAGTGAGTATTATGCTTTTAAAAGGTTGATGCATTTACATGTAATTTGTGGATGTGTTTGTAAACGTAACATTTTGTAGTGCACTTAATTATTGCCCAGCAGGCACACAACATCATATTAGGGTAGGTTTAGGTTGTGATGTCAGGTGGCAAAAATTCAATGTCTAGTCAGCATCTAAGGACAACATTATATTGATGTTCATTAATGACATCAAATGACATTGATATTTGGTTAATTGTAGCTTGTTAGAAAGTGACCAAAATCCAATGTCGAGCCAACAACTTAAACCAACATCCTATTGATTTCAAATACGGACATTTATTCATCAGCTATGGCAACCAAAATTCAACGTCTGATAGATGTCATAGTGGTAACGTTGACAACATCAAGCTGTAACATCATTAGACATTGATATTTGGTTGGTTTTAGGTTAGGCGTTGGACATTGACTTCGGGCTGAGGTGAGTTCTGATGTAAACCGATTTTCATTTCCAAATAAAATGCAACGTCTCCACAATGTTAGGGTACAATTTCAATCTGATGGCATATTGACGTCTTGTGCCTGCTGGGTGTTTAAGGCCATTTCGGTCATCATACAGTAAATATCCATCATCTTCTCATCAGTGACATGCATCTAAACCAGGGGTGCCCATACTCGGTCCTGGAGGGCCGATGTCCTGCAAAGTTTAGTTCCAATCTCAATTAGACGCACCCGGGCTAGCTAATCAATCTCTTACTAGGCTTTCTAGAAACATCCGTGCAGGTGTGTTGAGGCAAAGTGGGGCTAAAATCTGCAGGACATCGGCCCTCTAGGACTGTGTTTGGGCATTCCTGATCTAAACAGTCTCTTGGTCAATGCATATAAAGATTTTAAACATCTTCTTGGACACTTAATGCTTCTAAACAGTTTGTTGCAATGTAACGTGCACATGTCTTGAAGTAGTTCATTATGATGCAATTTACCTTCTATGTGTGATTTGATTGTACAGGAATTACAGGACTGATTTTTCTAATTTCCATGAACAAGAAATATTAAAGTAGCGACTGCAGGTTGAAGAAAAGTAGTGAGAGTAAAAGTACAGATACATCACTAAAAATGTACTGAAGGAAAAGTAAAATTTTTTAAAACTACTTAGTAAATTACAATTTCTGAGAAAAACTACTCAATAACAGTAACTTGAGTATTTGTAAATAGTTACTTTACACCACTGTCATTCGGACATAAAACAGTTCCTTGAGGCTGAAATTATGAAATGGCCAGACCAGAGTCCTGATGTAAACCTGATTAAAAATCTCTGCTAAAATCCTTGACAAAGTTATGGCTAAGAAACACTACAGTTGGTGATCTGTAAAAAAGACTGAGGAAGAGTGATATGTACAGTAGTGAACATTTGAAGCAGATCATCGCCATTTATCAAAGTTTTGCTGAAACAATTGAGCGACAGCCATTCTTGTCTTAGCCATTCTTCCACTTTAAATGTTGACTGCTGTATATACCATTATGTAAATCAAACACTTGCTGCTTTTATCCAGTCGAAATCATTTGTAATTATTTTGTAATTAATAACACACACACACACACACACACACACACACACACACACACACACACACACACACACACACACAAATATATATATATATATATATATATATATATATATATATATATATATATATATATATATATATATTTTTTTTTTTTTTTTTAAACTAACCCTTTAAATTCTCTTAAAAAAAAAAATTCCTAAATTTAACGTAAAATAGTTCCGTGAAGCTAAAAACATTGATATAATACAATGGCCAGACCAAAGTCCTGAAGTAAACCTGATTAAAAATCCGTGGTGACAAAATTATCGCTAAGAAATACTACAGTCGTTGATCTGTGAAAGAGATTGAAGAAGAGTGAAATATACAGTAGTCAAAATCATTTGTAAGTATTTTGTAATTAACATAATTTTTGTTTCATTTTTGGATGAACTAACCCTTTAAATTAATTTTTTTTTTTTTTCTTTTTCGGACATGTGACTGGTGTAAGTATCTAAAGCGTCACTTCTACATCTGCAGTGAGTCTCCCCTGCCCACCTGTCAGACGGACACCCTTCTCCACGCTCAGTCATGGGACGAGTAAATAATTCAACACTCCATGCGTATCAGATGTGGTCTCCTCTCTCTCTCTTTATTTCGTACTCCCTCTCTCTCGTCCTCTAATAGGCATCAACAAGTCTCTGAAGACATCAGTAGAGTGTGTTATCTGTGTAATAACTGCAGCGTGAAAACTTTCACTATCACAGGTATGTAAGGAACCCTCTTTATCTGTTAGTAATTCTGCAGTTGATCATTGTTGCTAATGTTACATGTGTATATTTCCCCACAGAAACAGGATGTCTGGAGTGAACAGTGACCTTTTACACAGATCAACTTTGAGTGTTTATAATGTGAGTGTTCTGCCTACAAAAGACTGTAGTGTTTTGAACTATACTATAGTAAAATGTGTTATGCTGTATATATTTTACAACTCTTTGTTAATTCAATACAAGTTTACTTGTATAGCGCTGTTCACAATAGTTATTTCTTCAAAGCAGCTTTACAAAAAGTGTACATGATTACATATTATTTAAATTCCCTAAAGTTAAGGTTATTAGTTGCCATAACTTTATTAGTTACTAATACCTTTAATTAATTAGGTACTTAAAGCTTTCAACTTATTGTATAAAAACATAGTTAACCTGCAGTTATATAGTATATGTGATATTGTATAGTTGGTACAGAGTATATATACACAATAAAACCTCAAAAGTTAAGGTAACTCAAACCATTTAAAGAAACTGATTGGAATAAACCATTTAAGTTCAGAAACTAATCCTAATGAGTACTGTGAATGCAATTTATTTGAGTAAATGAAGCAGTTTGAGCACAGTAAAATCCAATAAATGAAGGGAACTTAAACCAAATGAGTACTATAAAACCAAATAAGTTAAGTCAACTCAAACCGTTTGAGAAAACCAATTCCTACAAACCATTTAAGTTAAAAAAAAATATCCTATGTGAGAACTGTGAACTTACTTCGTTTAAGTTGAAGTAACGAGGTATTTAATTGCCTTCAACACTGAGTTCAAAACTCTTTTCAAATAAGTAGTATTAACTTTTCAGTTGATTTTGCGTTAACTAAACTTATTTTATTTGGTAAAATTGACTGATGGGTTTTACAGTGTATGTGTACATGTTCAATGAAGTGTATTTATGCAACAGTATTTTTTATAATCAACTGATAACCCTTAATAAATACTGTAGTTTAGTTTTTACTATAGTAAACACTGGCGTATTATAGTATAAACAACTACAGTACTGGGTAAGTTTGTTTATATTATTATAGTATTTTTTAGTATAGTAGTAATTATACTGTATTAACATGTCAACTGAAATTACAACTATAGATCTACCACAACAAATTGACTCGTACTTTACTATAGTATGGCTCAAAAACCCTATATTATTTACTATACATTACTATAAAAAAAATGTCATATGTCTGTTCATTATTATTCTGTTTATTATTAATTACAATGCCATATTAATTTTAATTAACGAGAATATACAACCACACATTCTTTATTCAATTATTCAACTATTATTGGTTGAATAAAGTCTTTCATCTGCATGCTATAGTGTGTGGTTATAGATTAGAGTTATATAGATTAAGTAGTATCTTTAAAGGTATGTGTACAATTTTTAACATCATATTAATTACAGTAAAATCTCTGACATTGATTTCAATCATTGAACACGTTATGTATACTAATATATATGACGTCAAACCTAATATATATATAATGTTTATTTTATATTGTTTATTACAGTGGTCCCTCATTAATCGTGGGAGTTACGCTCTAAAAAGTAGCCCACAATAGGCGAAATCCGTGAAGTAGTCAGTTTTTTTTTATTTTTTTTTATTTACAATTATTATGTTTTAAGGCTGTAAAACCCCATTACTACGTTATTTTCTTAAATAGGCATCAACATTTTCACACTTTTCTCTCGTTTAGACATTCGCATAATTACTATCCACTTTTTGTATGATGGTTAGCTTCTTCTGCTGCTTTTTGGGTGTTACCATGGGTGCCTTTGACGGTGCAAAAAGTTTTGTCATCATTGTGGGGAGCAAATTTGTAATCATACAGTATAGCACTTCAGAGTCACACAGCTAGCAAAGATATCAATTTGGCAAGCTGAACACGTTCTGTACTGTACAGGAGGTACGGCACGGAGGACTTTGATTGACAATGGTCTACAGCCAATCAGGACGCACAACACAATCCGCTAATCAGGACACAGAACACATTACGCTTAAAAAAAAATAACATGTCAAATTGCAAAAAATCTGCAAAACCGCAAAAGGTGAACTGCGTTATGGCGGGGGACCACTGTATACTTAAAAAAATTCATGTCCATTTATAATATAAATAACAATCATTCTAATATAAAACGGTACTTCTTGCTGAATGTTCCATTATAGTTTATATAAGGGATAAAGTACATCCTGAAGGTTGTTATCATGGAATAAAGCCCAACCGACTAGTTTATCAGCAGCCTTACGCAATGCAAAACACTGTTGTATAAGACTGATGGCTGTATTTTTCGAAAACAATAGTTTGGATGTACTTTATCCTCCTTCTTACACAGCTTCTTGCGACAAAACCTAAATATTAGACAAAACGTTGTTCTGAGCCATAATACTTTAGTAATTCTTGAATTAAATGCAAAGCTGACAGAAATGAAAATTACTGAAATCAAAAATCAAAGGGGGCCTAATAATAATTCTGACTTCAACTGAGTGTCCTCCATTACATTTACCCTCCTAAACCTCACACCCATCCCGGACGAGCCCCCATATGTAACCCACCAATCCTACTACACTCAGCCTGGTCTAAACTGAGATCGAACCAGCTAATTATTAATATTATTTTTTGCATGGGAGTCAGCTGCTCTAACAAGGAGGCTAAAGTCCTAGTCTGTCGCTAGAACATCTTTATAAGTTAGATGAACGATGTTTACCTGCATAGCACTTCGCTACCTGGCCTCCGTTAGAAACATATTCAGTTAAAGTCAGAATTATTAGCCCCCTTTGATTTTTTTTCCTTTTTAAATATTTGCCAAGTAATGTTTAACAGAGCAAGGACATTTTTAAGGTATGATTGATAAGTCTTATTTGTTTTATTTCGGCTAGAATAAAAGCAGTTTTAATTTTTCAAACACCATTTTGAGGACAAAATTATCTAGTAAAATATTGTTTACTGTCATCATGGCAAAGATAAAATAAATCAGTTATTAGAAATTAATTATTAAACTATTATTTTTAGAAATAATAGGTAAATAATTCAGGAGGGCTAATAATTCTGACTTTAACTGTATGTATGTAAGTATGTATGCATGTGTGTGTGTGTCTGTGTCTGTGTGTGTGTGTGTATATATATATATATATATATATATATATATATATGCGTGTGTGCAAGTGTGTATCCATTGGCGATCAAGATAATTTAGCAGTTGTTTTCTGGGAATAACATATCATTAAATGTCGCAACTGACTAATAAGATTCAAGTGTTCCAGTTGGCTGTTTAATAATTTGAGATACTAATTAGCTAATGCTTATATTTAATAGCATCTCAGAGTGAATGTTGACAGTATGATGGTGTTGTTTTGGTTTATTCAGAACCTCATGGATCAGTTTAATCCTGGCTTGCAAAAGCTGGTCACTTTAGGAAACAGCTACATCAAAGCTTTTCAAGGTGAGCATGCTGTGTGTTTTAAAAACAAATGTATGCAAAAGCAATGTTTGATGCATTGAAGTTTTTGTTTTGTTTTGTTTGAGTGTTTTGTTTTGTCTGATATTTATGCTGGTTTATTTATTTTTTGTTTTATTTGGTTTTAATTTTTCTTGTAGGTTTGTGGTTTGCTTTTTATTTGTTGGGGGGGTGGTTGAACTTTTTTTTCTTCATTTGGTTATATTTAAATGCATTTATTTATATTTCATTATGCTTTGTTTTACATTTCTTTTGTTGTTGTTTTATGTATAGTAGGATTTTTTGTTTTATATGTGGTTTAGATTTTTATTTTGTCAGTTTATTTTTATTTTTTTTGTATGTGCGTGTGAAAAACGTCTTTAAATATTTTATGTTTACTTTTATTTTCTGTTGTATTTATATTTCTCCAAAATGTTGATTCGTTCTGTTATTATTTTTGTTATTGTTATTTTTCTAAGGTTTTCTAAGTGGTTGTGTAAGCATTTCACTGCATGTCTGACTGTTTTGAATTTGAATTTGATTGTTTTGAATTTTATAAAATGCCAAACCTACTGTAAAAAAAGACTCATCTCAGAACATTTTGTGGGGGTCTATTAAACTAGTAAACACTTCTATACACTAGTAAACACAATCTATACCACCAGGGGCTTATTTTAGCTATTAATAATATCATCATGATCATTAGGGAATGCTAAAAACGCATGAATAAACACTATTTTTCTGTTTTTCTCCTCATCAAAGCGTTGGCTCTGACAAGCGAAGCCTACTTCAGCGCTCTTGCTAAGATGGGCGAACAAGCTCTCAGCACACTATCATCTAGATCACTCGGTAAGAATCCTGTGCGTCTCTAAAGTAGTGCCAGCTGGGCAGATTGTGAAGCAAGATGTCCACTGAGTTTTTAACTCTACTTTCTGGCTGTACTAGCGCATGTTTGTCCTACAGACAATAGATGTTTCAGCGAACAGCATCCAGCGCCAGATGCTTCCTCTCCTCTGTCGAAAAACACAAGATTTGGCTGAGAGAAACCTTCAGGTTGATGCCAAAGTTATGAGTTTTAGTTTCAGTCACGAGATAAAGAAACGATGAATTACAGAATACTAGTTTAAGGGTTCCACTTTATATTAAGTGGCCTTAACTAATATGTACTTACATAGGAATTAATAGTTTGTTACAATGTACTTATTGTGCATATACATGTATTTACTGTGTACTTATGCTTGATTAAATACATGCATGTAATTACATCTGTAATTAACTTCTGTAATTACATTTGTAAATACACTGTTGACCATCCCTTACACCTTAACCTACCCTTAAACCAACCCATACCACCAAACCTATCCATAACCCAACCTCTATTCCAACTCAAAAGCACCACAAGTGTTCTCAAATACAGTATAAACACAGTAAGTACATTGTATTTATTTTTTAAAGTAAGTACATAGTAGTTAGGGACACTTAATATAAAGTGGGACCAGTTTAAGAGGCATAGAACGTTAAATAAGGGTTTAAAAATTACTACCAGCTTATAAACCTGCATGTGACTGGACAAGGGGTGTGTGTGTGTGCGCGTGTGTTAAGCATCAGGTGTCCATGTGAGCATTGAGACTTAAATAATTGATGCATGGTCTCATTCTTTCACCCCGTTAAATTCATTGATCCCCTTACTAGCACATAACACTCATCATTACAATGCACATATTAATACATACTTAAAAAATAAAAATAAACTAATAAAAAAATAGGTGGTATAAAGCTAAATGCTATTTCTTGGGTGCTTTTAGAAGAAATTAATTTTTTTTTTAAATAATATAATTAGGTAGTGTTAATTATACATGTTTTAAATTATAATAAATCAAAAACATATAATTGATATATATATTTATAATTGTAAGAAAGATTTATTTTTTGTGGAAGAATTATTACCAGTTAAATCGTGGTAATATTTAATATATTTCTTCAATAAAGTTATTAAAAATGTATATTGTCATTTATTAAAATCTTTAAAAGAAGATTTTTTTCATAAATGAAACAATTTTGAAAAAAAAAATGAAAGTGACACTGTTGGAAAAAAACAAAAACGATTTTGATCGACTTCGAATGTTGACTACTGTATACCATTATGTAAATGGATCACTTGCTGTGTTCATCCAGTCAAAATCATTTGTAATTATTTTGTAATTAATAACATTATTTTCGTTTAATTTTTGGATCAACTAGCCTTTTAAATTGACATTTTTATTAGTTTTTTCGTCATTCAGACATAAAATAGTTCCTTGAAGCTGAAAACATTGAAATAATGAAATGGCCAGACCAGAGACCTGACGTAAACCTGATTAGAAATCTCTGGAAAATCCTTGGTGACAAAGTTATAGCCAAGAAACAATACTGTCGGTGATCTGTGAAAGAGGCAGAAGAAGAGTGAGATATACATAAGTCAACATTTGAAGTGGAACATCGCCGTTTATCAAAGTTCTCCTAAAACAATTGAACAGCAGCCATCCTTGTCTTAGGACCATTTTGAAACAATTTGATCCACTTCAAATGTTGACTACTGTATATACCATTATGTAAATGGATCACTTGCTAGGCATTAGGTGTCCATGTGAGCATTGATATTTAAATAATTGATGCATGGTTTCATTATTTAATATATTTATATTTAATAATGAGTAATATTTAATATATTTCTTCAGGAAAGATATAAAAAATTGTAAATTTTTCAAATAAGATATTTTTCATAAATGTTTCAGTGTTTGTATTTTTGTCACTGAGTTTCTTTCTTAAAACATGCAAAAGTATTTTGGTGCTTTAAAATGACATGAGAGTATAAAACTAATGACTAAATATGTTATTTTCTTTATTGATTCATCCCTTTAATAGTATCTGATTCATTTCTGGTCTCTTAATTAGTTGCGGTTCATTAACCGACACGAGCTACTGAACAAACTCAACAGTCCCGTGATATTCAGACTGTTTACAAAAAGCCACTCTTCCATTTCTGCACTTATTAAATATGTATTGACAATCAATTATTTAATTAATGTATTTTGTTTGCTTGCCAGGCGACGTGTTGATCCAGATATCAGAGACTCAGAGGAAGCTGACGGCTGAGGCAGAGGGAGTGGTGAGTTAAAAGTTCAAGTCTTTCTGGCTAATGGGATTCATAGCATGGCAAGCCATTTTAACATTTAATCTAGCAATAAACCACGCTAGTGTCTTTTTTATGCCCTGCAAAAAAATGCTTTTACTCACATATTGTATTGTTGTAGTTTTTGTCTTGTTTCTAGTCCAAATATATACAAATTCCTAAATCAAGAAGCATTTTGTAGACAAGTAAAAATATTGTCTTGATTTCATTGAGTTTATGCTTTAAACAACATAAATAATCTGCCATTTTTGATTTATGTAAAATGTTTTCTGTTTTCTGTAAAATGTTAGTAAATTAAAATGTTTCTTGATTTAATTTTTTATTTTGGACTAGAAACAAAAACTAGAAATTAAAAAACAAAAAGTATTTTTGCTATTTTTTTTACTCCAACCTATTTTTTAGCTGCAACTAGTATGCAACGATTTACAGATTTTGGTTGTCCGATTATAGTGTGAGGAATAATCACGGTTATCATAATTAATATGCATTTATTAATTTCAAAACTCAACTAGTTTAGAAAATCACTTGAAAGTGTCGGATGTTATCACTTTAAAGTGTTGTTTTTGCTTATGAATTGCTAGATAATATAGCACAAAATAATAAAAAACAAACCGTAGTACATTTCTATCTTTGGACTTAAATTAAGTGGAAAACTAATCCCCAAAATTGGAGGCCTGGCTTGTGAGTCGGCCCTCCCTATATGCGCGTGCAAGCCTCCATTGGAAAAATCATGGTTGCGACAAAGACACAAAATGTGAACGGTTCACTGCTGCTAGGTGCCTCAGCCATAGTTAATCCAGTGTGCGTGTGTATTAGCAAAGACTTAAGAACACACAAGAAATTTCACAAATATGGTTTTGAATGGGGAAGAGTGTAGCAGTCAATATGGCGAATGCAGCCCCGCCTATTAGTACAGGAGCCAATCATTGATCGTGTTGTGTTTTCGTGTGGTCAACAAACGCACTAGAATCTCAGTGAATTCTCACAGACCTAAGAAGTATATTCACATAAAGCTTGAAGTTTGTACTTTAAATGAAAGAATACACTTGAAAACAAAAGTGTTCTGGTTTTGTAATCTGTATGAAATGAACGCGAGGTACAGTCTGTCCTGTCAAATGCACATCGCATGACAGCAACTACTCAAATGCCCCACAAACTTAGAAACAAAGAGTCGCTGTTATTTCTGGAGGAGATTCGCCGCAAGACTAAGTTGTGAATTACTGCAGATGAGGAGCACGATCAGATGAAGCATTATTCAGAGGGTGATAATGTGTAGAAAAGTTTGGTGATTTAGAACTTAGGTTGGTGTCGTGATCTCGCTCTTTTCAAATGCGTATGCACATTAGCTTGGGCAACCTGAAAGATTTTATTTTGAACGTTGAGAAACAATACTGGTTGTAATGGTTGTTGCTTAATTTTATTGGTGGTTCTAAATATGTAATGTAATTGTAAGCTTGGCAAACAGTATTAGGGTATTTAATGTTTCCCTATTCAGATAGACTGCCCGATTTTAGTAAATGGTAACAACAAAGTCCTGCTGTGATTGAGTAAAGTCACATTTTTGATGAAAGTACATCTGAAGTGGTCAGAGGATTATTAGAAGCATCCTTGTTTTTTGAAAGACATCCCCCTTGTTTCTTAAGTAGTATATGTATTGTTCCAATAGCATTGTTTCATTCGAAAGTTGTATGAACAGTTCAAATGTTGGAGGCCTTAGTTGGTTCCAATTGAGCAAAATGCATTTTTTGCTTGATAGGAAATGATGCCAAGTCTCTTTCTATAAGTAGGGTCAAGCGTCTTGTTCAAATCCATACCAAAGAGGTATAGCGTTGGTGTGTTGTCTAATGGAGTTTGCATAGCTTTGGCTGCAAAGTCCTGTACTGCTTTCCAGAATTTTTTGTGGGAAATTCAGAAAATGCTTTTTGCATTCCCAAAAAATATGCATGATTGATCCTTAATAGATTTTACATCTGTGAAAGACATTTTGCTTAAACAAAGTAGGGTAAGATTATGGTTTTTAAATATTTCTTCATATTGTAACATGGACTTTTGGGTTCAGTGGTTAGTACTGTACTTTCAAACTGCAATTTCAATGCCGCTTTGCAGCTTGTCCTAACTACTACATATTATTCATGCTAAAATTAGTTTTTAACTTAATCATTTATGACGTCGATGCGCAAAATTTGTATTTAAAAAAGAAAAATAAATTTAAAATGTAAAAATGTTTTGCTGCAAAACATCTGCATTAACTATTATGAAAATGAGAATGAAGGTTATGTGCTTTTTTTCCAGTGTTATTAATGTGAATTTGAATACCATTATGTGACATTTATTGCCATACTACTGAAAGTAGCATATACTGTAGCTCACCTTATATATTGAAAATTAAATAACTAGCTAACACTTTGTAAATGAATGTTAGAACAGTGGCTCAGTGCAAACCAACAACTTCAGTCACTCAGTCACTCTTCTTTTAATAATGTAACATTGGTGATTATAACCATTTTGTAGGGTGGCTGAAATTTGGGCACACAGACATCTGCTTGTTTCACGTCACATGTGGTTAGGAGACGTTGTAAAAGCTAGAAACGTCCCAGCTGTGAAATAAGAGTCAACAACACTCAATGTGATGCTGCGGCATGCGATAAAAGCTGTCTTTTCCATCTTAAAAAGTTTCCCAAAAGCCATGGGAGCGGATCAAGTGTTTAGCAAGTCTTGAGTCCAATGGAGAAGATGTTTTTGTGTTTATTTTATGGTTAAAGTTGTTAAACGTTTGCCGGCTCCTGTCTCTTTCTACCCAAAAAGAGTTTTCTGCGTGTTTGAGATACTGCTACAGTAGCATCACACACATCTCTGGTGTTACTTAAAACACAGCCAAAGAAACTTGACAATGGGTATAAAAACTTCACCGCATATAAGCATTTCGTAAGTGTGATTTCAGAGCAATGCAGAAGTATAAATGCTCACAATAGCTTCGGCTATGTACAAGTCACCCAACAAAAAACTATAAATTGGGGTCTTGCCCATAGACTGTAAAAAATATGGACGTAGTATCCGTGACGTCACCCATAGGTTTCTGAAGAGCGCAAATGAAGCTACAAGTGGGCGTGGCCAACTGGTGCCGTTTTGTTCGCAAGTCTTGACACCAACCAGGGTTAACCAAAAAAGGGCAAAGAGGTGGAGCGTGATCGAAGCTACAGATGCCTGCTAGCAATTTGTTTAGACAGGCTTTTCTTTAGGAGATACGCTTAACACTTTATTTCCTGCAACTCGTTTGTGTTCTGACCACATGTGCTTGGTTATACACTACTGTATAGCAATAAAGTGGTTAGTCTTTTAAAAACACTGTTGTAATACATTTAGCCCCTAAACACTGTTATTTTGATGTTTTTCAATTCAGCTTTATTTGTATAGTGCTTTTACAATGAAGATTGTGTCAAAGCAGCTTCACATAAATGGTCATAGTAACTGGAGCAGGGTAGTTCAGTTTTTAGTGTTTAAGTTCAGTTCAGTTTAGCTCAGTTCAGTGTGGTTTAAAATCATTACTGAGAGTCCAAACACTGAAGAGCAAATTCATCGATGCGTAGCTCTACAGATCCTGAACCATGCAAGCCAGAGGCGACATCGGAGAGGAAAAAAAAACTTCACCAATAGGAGAGTGAAGAAAAAAAACCTTGAGAGAACCAGACTCAGTTCGGCACAACCATTTTAATTTCTCCGCTGGCCAAAAGTCTTGTGCAGAGCTGCAGTCTCAGCGGTGGAGGCTGGAAGCTGGCCTCAGCGAAGACACGTCTGTCCCTGGAGTGTCACTGGAATCAGTCTCATGCTCTCCACTCCCCCTTGACCAACAGCGCAGCATCAGCTCAGGATACGGCCTGGTCCCGGATATGGACACCTTGGGATCATCACGTCGCTGGTCTTGGATCCAATCAGTGACTCCGCATAATCTGAGAACCTCGGGATGAGTATCCCCAGGTGGAAATTGAGAATGAAGAGAGTAATTAGCTTAGCTGCTGTTCATAGTGTATATAAACAAGATGCAGAAACTTGTGTGGAAACCCGCTAAGTGATGCATTGAGTGTATGCTTTACTAAACAGATAGGTCTTTAATCTAGTTTTGAACTGAGAGTGTGTGTCTGACCCTCGGATGTTATAAGGAAGGCTATTCCAGAGTGTAGGAGCCATAAAGGAGAAGGCTCGACCTCCTTTATTCGACTTTGCTATTCTAGGTACTACCAGAAGCCCTGAGTTTTGAGATTTTAAAGAGCGAGTTGAATTGTAGCAAGACAGAAGGTTGGTTAGATAAACAGGGGCTAGATTATTTAGAGCTTTATAGGTGAGAAGTAATATTTTAAACTCAATACGAAACTTAACAGGCAGCCAGTCTAAGGAGGATAAAATTGGGGTGATATAATCATATTTTCTAGACCTGGTCAGAACTCTGGCTGCTGCATTTTGTACTAAATCAAGTTTGTTAATAGAGGATGCTGGGCAGCCAGCAAATAGAGCATTGCAGTAATCCAACCTAGAAGTCATAAAAGCATAGACTAGCTTTTCTGCATCAGAGATTGATAGCATACTTCGTAATTTAGCGATATTTCTCAGATGAAAGAAGGCAGTTTTTGTGACATGGGATATATGGTTTTCAAAAGTTAGATTGCTGTCTAATATGACACCCAGATCTTTTATACTAGAGCTAACGCTAACTTTGTATCCCTTTAATTGTAGATTGAGTTGCGAGATCTGCTGTGTACAGGATTTAGGCCCAATAAGTTATTTTGTTTTGTCTGAGTTTAAGAGAAGAAAATTGTTGAAGGTTGACTTGTGAAGGCTGTCCATTAATATTCACAAACTGGTAACAGTCAGTTAAGTATGACTTAAACCATTGTAGAGCTTGTCCCTGGACACCTGTAGATTTTAAGCGATTTATGAGGATATTGTGGTCAATGGTGTCAAATGCCGCACTAAGATCGTGTAGAACTAATAGCGAGATGCACCCTTGGTCAGCAGCTAAGAGTAAATCATTGGTTATTTTCACTAATGCAGTTTTATGTACTGTGATGAGCTCTATAACCTGACTGAAACACTTCAAAATTATTGTTTGTCTGCAGAAAGGAGCATAATTGAGTAGAAACAACTTTTTTTAGTATTTTAGACATAAATGGAAGATTTGAAATAGGCCTATAGTTAGCTAAGTTGTTGGGGTCCTGTTGCGGTTTCTTAATAATAGGCTTAATAACAGCTAGCTTGTAACATTTTGGAACATGGCCTATAAATAAAGAAGAGTTGATAATGTTAAGAAGAGTTTCTCCTATAGCAGGTAGCAATTCTTTCAGTAATTTAGTTGGAATTAAGTCCAGCATATTCCAGCAAAATCTCCTATTTTCTGTCTAAAGCCTTCTATTTTATCACTGAAAAATTTCATCACTGAAAATTTTATCACTGAAAAAAGTCATCACTACTAATTTGTGGTGGAACATTTTGTTCCAAGGATGACCAATTATTTGCTAATTTAGCAATGGTGTTAAATAAAAATCTAGGATTGTTTCGATTATTTTTCTATCAGTTTGCGGAAGTGTTCGGCCCTGGCAGTTTTTAGAGCCCTCCAATAGCTGGACATACTGTATTTGTACGCAATTCTAAAGACCTCTAAATATTTTTTTTTCCATTTACGCCATTATACCATGGTGTAGTTTTAATCTCTCTAGCCTTTTTTAATTTGATTGGTGACACAGTATTTAGTGTACTAGTAAAGATGGCATCCATACTGCTGGTTACTACATCAAGATCATTTGAGTTTGCGGGTGCATTACCAAATAGAGAAAGATCAGGTAAGTTATTTATAAATTTATCTTTGGTTAACGGAACGATAGTTCTACTAGGGCGAAATATTGGAGCGGGTTTGCTAATTTTAGGTAAACACAGCTTATATAGTAAGAGGTAGTGGTCTGTCATATCATCACTTTGTGGTATAATGTCTACATCAATGACCTCAATTCCATAAGACAGAATTAGATCTAATGTATGCTTTAAGCGATGGGTTGGACCCACAATGTTTTGCTTTATCCCAAGTGAGTGTAGTAAATCCATATAATGTATGTAATCGTTAGTGTCATCTATGTGGATCTTAAAGTCACCGACAATTAGTATTATATCAGTTTTGACTAGTAAGTCAGAAATATAATCAGAAAACTCTTTTAGAAAATTGACATAGGGTCCTGGGGGTCTACATATTGTGATTAAAGCGAGAGATAACATAGGTTTTTGCATAGTATCTGGAAGCTGAACATTAAGCGCTAATACTTCAAAGGAGCTAAACATAAGTCCATTTCTCTGATTGACATTAAGGAAATCACTAAAGATTGATGCAACTCCACCACCACGACCAGTTTGACAAGCCTCATGTTTATATAAGAATCCTGGAGGAATTGCTTCATTTAAACTAATATAGTCATTTTGTTTCAGCCAGGTTTCAGTGAGACAAAGTGCATTAAGATTGTTATCTGTTATTATTTCATTTATGATAAGTGCTTTAGGTGCTAGTGACCTGATGTTTTGGAGACCGAGCTTTACGAAATTTGTATTTTCACTTTTTAGCGGTTTTTCTGATTTGATTCTTAATAGATTTATTCTGGAGCACACAGTACGTTTATTTCTTGATCTAATAATACGAGGAACAGGCACAGTCTCTATGGGGTTAGCCAGATATGCATTACTGATGCTTAAGTGGGACGAACTAGAGTCTATGTGGCTATAATGTGAATTTTGTGAATTTTTACCTACTAGTCAGAAGTAATCTAGAGATGTTGTCCGACAGGAGTTCAGCTCCAGCTCGACTGGGGTGCAGGCCGTCAGCACGGAAAAGCCTAGGACGCTCCCAGAAAAGATTCCAGTTTTTACTTTCAAATACTTCAAATAAAGTCTGTGTTACGCCCCATTCACACGGGGCTTCAGCATCAACGCTTGACAGAGCATGTGTCTGAAGTTGAGGCTGACTCGATCGTCATAGCCGCGTCAGCCAATGAAAATCTGTCAGCAATAGGCCACTGTCTGAGATGGTTTATTTGCATACAGTGATCTGATTGGTTGATGCTTCCATCGATGCTTGAAAAGTTGAGCAAGTCCCAACGTGTGCAGCGAGCAACGCCTCTGACCAGCTATATGTTTTCTTTCCTTTATTTATTTATTTTATTTATTTTTTTGGTGCATGTACTCGTGTGTTATCGTAAAACTATTGTAATGGCGGCATGCCATCTTTACCAGACTCTGGAAACTTCCTCCACCCCCCCAAAGTATTTAGGGGGCTGAAAAAGGCTGGCCGCTGGCCCTGAGGAAGCCCCGCTTTGGCCCGATCAGGCCCCGGAAGTCAGTGGAAACGCTACTGGCCCTGGTTCACCCTGGCACCCTCGCTTTAGGTGCGATAGTGGAAATGCAGCTAATGAGTATATAATTGTGACTGAGGCCAGCTAGCAAAGTGCTATGCAGGTAAACCTCTTTAACCTTAAAAAGTGCTCCAGCGACAGACGTTCGGTGCCATGGTCTTTAGCTTCCTTGTTAGAGCAACAGACTTCCAAGCAAAGAATTGCCGGTTTGATCCAATCTCAGACCAAGTTGAGTGCTGTAGGACCGGTGGGTTACACGTGGTGGCTCGTCTGGGATGGGAGTGAGGTTTAGGGGTGTGATTGTGATGGAGGCCAGCTAGTGAAGTGCTATGCAGATAAACCTCACTTCTATGACATCAAAAGGTGCTCTAGCGACAGACGTTGGGTGCCATGGTCTTTAGCCTCCTTGTTTGAGCAGCCGACTCCCATGCAAAGAATCGCCGGTTCGACCCCAGCTCAGTCCAGGTGCAATAGGACCAGTAGGTTACATAATTAATAATTTCTAGTATCTTTTACAGTAAAAATTATTTATATAGCACCTTTTACAGACAATAAGTAACAAAGTGCTTTACAGTAAAAAAAAAATCTATATTAAAACAGGTTAAAATCCAAGCTCAAATAACACCAAATGTAAAACCAGACCACCATACTGTTAATTAAAAGCTTGTCAAAAAAAAGTGTCTTAGGTACATATAAAGTACCTAAAGAATAATCATTAGTAGCTAATGAATTAGTTATAGTACTTGGAAAAGATACAAGTGTCTAAAAATAAGAGCTAGAGCAGGAAAACGGATACTAGTATGTTATATTGATTAAATGCTAAAGTGGCTTGCCTTACTCGTTGGTCTTGATTACTGTTTCAGTTCCGCTGGTTCCATGTGGAGGTTCTGCAGGCCATGGACAAGAACGTGAAGCTGGACGAGGAATACATTGAGGTGAGTCAAGAAGCTTGTGGTGTGTCTCTGTATATGTATATCCTGTGTGTGTATGAGCTAATATGTTCAATATATATATAAAGGGCAGTCGTAGAGTGTATGAACTGGAGGTGAGGAATCAGGCGGCATCGCTGGAGCGTCAGCTGAGACGTGGTGCCTTCAGAGACTCACTGGTAAGACCACGTTTTTGTTCATGTAAACATTTTTAAGGTGTCTAATGTTTGTTATGCAAACAAGTCTGTATTCTAAGAAACTAACTATCTGAATGTATCCTAAAAGATTGTAACTTGGCCTTATGATGTTGCTAAGTTAACATCAAAATACTAGAACAATCTCATTTCAGTTTTGTGGAGTTTGACGTGAGCATCAATTTTAAGATAATAACTCTTAAATAACCTCTGTCTCAGCTGAATCTATTGGTCTGTCATTGGTATGCTAATCTAAAAAACTAATGATCTTATTTGAGTCTTGTAGCATTTGCAATTAGCATGTTAGTAAGTTGGTAAGAAACTCAGTATTCTCATTTGTTGTTAACTCTGTCATTAGCATGTTGTTAGCAAACAAAGTCTAACAATTTAAATGTTCCAGCAAACTTTACCAGTTTTTACCTGTTTAGCATTTGCTAAGACAAATCAAAATTCTAATAAGTCTGACTGTTTTGATTTCGAAACAATTTTATGTAAGTATATTGCTAAGCTAACAATACTTTATAGCAAACCAATAACAATCTTAATTGATTCAGAACTCACTATTCTCATTTGTTGTCAGCTCTGTCATTAGCATGTTGTTAGCGAACAAAATCGAACAATGCAAATTTACCAGTTTAGTCATTTAGCATTTGCTAAGATAAATCAAAAGTCTAATAACTCTTGACTGTCTTGCTTTCAAAGCAATTTGACATTAGCATATTGCTAAGCTAACAATACTTTAAAGCAAACCATTAGCAATGTCAATTGATTCAGAACTCAGTATTATCTTTTGTTGTTATTGCTGTCATTAGCATGTTGTTATAAAACAAAGTCTAACAATTCAAATGTTTTAGTAAGCTTACCAGCCCAGTCTTTTAGCATTTCCTAAGAAACGTCTAATAACTGTGACTGTGTAGATTTCAAAACAGTTTGACTTTAGTTTATTGCTAAGCTAACCATACCTTATAGCAAACCATTAACATTCCTAATTGATTTAGAACTCAGTATTCTCATTTGTTGTCAGCTTTGTCATTGGCATGTTGTTAGCAAACACAATCGAACAATTCAAATGTTCCAGCAAGCATTAGCTGTGTACTCTTTTAGTATTTGCTAAGATAAATAAAAAATGTAATAAGTCTGACTGGTTTGATTTCAAAACAATTTGATGTTAGCATATTGCTAAGCCAGCAATATTTTCTAGCAAACCATTAGCAATCTCATTTGATTTAGAACTCAATATTCTCATTTGTTGTACGCTCTGTCATTAGCATGTTGTTAGCGAAAAAAATAAACGATACAATTGTTTCAGCAAACTTTAGCAGTCTGGCCTTCCCAGTATTCCCATTTGATGTCAACCCTGCTGAAAAATCCAGCATAAACCAGCCTAGGCTGGTTTAAGCTGGATTTTTCAGCAGGGAACTCTGTCATTAGCTTGTTGTTAGAGTAGAAAGTCTAACAATTCATATGTTCAAGTAAGCTTTACCAGTGTAGTCTTTTAGCATTTGCTAAGCTAAATCTAAAAAGTCTGATAACTCATACTTCAGTCATTCTATTTGTTGTCAGTATTCCCTCAGTATTCCCATTTGTTGTCAACTTTGTCATTAACATGTTGTTGGCGAACAAAATCGAACAATTAAAATTGACCAGTTTAGTTATTTAGCATTTACAAAGATAAATCAAAAGTCTAATAACTCTGAATGCCTTGATTTCAAAACAATTTGATGTTAGCATATTGCTAAGCTACCAATACTTTATAGCAAACCATTAACAATTTCAATTGATTTAGAACTCAGTATTTTCTACTGTTGTCAACACTGTCATTAGCGAACAAAATTGAACAATTCAAGTCTTCGAGTAAAGTTTACTTGTCTAGTTTTTTTTAGCATTTGTGCTAAGATAAATCTAAAAAGTCTAATAACTCTGACAGTGTAGATTTAAAACAGTTTGACTTTATTCATATTGCCATAACAATTTCAATTGATTGAGTTTTTTATTAGCTAACATCAAACACTTATTGTTAGTCAAATCTTGCATGGTTCCTATGTTAATTCTTAAACCTACAGTGGTTTGTAATGAAAAATGACTAGCATTCGTTCATTTTTTTTTGTAACAACTGACAGTTTGAAGCAACATAAATAAAACTAGCCTTGGCAGTTTGACAAAGTCGTGATCCACCTTTTGTGCAATGTTGCAACTGCCACTGTGAATGAAGACAGTGGAGCTCTGTAGGTTCTGGAACAATCTCAATACACATGCACTTATGTGTGCGCAGGAGAGCAGCGAGTACATGCAGTACCTGAGGCAGAGTCAGCATGAGATTCTCAAAGAGGAAGAAAGGAGATATCGTTTCTTGGCTGAGAAACATTGCGGACTTACACAGTCACTTCTATACCTTATCAATAAGGTACAGCTGCTTTCCTCTGGGCTTCATTAGCAGTGTGCTCAGTCATATAGATCCTCTTTCCATTCCTTCCAAACCCTATCAGCTCCACTGCTCAAGCATCTTTCCTTGTGTTGACAGACGGGAGTATCTCTCCAGCAGAGAGCAGATGGATGGAAAGAGAAAGTCAGCGAGAGCAGAAGCTCCAGACCTCGAACGCCCACTCCATTAGATCAAGAGGCTCAGGTGACACTGGAAATGATGGGAATGAAGAGCATCCGTATTCCTCTACTTTTGCTCGCTCATTTTTTGACTAAATGCCAGTGCACAGTCGAACAATAGAACAGATGGGTAGCTTTGTGTGGCATAGAGTCACAGATTTAACTTTTTTTTTGTATCACATCTGTCAACTGTGGATTAATTCATGAGCTATGAAATTTAATTTTGCACCGCTTAGTATTGTGAAATGCTGTTTGTGACACATTTTAAGAGGTGCTTTATATTCTGTTAAAAGATTGCTTCTGTAAAGTCATGAAAAAACATTATCATGGACTTTTGCTATCGAAGCAGATGGCAATGGCAAGAATCTAGAACTGAGCAAATTGAGCAAAACTTCATTTATATTTACTCTGCAAATGTGGAATAGAGGTTTGGTAATGCTAAAGCTCAAAAAGTTCGTCTCATATCAGATACATATGCACTATTCCATGCCATTGCATGCCATTTTGTAGGATAAATGGTCGCATGATGTACTTAATAATCGATAAAAAAAAGTGTGTAATGCTGAACACTTTAAAGCTTTGCTCATGTAAAGGAAAGGGAGGAGCTACTAGTTTAGTCATTTATTTATCTAATCTGACTATCGTTGACTGAAACGTTGGCAACATTAACTGGAAAATGCTTTGAATGCAAAACGCTGTAAAATGCGCTGTAAAAAAAAAAAAAGCATGTAAAATTGCACACATAAAAATCCATGACACTGCGAGACCGCGAAAGGTGAACCGCGTTATAGTGAGGGACTACTTCATTTGACTGAAAACTGAACTTATGTATTGCAACAACTTTAAATAGCTTTCCTGATCGACCACAATTAATCCACGGTCAATTTTTCACCACAAGTTATAACCGATTGACTTCTTTGTATTCTTGATGCTTCAGCACACTCGCTTATCCTAATTGTCTCATGTTAGCATTTTGCTAAACTGTCAACTAATTGCTGTAACAAACTAACATTTGACTCATACACGTACACATATATTCAAACTAAGGCATAGACAGTTCGCAACTGTTTTTAATACCTTTTTTGGCCTACAGGGGTTCATGTGAAATTTATATTTTAATATTTTAATCTTTAATAAATTACTAATAGGAATAGCCCATATCTTTTTAGCTACTTTGTGATGAATTACTTAATAAATTACTTCAGGAAAAATGAACAAATCAAAAAAGTCCTAGTTCGATCGGACAGTTAGGGTTTGGGTAAACTGTAGTTGAACTTGCTGAGCAAAAATTGTTGATAATGACATCGAGATGATCATAATGTGTGATAATGACAGTTATTTTGTATAGCTTCTCAACCATCTACAGCTTTGTGTAGTAAATGTAGAAAATATAATATAATGTTATTATAATATAATATAAATATAAAATATAATTTAAATATAAAATATCATATAAAATACTATAATATAATATAATATAATATTAGTAGTGTGAACCTACACTGGTCACACTGTTTGGTTCGGTTATGATAATCATGCCATCGATGCAGTTCAATTCGATATCTCGGTGCATCACTCTGCATTGACAATGCTTTCCATACACAATTTTCTTTACTGCACAGCAATTATTGCATTAAAATGTGTATATATATATATATTTATATACTATCTGTAAAACAATTTAGTCCTTTAATACAAAGACATATATGTAAACTTTAAAAACTCAAGTACATACACAGAACAACATGAGCATTTTTAGCTTTGCTCAGTCGCGTAATAGATTTCAATTCGATTAGTCGCCTAGCCCTACTAGCATACCATACTGATGAGGAAATTCACATCACACACTGTACACTAACACCTGCTTATGTGTCTGTTGCAGTTAAAAAGTTCTGTGGGCTCTCTGCTGCAGACTGGAGACCGAGAAATGGACCGCGAACCTCTGGGGAGAGTGCCCTCTAGAGGTCTGGAGACTCAGTAATGCTCATCCCCTAAATTAGTCTGTAAAAAGTTTAGAATTAAGACAATGTTTAGTTTTATACCAAAGTTAACTTTGTTGACAACTTTAGTATCCTAGGGTTCATTCTTCGTAACTAGCTTTAATGGTCTACGATAATTGGACAGATCCTGGATATTTTAATCTCAATAACTGATCTGTGGCTAATTTGGTTCTTCAAACAAGTTTGTGAGTCAGATTGAAATATCTGGATAAACTGATCTAAGGTAGCTGCGATGTTGTGATGAACAGATCTATCGATCTTTGAAAATCATGATCAGCTATTCTGCAATAGGCTGATGGCACAGCAGAGTAATGACATCATCTGAATGATATTCAATTATCCATGTGAGCAAAATTACATAAAATTCATAGTAAATGTTTTTTTTAAATATGATACACAGTAACTTTCCACATTTGTTGTGGGCTGCAGGCTTTACACTTTCATGAGCCAAGAGTATTTAATATTTATTTAGTTTTACTTTTAAAGCTGATTACCTTTAGCTTCTTATAGTAGGCCTATTCAAGTTTCTTAATTATGTGATGTAAGGCATAATTAATAAATTAATTTTGCATCAAAAAATGATTCTGATGTTGGTAAAGGTGTTTGCAATGGTCCCTAAGACCTTGTCTGCATGAACAGACCCTTGCAGGCCCTCCTTTGGGTTTCCGTCAGGTGTTTAAGATTTCTGTCCTTCATTTACTCCTCCTCTTTGCAGCCCCGTCTCCTCTCCCCAGTCGTTCCCGCTCCAGCTCTGTGGGCGAGTCTTTAGGTCTGGGCGGCGGTCGCTCCATGAGGGCCATCGTTTCACATCCCGCTTCATCCAATCCGGTCCTGCTGCCGTTTGCCCGTGGCGACCTGTTGACTGTGCTCATACCAGAACCACGCAATGGTTGGCTGTATGGACGCCATGATCCAAGCCTACGGTGAGAGATTTGGCTATTGTTAGTGAGGTTTCCAGAAATTCTTTAGTCTCATTGTTCTTTATTGTTTTTAGCCAAGGCTGGTTTCCTGCTGCCTACGTGGCATCCACTGAAGACTTTCTACCTGTGGGCTTAAGGTAAAGTTGAGTATGTGAGTTGTGTCTAGTGGTCGACTTCCCAGTATACCTGCCGATGTGATAGAGAAGGCTTTTATTTTGAGAATAACAGTGCGTGAGCTCCTGTTCTTCCTTAGTCTACTGTCTTTGTTTAAAGTCCGCATGAACCAGAATCTGTGACTGTTTTTTTTTTCGTATTGTGATGCAGTTCCATTAGAAACAAAATATTAAATGAGGAAACAGTGGACGTTGCTTGTTTTTTTCTACTGTGAGCTGACTGGATGTTGTAAAGTAGGCATTTCATTCAGAAAGAGCTGGAAATTAAACTAACAGACACCTCCTGCTCACCAATTCTGTTTATTGTCGTAACTGACAGTTGGAGGGGCGTGGTTAAGTATTTTAGCCCCACCCAACACCTCAGACAGACGTAATCTGAGAACTTAACTGAAAACAAACAGGAAGTGCATTTTCAGATTTAATTTTAGATTATAAGGGCAAACATCTCTCGTTTTTCTTAATGATATGCACCAATGTCATAATCTCAAAACTGGCAATAGCCCCTTTCACACATACAGACCTTTCCGGAAAATTGCCGGCAATTTTCCGGAAAGGTTGTATGTGTGAACAGGTCCTTTTTGAAAATACCGGTAAATTCGTTCTGGCTATTTTCCGGAAAGAGAAGTTGTAACATTACCGGCAATTTGCCGGAATGCTGCGCTGTGTGAATGCAGAAGGAAGATTACCGTAATAAGCGCGTGCACGTCTAGAACGTGCTGACGTGAGACGTCTACTTTAGCCAATCACAACAGTCAGACGCATTTACGTCCGCGCGGTTTGTGAGAATAAAAACCTTTGAATATTTTTCCAGACACATTTAGCTGCTAGAAGTTAGTCAGATCACGTTTATATGTTCTTCTTTATGCCAACTGTGTAAATAATCATCGATGAGATGCTTATGATAAGCCGTTGTTTGTTTACCTTCAAGCTTTGCGTGTGCCTGTGAAACAGCCTGTGAGCGCCTGCACACGCACATATTATGAACATCTCGACCTGCGAAAGTGATTCTGCGAAAGTTGTTCACAATACTGATCATCCACAGAGTTTGTAATGTAGTCAAATATTTAAAAATACAAGCGCAGCCGTTTAAAGCTCATTTGTGGTGAATGATGTCAGAATTTACCGGTATTTTGGAATGGATGTGTGAATGATCTTTTCCGGAAAATTTCCGTAACGTCCTCACCTGTGTGAACAGGGCTTTTTTGAATATACCGGTAAAGTCGTTCCGGAAATTTTCCAGATATTTTCCGGTATCACTGTGTGAAAGGGGCTAATGTGAGCTAACAAAATCAATATGGGTAGTTTTGATTTCATACGTACCTCAACTCTGTTTTTATCAAAAGTTTCAGGATTTCAGAATTAGTAAGTGGGTATCTACAGTATCAGTCTGTGTGTTTTAATAATTCTTTACATTAAATAGTGCAAATGGCGCTGATAGCCTAGTAGGCAGCGTGTCGACAAATAGCACAAATGAGGGTGTCCGTGTTTGAGTCCTGACTCGCAGACCTTTTCCGATTCCATCCCCTACTCTTTTTCTCACTTCATTTCCAACTTCATTTATTTAAGAAATAAAATAGTGCAATATTATATAATTTGGCATTATATCAGCAAGATTTCTAGGATATTTTTAGGCTTTTCGAATTTTAAATAAATTGACCTTGTTTTAGCTGATATTTTACAATTTTATAATGATTATAATGATTGACTGGTTGAAAGGTTTTTCTACTTGATGTATCAGAAGAGACTTCTATTTTGACATCGGTGAGAAAACCAATGCATGAGCTCCCGTTCTCCATCTTGATTAGTTTACTATTTCCATTACACAATATTTAGTTACTTTTATAAATATCCTTAGTATTGCAGAATCAAGAAGTTGTTGACTAAGGTATAGATCAATTTGTTTTACAGAATTTTGTCAAATTAAATAGTGTAATACCATATACAGTCAGAATTATTAAACCCCCTTTGATTTATTTTTCTTTTAAAAATATTTCCCAAATGATGTTTAACAGAGCAAGAAAATTTTCACAGTATGTCTGATAATTATTTTTCTTCTAGAGAAAGTCTTATGTGCTTCATTTTGGCTAGAGTAAAAGCTGTTTTAATTTTTTTTTATATTTTATGGTCAAAATTATTAGCCTCTTTAAGCTGTATATATATATTTTTTCAATAGTCTACAGAACAAACTAATAGTCATACAATAACTTGTCTATCTACCCTAACCTGCCTAGTTAACCTAATAAACCTAGTTAAGCCTTTAAGTGTCACTTTAATCTAAATAGAAGTGTTTTGAAAAATATCTAGTGAAATATTATTTACTGTCCTTATGGCAAAGATAAAATAAATCAGAGAGAAAATCAAAAGAAATTAGAAATGAGTTATTAAAACTATTGAAATGTGTTGAAAACAATTATATGTTTATCGATTAAAATTTGCCATTTTAAAAAAATGTCTTGGCGAAGCAGTGGTGCAGTAGGTAGTGCTGTCGCCTCACAGCAAGAAGGTCTCTGGGTTGCTGGTTCGAACCTCGGCTCAGTTGGTGTTTCTGTGAGAAGTTTGCATGTTCTCCCTGCCATCACGTGGGTTTCCTCCGGGTGCTCTGTTTTCCCCTACCGTCCAAAGACATGCGGTACAGGTGAATTATGTAGGCTAAATTGTCCGTAGTGTATGTGTGTGTGTGTGAATGAGAGTGTGGATGTTTCCCAGAGATGGGTTGCGGCTGGAAGGGCATCCGCTGCGTAAACTTGCTGGATAAGTTGTCGTTTCATTCCGCTGTGGCGACCCCAGATTAATAAAGGGACTAAGCCGACAAGAAAATGAATGAATAAATGAAAAAATTGTCTTTAAAAGTTCCCTGAGTTCCCAATCTTCGTTTTCATTAATGTACGGTCTCTTTTTAAAATATTTAGGATTGGACAATTTTGACATTTTTTTGATGGACCCTTTTCACATTTCCAGGTTTCTCTGCAGCAGACGTTGGGTAAATTTAAAGTACAGTGAATGGAAGAGTACAACAATTAATTATTTTACAATCTTATTTCCCGAATAATTATAAATAATAATAATAATAAAAAACTCACCAAAGTTGTTATCAAGCCTTTCAGAAAAAGGATAAAGTGTGTGACTGATAACGGCAGCCAGAAGAGAGAACAATGTCAAATTTATTGTCCTGCCACATAGACGCTGCGTTAGAAACACCTTGCATAAGTGCTAGTGTTTTGTAATTTGATGCAAAGATGATATAATACACACACATAAAAATACATACACTCACTGGTCACTTTATTAGGTACACAATACTAGTTCTGGGTTGGACCCCCATTTGCCTTTACAAGTGCCTTAATCCTGGCATAGATTCAACAAGGTACTGGGAATATTCCTGAGATATTGGTCCATATTGAAATGATACCATCATGCAGTTGCTGCAGACTTGTTGGCTGCACATCAATGATGCAAATCTCCTGTTTCATGAAATCGAGACTCATTAGACCAGGCAACGTTTTTCCAATCTTCTATTGTCCAATTTTGATGATCCTGTGTGAATTGTAGCCTGTTTCCTGTTCTTAGCTGACAGGAGTGCCACCTGGTGTGGTCTTCTGCTGCTGTAGCCCATCCGCCTCGAGGTTTGACGTGTTGGGCATTCAGAGATGCTCTTCTGCATACCTCGGTTGTAAAGAGTGGTTATTTGAGTTACTGTTGCCTTTTATCAGCTCAAACCAGTCTGGCCATTTTCCTCTGACCTCTGGCATCAACAAGGCATTTGCATCCACAGAACTGCTGCTCACTGGATATGTTCTCTTTTTCAAAGCATTCTCTGTAAACCCTAGAGGTGGATGTGCGTGAAAATCCCAGTAGATCAGCAGTTTCTGAAATACTCAGACCAGCCCACCATGCCACATTTAAAGTCACTTAAATTTCCTTTCTTCCCCATTCTGATGCTCAGTTTGAGCTGCAGCAGATGGTTTTGACCATGTCTGCATGCCTGAATGCATCAAGTTGCTGACATGTGATTGGCTGATTAGAAATTTGCGTTAACAAGCAATTAGACAGGTCTACCTAATAAAGTGGCCGGTGAGTGTATGTTTTTTTTTATCTTTTTACAAAAAACTTTCAAGGATTTAAGATGCTAATGACTGTTAAACATGCCATTACAGTCTTGTGAAAACATTACACAATCAAGGCTTCATATCTTGTTTCTAATGTATCAACACTAGCCGTTAAAAAAAACAAAAGCAAAATCAGTCGACTACTAGTTATACCTACATCTAAATTAATACATTTTTATGTTAATGTGTTGATTTGTCTGTAGTATGTCACACCGAAGCCACAGCATGAACAACCTCCTGGAGCCGACCAGCCAATCAGAATCCGACACCCAGACCTACAGTGAAGTTTCTTCTCCAGTGGTCTCCATGCGCCGTGCGTCGGCAGACGTTCGCTCAGTATCTCCCCTCCCCGAAAAGAAGACAGAGTCCAACAACGAGCTCAAGAGCGGCCAGAAAGTCTTCCACGAGATTCCTGCTCCAGCCACACAGCTGCGCCGTGGCTCGGCCGATGTTCGCTCGATATCTCCTCTCCCTGACAGGAGGGCGGAGTCTCATTTTGAGAGCAAAGTGGAGCTCAAACATTACAACGAACTTCCACCTCCAGCTCCACCCCTTCCAAACTCTCCTCTGCCTGAGCGAAAGACTGACTCAACCTCAGAGGTGAGCATTTGTGTTTTTAATTTTACTTTTAGTCTAGACCAGGGGTGTCCAAACTCTGGAGAGTTTAGCTCCAACCCTAATCAAACACACCTGAACCAGCTAATCAAGCTCTTACTAGATATACTAAGTATAAACTTCCAAGCAGGTGTGTTAAAGCAAGTTAGAGCTAAATTCAGCAGGACACCAGCCCTCCAGAACCGAGTTTGGACACCCTGTCTAGTCTTTATCTTAAGCTGACATTTTAAAAAATTTGTTTTAGTCATGTTCAGACTCTTTTTAGTCTAGTCGTGTTTTAATCAACTAAAGTCTGAGCATTTTTGTCTTATTTTGCTCAGAATCATCCATGACTATTTTCGTCTATTTTCAGTTGAGGAAAACTGATGTCATTTAGTCAATTTTGTTTTAGTCAATTTAAGTTATAATCAATGAAAATTGTATATCGTATTGCAATTCTCTTTAACCCAGACAATATAATTTAAGTACCTAGTAGTAATGACACAACCGACATTTTCTTTTATTTTCTAATGTTTAAGGCTAACGTTAAGACAGATTAACCACAGCCTCATGAGTTAGCATGAGTTTTCTAAAACAGAAGTTTTGTTATGTTACTTACCTTAAGGCTAACATTACGTTATGTCACATACCTTAAGGCTAACGTTACAGTTTGTTACTTACCTTAAGGCTAACATTACGTTATGTCACATACCTTAAGGCTAACGTTACTATTTGTTACTTACCTTAAGGCTTACATTAAAATGAGACAAATTAACCATTGCCTCATGAGTTAGCATGAGTTTTCTAAAACTGAAGTTTTGTTATGTTACTTTCCTTAAGGCTAACATCACGTTATGTTACTTACCTAAAGGCTAACATTAAAATGAGACAGATTAACCACAGCCTCATGAGCTTAAGATAAGTCTGGTTCTCTCAAGGTTTTTTTTCTTCACTCCCATCAGGTGAAGTTTTTTTTCCCTCTCCGCTGTCGCCACTGCCTTGCATGGTTCAGGATTGGTAGAGCTACGCATCGATGAATTTGCTCTTCAGTGTTTGAACTCCCAGTAATGATTAAATCACACTGAACTGAGCTAAACTGAACTGAACTGAACTTAAACTCTAAAACCTGAACCACACTGTTCCAGTTACTATGACCATTTATGTGAAGCTGCTTTGACACAATCTACATTGTAAAAGCGCTATACAAACAAAGCTGAATTGAATTGAATTGAATGAGTTAGCATGTGTTTCCTAAAATAGAAGTTACGTTAAATTACCTTAAGGCTAACGTTACGTTATGTTACTTACCTTAAGGCTAACGTTTAAATGAGACAGATTAACCACAGCCTCATGAATTAGCATGAGATTTCTAAAATAGAAGTTTTGTTATGTTACTTACCTTAAGGCTAACATTACGTTATGTTACATTCCTTAAGGCTAAATGTTACTTACCTAAGGGCTAACATTAAAATGAGACAGATTAACCTCAGCCTCATGAGTTAGCATGAGTTTTCTAAAATAGAAGTTTAGTTATATTACTTACCTTTAAGCTAACGTTACGTTATGTTACTTACCTTAAGGCTAACGTTACAATATGCTACTTACCTTAAGGCTAACGTTAAAATGAGAGAGATTAACCATAGCCTCATGAATTAGCATGAGTTTTCTAAAATAGAAGTTTTGTTATGTTACCTACCTTAAGGCTAACGTTACGTTATGTTACATACCTTAAGGCTAACGTTACGTTATGTTACTTACCTTAAGGCTTACGTTAAAATGAGACAGATTAACCATAGCCTCATGAGTTAGCATGAGTTTTCTAAAATAGAAGTTTTGTTATGTTACTTTCCTTAAGGATAACTTTACGTTATGTTACTTACCTTAAGGCTAACGTTACGTTATGTTACTTAACTAAAGGCTAACGTTAAATTGAGACAGATTATCCATTGTCTCATGAATTAGCATGAGTTTTCTAAAATAGAAGTTTTGTTATGTTACTTACCTTAAGGATAACTTTACGTTATGTCACATACCTTAAGGCTAACGTTAAAATGAGACAGATTAACCATAACCTCATGAATTAGCATGAGTTTTCTAAAATAGAAGTCACGTTATGTTTTTGACTGACCTCAATTTTATTATGGAATGCCTTGAGAGTTGGAGCTAAACTCATTAGAACACCAGCCCTCCAGAAACAAGTTTGGACACCCCTGGACTAGTCTTTATCTGAAGCTGACATTATTTTATTAGTTTTAGTCATGTTCATACTCTTTTTAGTCTAGTTAGGTTTTAGACTAGAGCATTTTCATCTTTTTTTTAGTCAGAATCTTCCATGACTATTTTCACCTAGTTTTAGTCGATAAATTTGATGTAATTTAGTCTACTTTTAGCCAATGAACATTTTATTTTAGTCTCTTTTTCATATTGGAATTCTCTTTAACCAAGTCAATATAATTTAAGTACCTAGAAGTAATGACAAAACCTACATTTTCTTTTAGACAAACCCATAGATACACACACGCTGGTCGTTTTCATCTCCTGTGGCTAATGTTTAAGGCTAACGTTAACATGAGACAGATTAACCACAGCCTCATGAGTTGGCGTGAGTTTTCTAAAATAGAAAGTTAGGTTACGTTACTTGATTTACCTCAGTTTCACAGTTACAGATTCACCTCAGGAATCCCTTGAGATATCTCTGGTTCGTGGTGTTTTTTCCTGCAATTTTGAGGCTGCGATAAAATAAATATTAATATTTAATTTTGTCTCATTTTAGTCAATGAAAATCGCAATATTAATTTAGTTAGTCATCGTCACATGACCAGCATTTTTGTTGCATCTCATTTCGTCATGTGATAAAGGTTGATGAAGAAATTTTATATTTAACTACTTTATAGTTTAATATAATATAATATAATATAATATAATATAATATAATATAATATAATATAATATAATATAATATAATATAATATAATCTATATTTTCCCAGAGATGGGTTGCGGCTAAAAGGCCATCCGCTGCGTAGCTTGCTGGATAAGTTGGCGGTTCATTCCGCTGTGGTGACCCCGGATTAATAAAGGGACTAAGCCAACAAGAAAATGAAATTAAATATATTCTATATTTAATTACTTCATACATCATTGACAAAAGCAACACTTGTTTGGTGCTGTTTACATTAGCGCTTTTTTTGTTTTAAAGTTTTGTTATGATTACTGCTGGAGTCTACACTCCGACATTCTTCGATCCAAGAAAACGGAATATTTTGAAAATACTAAAGACCCTGTTTTAGTTTGGAAATGATGGTGTTCTGTTTGAATATGGTCAGACTGAAAGGCAAATTTTTGGAGGCGGTGTTATCCATAATCACTCTCTGATTGGTCATCTAGACCGTTGAGTATTGTTTCCTGATTTGTCAAGCCCCTCTCACATGACCATTACACTAAAAGTAGACTACAAAGACGGATGCTTATCATGTTTTATGCATTTTAGGCTGTATGTGGACAGAAATGTTTTTTTGTAAAACACTATAAAAGCGTCTGGATGTTTTAAATAAAGTCTAGACAAGGAGCGTTTTCATTGTAAACACCATTTAAAAACAAAACTGCACTAGTCTAGCGTAAATGCCACTTTAGACCTAATGTACTGTCAGTAAAAATTTGCTTTTATAATATCGCAAAACTTTATCATAACTGAAGCTTTTGGTGAGGTTTCAGCCATATTTTGTGTAAATGAAACCTGTTTTATTTCTACAGAGGCCAAGTACCCAAGGACAACCACCAGAGCACCCTCTTTTTCCCAGGTATGACACATCATAGAGTTGTAGAACGTTCATGAATTGCGTTGGAGAAGTTTTATGAGAATACCTATGAATTTAGAGACAAATAGTTAAAGATAATTGATCGTAAAGTTCTTTAAGGCACAATATGTGCACTTTTTTTTTTAAACATCCAAAAATATAATTGTTTTCTTCAAAATATTAAAAAACATATATTTTGCTGACTTGTTATCCAAATGTTTTGAAGAATGTTCAAATCTAGAAAAATTAGCAATTTTTTCTAGTAACACACAGACTGTGTCAAACACCCTCAATTTATGTTTTTTAAAATAGAAAACAGGGAAACACCAAAGATGCTTTAATATGTTGTGTATTTTACTAGAAGGGCTGAGCAGCATTATAGTCTGATCACAAGCTAAAGAACTTGAAGCGGTGGACTGTGCCATAATAAAAGCTCTGCTGCTTACGTGCTGTCACATTTGTTTTGCTTTTGTTTCGGTTTGTTGACTTTCAGCCTTACTTTGCATCATATTATCATGAAAATAAGTGTTAAATACTTTACCTCATCCATTACATGCTTGCTACAGGGGTCCTGTTGGACAGTGGTCCTCAATCTGTTTGTCCTTGAGGATGTCCTAGGATGCTAGGCGACCATCAACTGTTTTTAGAGGATGACAAGCTGACAACACATTGCTGTCACTCTCATACAAGTTTTATTTATGGTGAAAATTAAAAAGCACTGCAGTGTTTGTGTTCTGTGTTTGTCTGAGATAATTAGTCTACCAAAATGTGTATATTCCATACAAGCTGAAGCTGATTAGTCAATTCTAGTCACGTGACTCGCGGTGCCCTCATGAGATACATTTAACTGTGTGCGTCTGGAAAGTGCGAGCGCTTCACGTTGCTTGTTTTTGATTGTGCAAACCTTCATTGGAAACAACAAACTTGTGCAAACTCTAGAAAAGACACACTATGCAAATGGCCCCTAAAATGCTACAGTTACTTGCTATCTTTATCCATTGACCTTCCACAGCCATGTTGCATTCACCTGATTTGTTGACAAATGGGTTGTGGATCCTTTCCTCGGCAGTTCGTGGGTTTTTCACTGGGCCTTTTCCCCTTAGCAAAGAAACTTTCCAAACACGTCTGTTTCTTACTCATTTTGCTGCTTGTGGGTTAAATTTGGGAGCGCAGATGTAACTGAGAGAATACTGTCATTTTTCAAAATAAAAGATTTTTCCAAAATAAAAGATTGTTCAGACGGAAAATAAATAAAACAGAAAAAATAAATGATTTCTTGTGTGACTCGATACCAATTCCTCCATGAACTGGTACCGGTTTGCAGCCCGGTGGTTGAGGACCACTATTGTAGGATGTAATGAAGAGCACACAACCCCTATGACTCCAAACTCAGTCACTGTGTCATCAAACTACACTTTTGTTTGTTGTAAATAACCGCCCCCTAGTGGAGAAAATGATATATTATGCCTTTAAATGTCTCTTTTTCTTTCTTTAATGTTGTCTAGAGGATCAAATCCATTTGCCACAGTGAAGCTTCGTCCCACTGTTACCAATGACAGATCCGCTCCACGAATCCAGTGACAGTAATCGATGTGGGGAAAGTCATCACCTGCACTCTGACTGGTTCAGAGTCTGCATCAAATATCAAACACAGTTTGCTGATCATTATAAAATGAAAGTAAAAAAAAAAAAAAGATTTTTAAACTTACAGGCACTTTTTTAACTAGTGTAGTATTTACTTTGAAGAGCTAGTGCATTAGTATCTACCATTTTTTTTTTCTGGAAGTGTTTTTAAAATAGATTTTTCACATAAAAAATAAAAATTTTCTGTACCTTAATTTTTAAAAAAACATTACAAGCCACGAACCAAACAAATCAGCTATAGGCAGAAGTATCTGAAACTCAGACAAAAGTACAAGCTACAATATAAGAGAAGAAATATGAGAGAAATATACTATTTAACTTCAACCCCAAAGCGAAAAAGGGCAGTATGGAAAATGCAAATAAAATAAGTTGTGATTTTGAAATTTACTTTGACTTTTATTTCACTGCAGACACTACAGCAAACATTATTTAATGTTTAGTGTTTCTTGTTATTATGATTTTATTATTTTTTTTAAATAAACAAGTATACCAGTTTTAGGAAACTTGCACTTTTGTGATGACACCGTTGATGCATATTTCAACAAGAAAATGAAAAAAACACAATCTGCACACATTACAAAGTCATGACTGCAAAGGAAGAGGATACAGGTACTTGACTGGCCTGTCTGCAGTCCCGACCTTTCTCCAATAAAAAAATATGTGGTGCATTTTGAAGCGCACAGTGCAACAATGAAGACTCCGTACTGTTGCTCACCTTCAGACTTGTTTACAGGAAGAATGGGACAAAACTCCACCTGAAACACTTCATCACTTGGTGTCTTCAGTCCCTAAATGTCTTTTTAAGTGTTGTGAAAAGAAATGGCTACATTACAAAGTAGTAAATGCTTTATTGTTGCAACATTTTTAAAAATGTGTTTCAAGAACAAAAGAGTACATGTTTAAATAATGTTTGTTCAATTGTCTGCAATGTAACAGGTTAAAGTAAATTTAGATATCACTTAGTTCTTTTTTTATGTGCGTTTTTCAGACTGTCCCAACTTTTTCTAATTTGGGGTTTTATTATTATTTATTAGACGTTGTCGAGTGCCTCTATAAAAAACTTTGATTCAAGTTTATTGCAAATATTTGAATCTCTATATAAACCTTCATAGAGTATAATTATGGGAGTAGGGGGACCTAAAGATCTATTTTAGTGCACTTTATTTTCTACGTCTTTCTGATTGGTGGAATTTCTGTGCAGCATCATGGGTAATGTAGTTTTTTGTGCACAATTTTTCTCACCATTAATAACGATTGTTTTTTAAACTGATACAACATCATATACAGTTAAACACCGCTTACAACAGATTTAAGTTATTTTTTTTTAATTTACTCTGTAGAAAATAAATATATTTAAATTTTGGAACTGGTGCACTATATAGCATCATTTAACCTCACTGTGTTATGTACATTTTGGACTTACTAAGATCTTTTTTTAGACTAATATTCATTATCTAATATTCATAATAATTTTAAGTTCAAAATGTTTTCTGAATGTCTTATTTTCTTGTGTCTGATGAATATGTTTGTTTTCATGCGTGTCTGAATGTTGTTTAACAGATATTGTAATCTGTATGTGTTTTGTTTATAGGTTTAGCGCAAAAACGTTTTCGTGTTTGTGTTGTTTAGCAAAATCATTTATTATAAAAAAGGATATTGTTTGCAATTGTGACTTTTATGGTTGGCTTTATTTCTTCTTAGTATTATTATTCTTATATTCAATTAATTTGTGTGAAAAAAAATACATTGACCTTTGCATAACCATATCAGTGCAATTTTTTTTTATTATTATTTACGTTTTTGAGTGATTTACTGTAAAGACTTTTTTATTTTAGAACGTGTTCATTTATTTATTTATTTTTTGTTAAATAATACAAAACTAATATATTAACAGCTGCTGGAGTCAGGAGGCATTAAAAAAATGAAAAATCACATTGTTTTGTTTCCTCAACACATCGCTTTATTGTATCTCTCTTAAATATTTGAATCTCTCGTTTCATCTCATCCTCTTCATGTATTCATCGTGTTCGGTGGCTCTATCACAAGAGAGGAGCGAAAAAAGGGAAGGGATGACAGATGGAGCAAGATAAGAAGAAGAAAGGAGCATAAAAAGAAAGAGAAAGATGACAAGAAAAGTAGAAATGAAGGTCAAAGCTGTGGGGAAATCTCCAGGTTTTCATGAGTTGTGGTTGGCTAACTAAAATGTACAGAATTTTTAAATATAGATATGTTTAAAAAAGGAAAAAGGTAAATAAATAAACATGAGGCGGTTCTGCTCCTGGGTTGGATGTGTAGAGACGTACACTAAGATTGGCTGTAGGTATTCACAGGAGAGTAGTGGTGTAAAGGGTTGCCAAATATTGACGATTTACTCGTGCACCAGAGCTTCAAATTCTGAAAGAAAATGGCAGGTGACTAGATTAGACAATATTGTTTATCGCACCCGAACTTGTTCTTTACTGTAAAAAGTGATTGAACCCATTGCACCTTGGGACAGGTTAACTTATTTTTTAAGTTTTATATTTTAATATTAATAAGATTACTTATTGTACACAAAGTTTATTTATTAATTTTGCAACAATGGGTTTACTCACATTTTAGAGTCAACTAATCACTTTAAAAGCAAAGTTTAGATCGTTTTACCTACAGACCATATATGAATGCCCAAGAAATAAATATAAATAAATGTATATTCATTTAAAATACAGAGGGGAAAATAAGTCATGAACACGTCAACATTTTTCTCAGAAAACATATTTTTAAAGCTGCCGTTTACTTTTTTTTTTTTTTTTTTTTTGCCGTTTAAGATTTTCTCCTGATGTTGATAACAACCAAACAAATCCATATATGCAAAGAAAACAAAACTAATTAGTTTATAAATGAAGTTATGTGTAATGAAATGATTCAGGGAAATAGTATTGAACACATGAAGAAAGGGAGGTTTAAGGCAATGAAAGCCCAGACAGCAGCTGAGATCTCTAAGCAGTTCTTCAGCAACCATCTGCTCTTCCTCATTCTAAATTAATATTAGTTTCTTCAGTCCAACATATACATTAACAGGAGGATGAAGATGAAACCATGGTGGAAATTTCAGCAAGACAATAATCCAAAACACAGCCAAGGAATCTCTCAAATACTTTCAGAGAAAGAAAATCAAGCTGTGGAATGGTCCAGCCAACCCCCTAATCTGAATCCTATAGAAAATACAAACTAAAGATCAGATTTGATTGATGAGACCCACAGAACCATCATGATTTTTGGTGAATACCTTCTGAGAGATTTTAGCTGCTGTCTGGTCTTTCACTGTCTTTCTGCACCTTCATTTCTTCGTGTGTTTAGTGCTTTTTTCCTGTCGTTCTTTTTTATTACATAAAACTTAAATTGTATAGATGACGATCTGCAACGCTGGATGAACTTACCACTATCCATCATGGGCAGAATATCAGTTACCAAAATGTCCATTCTCCCAAAAATAAACTATTTATTTTCAATGATTCCAACACAACCCACACATACCTGGTTCAAATCCCTAGACTCAATTATAACAAAATTCTACTGGAAAAATAAAACCCCAAGAATAAAATTGACAACCCTACAGAGACCAAAATCACAAGGAGGATTAGAAGCACCACATTTTTACAACTATTTTTTGGCAAATCAGCTTCAAAACATACACAATTGGATTAAACCTAACTCATCACAATACACATGGCAAGACATTGAACAATCAATATGCAAAGACATTAACATTTCAGAATTACCCTTTCACAGTCAATCAATCAAGAGACATCACTGTTTTAAAATGCCGACAATAGAAGCAACTCTGACAGCCTGGTGGAAATTCCATCAGGTCACAAATTCCCCACTCACACCATCTAAATACACCCCAATTTGGAATAACCTTGATTTCCTAGCCAACAAGAAGCCACTTAACTTTCACACATGGGCAGCCAAAGGAATCACACAACTTCAACATATCTTTATTAATAATAATCTGGCACCATTTCCCCATATAGCCCAGACATACAGCATTGGGAGTAATTGCTTTTTGGAATATTTACAAATCAAATCATCAATTAAGTCAAAATTACCTAACCAATCAATCAATCTAGACCTTCCACCTCAAATCTCAGAGTTTATTAATATATCGCCCTCCAAAAAATTGCTCTCCCAAATATACAAAATGATATCAAAATCAGACAATGCATTAGTTCTACCAACCACTAAATGGCAAACAGACTTATCTATTAATCCCAATGCTGCATTCTGGACTCAAATTTGCAAAAACACATTTTCCATGACTAAAAATGCTAACTTACAACTTATACAGTACAAAGTACTTCACAGATCACATTTAACTGGGCAGAAATTATTTAAAATGGGTTTCACGTCAGAAATATGTTCACATTGCACACAAAACACTCCAGACACATATCTTCATGCCTTATGGCATTGCACTTCAATTAAATCATTTTGGGTAAAGGTTACTGACTCACTCTCCAACTTAATGGGTTGTCACATCCCACTGTGTCCCTCCCTCTGCATATTAGGTGACATATCCACAATCAATATAAATAATACAAATGGTCAGTTTCTGCTGGTGGCTCTAACTATCGCAAAGAAAACTATCCTCATGAACTGGAAATCAAGAAATACCATTCACATCTCATACTGGAAAAACTTGTTAACAGAATACATCTCCATTGAAGATCCTCTTTGCCTGAAGCCATTCCCTAACAACACCTTCATCAGTACATAAACAAGAGGGGAGGGGAGAGAGGGGGTCAGGTAGAGATGAGGAAAAAAAAAAAAAATCTAATATTTAATCTAATTTAAAATAAATAAATCAATTGGAAAAAAAGTATAATGTAAACAAATAAAATAAAAGAATCATAATTCGGTCTTTATATACTTTTTTACTTTCCCTTTTGTTCTATTTGTTCCCCTTTCCTGTCCCTATCAATGTTATTTATTCATTTTATTATTATTATATATAATATTTGTTTTCTATTTATTATTATTATTATTATTATTACTATACATAAATTATTATTATTATTATTATTATTATTTATATACCAGTGCCTCTCCTGACCAACAACAGATAAAAAAAAAGAAAAGAAAAAAAATCTACTTACATGTACTAAATTCACAGGGTAAAGTATAACGTAGGCATGGCAGTCTGGGCACTGCACTGGACTGATCCATGCCACACGTTACACTTTTTTTAATGCATCACAAAGCAACTGACAAACACTATATACCTCAATGCCCATCACACAACTACAACCTCCTCAATTTATTGTTACAGCTGTTGTTATTTTTATTATTATCATTATTATTAGTATTATTACCAGCATGAGTATATTATAGTTATCAAATTACAGTAATAATCTATCATACATATCTTTAATATTATTCTTCCATGTGGAATTGTATAATTCATAATTAGCATTGATATAGTGTTTTCTTTTTTATTTATTCAGTTTTTATTATTATTATTATTATTATTATTATTATTATTATTAATTTTTTTTTTTTTTGGCTGATTCTTGTTGCTTTGTTTGCTGAACTTTATTTTTCTTCTCTCTTATTGTTTCTTTTTTCTTCTACTCCTCCCCTTCCTTTTCTGTTTTTATTTTTTATTTTATTTTATTTATTTATTTTTATTATAAGTATTTTATTAATTTTTGTTTATTATCATTAGTTTATTTTCTCTTTTCCTCTATCTCCCCTTCAAACTTACTACTTACTACTATTATTATTTGTTATTATTATTATTATTATTATTATTTATTATTATTATTACTTGTCCTCTCCCTGATTTTCCCATCCTCCCCTCTCCTCGACACCTTTGTCATAAATGGTATTACTTTTATTTTTTGAAATCATTATTATTATTATTATTACTGTTCTGACTTGTCCTGTTATCTTTCCATTATCATTATTACAAGTATTTATACCATTATCATTATTAAGGTTGCAGTTGTTGTAGTAGTAGTAGTAGTAGTAGTTGTAGTTGAAGTAGTAGACAGTGTAATAGTATCGATTGTTATTGAGTAATTGTTACGGAGATTTTTGAAGTAGTAGTTCATGTAAGTAGTAGCAGAAGTAGTAATGGTGTGGTTGTTACAGTAGTAGTAGTAGTCGTTGTTGGTGTAGTAATATCAGTAGTAGATGTTGTTGATGTAGATGTAGTAGAAGTGATTGTAGTAGTAGTAGTAGTGGTAATAGTAGTAGTAGTAGTAGTAGTAGTAGTAGCAGTAGACGTTGTTGTATTAGTTGTAGCAAACGCTATAGTAGTATCAGTAGTGGTAGTCGTTGTAGTAGTATCAGTATTAGTAGACATTGTAGTAGTAGAAGTAGTAGTCGTGGTTGTGGCTGTAGTAGAAGCAGTAGTAGTTGTAATATAAGTAACTTTTTGTAGTAGTAGTTGGTGTAGCACTTGTTATTTATTATTATTGTTGTCAGTTATTACTGTTGTCCTTTCTTTCTTTTTACTCTAATTTTTACTATCATACATTAATAAGCATTGTTGTTACTCCCTACCTCTGACTGGTTTCTTTCTATATGTTTTATCTATATCTGTGACACTTGCTTCATTTATTGACTGTTATTGTTCCTTATGTATGTACTCTGACCTGTCCACCAAGTTACCTTTACATGCATACACACACTCACACACACACACTCACGCACATACCAGTACATGACTATATTGTTGTTGTTTTTGTTTTGTTTTTGTTTCGTTGCTTTGTATTTGTTATTTGTTGACGTTTTCTTGTATTTGTATGATTTTTGCATATTCTAAAAAAAAAAAAAAAAAAAAAAAAAAATTAAATTGTAAACTGATTAGTTTTGTTTTCTTTTCATATATGGATTTATTTGGTTGTCATCAACATCTGATGAAAATTTCAAGCCAACAGCACCTTTAATGTTTCTTTAAGAGTGCTGATTTTCCTACCATCTATGCCAATTTTTCCATCTCCATCCTTATCAGCAGCAGCGAGGAATGCTTTGGTCTCCTTATCGGTAAGATCTCTGCCATCTGCAGAAAAGCCCTTCAGCACAAACCTGTCCAAGAGAAGGGGGGTAAACTTTAATCTGGCAACCTGGGTCAGAAGTTCAACACAACAGTGAGTGAAAATGATAATGTAATTGACCCTTCCCTAAGCACCGCCCTACTTAGTTACTGTTGCTACGCCTATCAAGCTTTCAAGCTTTTCAAGCTTTCCGATAAAGCCAGGCAAAAAAGAACTGCAGTATGCATTGCAGGAGTATATTCATGACATATTAGGCGACTGATTATAGAATAATTTAATTAAAATTAAAGCTAGGTTAGCCTAGCCGCCTCATACGCTGACCATTCAGCAGCTTAGTTCATGCACAGCAGGAGAGGTCAAATTTAGAAATAATCTTATAATAACTAATTAAACCGTGATTTCTCTATTTTAGTTAAAAAGCCTAATGAACTAATTGTTGTGCAATGAAATCAAGCGTTACTAACCAGCAAGGAAACACGCATGGACAGTGCTTCTACATTAATCATTCATAGAAAGAGCAGCTAAAAAGGGGAAATTGATGGACTTGCAACATTGCAATATCTGAATATTAGCATCATTGACCCATAACAATATACAGTAAGTTACCTATTTCTGTCAGTATGTGTGTGTGCTCTTTATAAATTTATGAAAAACAGCTGCCGATTAAGTGTATTGATCGCAAATGCTCAGATTGTAGGGATGTAACGGTATCAGAATTTCACGGTACGGTAATACCTCGGTATGAATGTCACGGTACGGTATTTATTGAATCATTTACAGGAAAAACAAAACTTATGAAAATACTCCAAAAAAGTGCCAAAAGTGTCAATGACATACAAATTAGCCATCTATCTGTAAGCTTTGAAACAGGAACTTCAATTTTAATAACTAAAAAATATTAAACCATGTAAAAAAATAAAGTTTCAATTTAGTATTGTTGAAAACTCATCACATTCAACATTTAATCACTCACTCACTTAGATAGAGATGGCTTTTAAGGAAAATTATCATATAAATATAATCTGGTAAAAGCTGGTATCTCTGGGTATTTACAATGTCCCCTGCAACAGAAAAAAACCCTCTCATTTGGGACTGAGGTTTCTGGGACAGGGATATGACTTGGCCCAGGTTGACAGCAGTGGGTAACGTTGTGCATTGTCTTTCCCCCACTTGAGAGGACAAACCATGAGTGAGATAGAGGTCTCTTTGCAGTACAAGTCAATGTCTGCATCAATCTGAACAGTGTGCTGTGTTTCTGCAGTCCCCATGACTGTTATTAGTCGTATTCCCCAACTTGCAGGCACGTCCACACATAGGGCTCATCCTGTGCAGTGCACATGCCCTTTTTAGTCTTGGATAGAAAATGCCTCCGCGACGCGACACACCCTCCGTCCCGCCCTTCAGTAGCCGCGCGACAACACCGCTTTTGAGTATGCGCGCTCAACCCCCCTCCCTGCTTTACAGTGCGCGCGCGACAACACAGCTGATCAGAACGCGCGCAACAACACCGCTATTCAGTACGCGCGCGACAACACCGCTGTTCAGTACGCACGTGGCGACAACACCCGCTTTAGGTTCGATCATTTCCAGCTCTTTTTCATCCCCGCTTCTAGCAGCACACTCCATTTCCGCATTACTGGATCTGTAGCGACAACAGACCGCAAAGGATGATGGCCACGCCTGGGCTGATGGGAATTGTAGTTTTCGCTACCTCCCATTCGCTTCATTCGCCTGTGCAAATTTTCTCAGAAGACCTAAAGTTTTATCGAGTCATGCGACTACGGTAATATCGAAAAAAAAAATTGCTATTGCGGTATGACGGTATTTACAATACCGTTACATCCCTATCAGATTGTGATCATATCTTGATTTTGTTCTGTTGATTTGTAATTTCAAATATTCCTAGCTTGAAACAGATGGAAATATGAAGTTCAGTAAAGTTAGCAGCAGATTTGTATTTGCCGGATCAATAACTCATGTCATTATGACCTATTCGCTATTAGTATGACTAGCGTTAGTCATGGTGAAGGCTTAAACGAAGCAGTGCTCATTATATCGAGCTAAAAAAAAAGGAAAAAGACAGCTGGGAAACATAACCTGCTTTGTATTTTTGTAGGAAACACAGTTTAGATCTGTTTAGGGTAAGAGGTGTGTGAGTTATTGCCATCTGTCACTGAATGTGTCAGGAATATCGAAAACAAAACCAACCTAACTCCGCCCCTCACACAGCTTGATCCACACTAGCATGTCTCCTCTTGGATTTTGTTTTTTAAAAGGGAAAAAAATTCACTATGCTGTCCAAACTTCAAGGATACCGGGTGTGAAATTTGCACAATCCATATGCTTGGCTTTTTGGCTTGTTTCCCTTGCTCAAAAGCTTGACAGAGCCTGTCTGCGCAGCTACGATTGCTAAGCCACGATTGGTGGGTGGCGGTTTTTGGGTGTGGCTTAGCGAAGGGTCAATTTCGAAGGCCCACTCAAACCAACAATTATAATTAAGTCAAATTTAAGCTAAAGGTAGGTTTACGTAATTTCCTATTTACATAGATTCCTATTTTCACAAATCTGCGATGAAAGAAAATGCTGTAATGTTCTTTGTGAAGAAACACCATGAACAGTCAAAATGCCTGAACATTATTGAGTTTTAAGTTTTTAAAATGATCTTGTTTAAGCTAAAGTTGCATTTTTTTCTTTGTAACTTTAAATGCTAATCTGATTTAAATACGAGCTGAATTCTGATTGGCTGTCAAAGTTTGCATTGTTCTACTTGAAAAGATTAAGAATATAGTGGTTTTCATTTCGGCAACAGTCCACAGTGTGAACAGCCCCTGTTGCCAACTATTTTCACCAAAAAGGTGCTAAGCTCTGCCCAAAAAGTTGCTAGATTATGTCATACATCAATTGGCATATTACTGACGTCCTCACGTTCTACCATTTGTGTTTGTTTCACAGCCTATGGTCAATTAAGGTGTATTTATATTTGCACTACGCTTTATATAAGCATGTCAATTTAACTAAATGTATTGCTGTTTGAATACAGTATATCTGAATAGATGTGTTTTAAATTTACAGTAATCTCTCAGACGTAATGAACTCAGACAAGTTCTGAAAGTGTCATTAAAATATATGTGATTGTGAGCAAGAAAAGAATAAACGGTCAAATTAAATCGTTAAAATAAAGGAGAAGCAGATCGGTTTGACTGTACAAGGGAAATACCTTCACACTGCCTTTGCTAAATCATTTGCTGTCGGACTAAAAATGGCATGTGCACTGCACAGGTTGAGCCCTATGTGTGCACATGCCTGGTCGGTACCAGAGCTGATCTGCTCTCAGGCTGCAGGTGGGAGAGGCTACTGTACGAGGACTGGGCCGCCTGTCAGTGCTCTGACGCGGGGGAGGGGCTGGCGTCATCATCCGCAGCTTGTTAAGAAGAGTGGGTAAAGTCTAGATCGGATATGCGGCGGGCCGGAAGTGCGCTATGCACAATAATAAAGCACCATTTTTTTTTTTTATAACACTATAACAATAATTTATACTTTTACAGTACTGTGAGGGTTGGGTTTAGGGTTGGGGTGGGGGTAGGCGTTCAAAAATAAATTTAATTGGGTTATTTAATACATAACATAACTAATACTCGATACAACAACTGTTTTTACATTACTGTGACGGTTGGGTTTAGGGTTGGGGTGGGTGTAGACGTTAATAAAATAAAACAAATGAGAAATTTAATAAATAATAGAAATAATTCTCGTTAACTTCCGGCCGCAAACGTATCCGCTCTAGCAACAACCGGGACGGTACAGTAAGGACAAATGACAGTCTTTAAAAATCTCATGTAACACAAGAAAGTTACTAGATTTGTTGCTAGTCGCTTTTCTGAAAATTTGTCCCTAGGGGGTTCTGAAAAGTCGCTAAATCTAGCAACAAAATTGCTAAGTTGGCAACACTGAACAGCACTACCCAGCAAAAAAAATAATAATAATAAAAAAACATTTAAAGAACATTTCGCTAACATTCCTATTACGCAGTAAAACTATTTCAGGATTTCTGCAGGTTTCACAAAGTTAAATTTAAGATTTTTGGTAATACTTTATAATAACTAGTACACACTATGAACCATTTATTAAGTATTAGCATCTAGTGAATTCATTATCTGTTAAGCATTAACTATACATTAATAAACATCAGTAAGCAGTTTATAACTGCAGCTACAAATGCTCTATTCTTGACTTACAACCACATTTATATTGTGCTTAATAATTGTACTTTCATGAATTGTTAATTACTAATTGTATCAGATAAATATTATCATTACAAAAATTTCCAAGAAGAATATATAAACAATGCAGTTTTATAGCATTATTACAAACCACACAACTTTGAGGATAGTTTACGCAAAAAATTCATCATTTACTCATACTTCACTCGCTCAAAAAATATTGCTGCTTGTTTAAACATTTAAAATTAGTTAAAATTACAACTCTTGAGATTTACAACGTAATTGTTTTATGTTCAATTCACTTCAATTTAAAAACTTAATTGATTTGTGTTGGTACAACATGAATTAATTGTTTGTGTGAACTTTACAATTTTTTTTTACAGTGCTTGATCCAAGCTAGTTTGAGATTTTACTTCTGTTGAACACAAAAGAAGATATTTTGAATAATGTTGGCAACCAGTAACTATTAACTTATATAGTATTTATTTTATACGTTCGTAAGTTTGGCCAGAGAGAAAAAATAGCTGTGCCCAACTGAGTCTGCTTTCTCTCAACGATTATTCCCTACACTTTTGTCAATTGGTGAAGTTTGTTTCACGCCACTGATTTGCCTGGGTTGGGACTTGTGGAGCTGCACATCGATGGATCTGCTCTTTAGTGGTTGGACATTTAGCAATGAAAATTGAACCACACTGAACTAAACTAAACTGAACTTCAACTTTGAAAACTGGACTGACACGGTTTCAATTTACTAGAACTTCTACAGTATGTTAAGCTGCTTTGACAGAATCTACATTTTAAAAGCGCTATA